TTGATTAGAAAATAATATATATTTTTTGGTTGAAAAGAATAAATAAACAAAATGAGTGGTGGAGTAGACTGGATGTAATCAATCCTGATAAAGTTAAGGTCAAATCATGCTTCTTAGTTAACTTTGAACAAACCCTAATTTGGGTGGTAAGGCAAGTACTTGCGTGTCGCGACTGCACCGTGTTTGGCTTTTGTTCTCATTCTTTTGTCTCTTTTTAAATGCTGTGTATGCAAGAAGGAAGAAAGACGATTGGAAGTGACTAAGATTTTCCAACACTCTCGTCTCTGATTGTGGTTTTCACCCAATTTCGTAGTTCCCTTGTTTTTCATAAAACCATTTTTCAACCATTTGATTAAATCCTCCCACATGAGATGCTGATGATGAAAGATGTGACTCGAACATCATTTGCTACCATCATGCTTATCTCACCGTCTATTAGTAATTCAATTATGATTAATCTTAAAATTTATTTAAAAATAAAAATATGAATCTAAATTGTTTAAAAATATAAACAAATTATCTAAAATTTGACAAAAATTACTTCAATAAATAATTCCGACAAAAGTTTTAAGTAATTTAATTTTAAAATTTATAATAAAATATTTAATTTTATTTTTAAATAATTTTAATTTAAAAATATTTTTAGTATTACGTTATATATAAATAAATAAGAAAGTTAAACAAAATATAAAAAAATATAATTCATAATTTAAAATTTTAAGATTTTTATTAAAAATAATATCACTATTTAAATTATAAGATTTTTATTAAAAACCATATCATTATTTATGTAGGTTAAATTATTATTTTATTAATATTTAGGTAGATTAAATTATTTTCTCATTAATGTTATTCATCTTATACATTTTTATAAAATATCTAACATTATCATTTTCTCTCCCAATTTCATTAATTAATTATATAAATGTTGAATTAGATGTAATCATCATTTCAACGTCGACAGTGGCATTTACATTTTCAATTTCTCTACATTTTTAAACACACTTTATCAAACTTTTTACTACCTCTTTAATCATATTAGTATGCTTCTCTTTTATTTTATTTTTTACAAGCTTTTTGTTAATTTGATTTACATTATATTACCATCCAAATTCAAACAACCATAATATAAACTCAAGTTAAGACTATGATAATCACATGGTCTATACTTGTTTATTTGATTATTTTAACAATATTTAATCTTAATAATCATAGTTAAGGCATGATATTTCATAAATTATATTTAATAAATTTGCTTATTTGTATCTTATTATATATATTTATCTCTTATTATATAATGAAATTTACAGCAATTCACACATTTTTCACGTCATTAATGTAAGATTAAAAAAAATCCAAAATATCCAAAAACTCTTGAACTAATCTTAACTTCTATAAATTACAAATTTACGAAAAAAAAATAATTAATTCGTAGATACAACATTAGAAAAGTGGTTTTCTTTAGTAAAAAATACAATTAAGAACTGTAGAAAAATATTTTCCAATGAAATAAATTTCATTTTACTACTGGATACGATCAACTTTTTTTCAAATGAAATAATTTCATTTAACAATCATCTTGTGAAAAAAATATTCTATCTTTTTATATAAACTTTTTATAATTTTAATAAAACTAAATTTTATTGAAGAAGATATGATAAAATAAAATGAATAGATGCTTGAAATATACTTTTAGATATATTATTTGTTAGTTTATTATTAATTAAAAAAATCAGTTATAATTTGTCTTGTTTCATTTTTAAAAGTCTATGTAAAAGTATTTATTGATATGTTTTGTTTTTATACATGTGAAATTTTGTATATTACAATATTCTATATTTTCAAGAGTAATCGTATTATATTCTTATAAATGAAATGAAAATTTTTGGAAATGATTGTAAAAAAATATATTTATATTGTTATGATCTTAATTGTGGTTGTGAAATTTAACATAACTTTGAATTTATTCATTAATAGGTTAGTTATCGAAATCAATTTAAGAATATATATTTTAAAAGAAAAAATTTTCAAATAAAATTTATATGAATTTATTTATTGATCAGTTTTTTTAATATGTAGTTTTTTTTTCTTTTACTTTTTACTTTTTTATTTTATTTTATTATTTTATTTTATTTTGTCTTTTTTTTACTCTTTTTCTTCTTATTCTCTTAGTCATCTCCAAAGTGAACTTTTAATAAGATTTGATGAATAAAATATTTAATTTTATTATAATTTTACATATAAGTTCCTTAAATTTTGGTCAAAATTCTGATATAAGTAAGTTTTTTCTTTTAAACAATTTAAATGTGAGATCGATAATAAATATTTATTTTTATTTTTAACCAATTTTGTTAGCATCTCTTGCTTATTATATTAAAATTTAAAAGAATATTAACTAAATATTTAAAATTATGATGATAATAAATAATTTTATTTATTTTAATATTTTATTTACAATAATGTAAATAATTAAGTTTAAATTATTTTATCATAATAAAAAATTATTTATCTAATTAAAAATATCAAATATTTATAATTTAAATATATTTTTATTTAATAATTTAATTTAGTTATAATTAGAATGATTTATAATAATTAATTAGATTAAATATTAAAAAAAATTAAAATAAATATTTATTTTTTTCTTATGATAATAATATTTATAACATTTTAAATTTATCTTGTAATATTTTTTCATATATAATATATCAAATTATAATATTTCTGAATTATTTAAATATTTTTATTTTTAATAATAATAGTAATAGAGATTCACGTTATCAAATTTTAACCTGTTATTTTTAATTCAAGAAAGATAGAATAAGAAAAAAAAATTATATTATGTTAAATAAATTTATTCTTTTTTATTAAATTTTATGTGTGAACAATAAATAAAAAAACATTATTTAAGTAAAGTTTTTCTTAAATATATTATTTATGAGATTGATTAGTTACGATGGTTTTAAACCTATAAAATAAAATAAAAAAAGTAATAAATAAAATAAATTATCGTTAGGATGATAAATATTTTTAATAAAAATTTATCTTGGTGAAGAATCATTTAAAAAGATAAAAGAAAAATATTTTAAATTTGGAGATGATAATTTTAATTATAATTATATGTATTTTATTAATAATGATTTTAATTATAATTAATTATGTATAATTTTTATTTTAATATTTATTAGTACACATTCAAATTAAAAATAATAATTTTATATGTAAACTTGTAACTTTAAAAATAAATATTTTAAAAAAATTATTTATTTATTTTTTTAAAATACAGATCGATTTAATGCATCACAAATTTTGTTAAGATTGGTGAAAACCAAGGAAAGGACACTTATTTTTGAGAACTCTATTTATTGGATCCTTAAAAATAGAAGTTTCGATAGTCCTCCACCCGACCATGCTTAGGACCACCACTCCTTCATCTTCCATGTCTAGTCATAAATCAACCTTTTTTCTTTTCATGGAAACTTTTTTTTTTTTTTTCTTAACAAGAGGATGAACTTGAAAATGAATATCACCAATACCAACTAAACTTATATTTTACCACGCAAGTAACTTTTGCCTATGGCATGGCACTGTTTCTAAAAATATTTTTAAATGATAAAATCATTTTTTTGCATAAAAAGAATCTTATCCTCAAATCTGGTCGAATCATATCAAATATCTCCAGATATTGTATAGTGTAAAATATATGAAATATTATTATATTAAACTATGCTACAAAATTCAACATATTTACTTCTAATAAATAGCAACCTAATTATTAAATCAACTAATGACTTTTCAACTTGAGCATTAAACTTAGCTCATGATTTCTTTTGTTAATTTTAAGTGCTCACTTTGTTCACAACTTGACTAATTTCCCTTTTTGTGTTAGGGTTAAACCTAAGCTTATCTATTATAGTGGAACCAAGGGATTATTCCTAAGAGTATTTTTAATACTTAGCACAAGTGTAGGACAATGAACAAAACTAAAAAATAAAAAGAAAAAAAAAATCAACTTTAAAATAATTTAAATTAAAAAAGAGTAAATAGAGAAAAAAAAGGGATTTTGAAAAGTAGAAGAAATGATGAATTGAGAAGGTTGTTAAAACAAGTCAAGACTTTAATTAAGCGATTGTGAAACGTGGGTGATGTCAAGTGATGTACAACAAGCTAGGATCCAAGATATTTTTTTTTCTTCCTTTTTTCAACATTTATGAACCCTAACTTTCAATTTAATATAAAACCTCACAATTCAACATCACAGGTGGTACTCCTGTAACCAGGGAGATATATCATGTATAGTCCAAATTGTTATACCTAAGTTGGTTAAAAAAAATTGTCTACCTATATTTATATCAACATGTCATGTTGTTAATGAGAATGATGTTAGATTAGGATTTTTTTTTTTAATTGTAGATATATGGATTCGATTAAATGGAAAAATAATTATAGTTGAGAAGGAGGATTTTTAAAAAAAATAATATGCAAAGTTCTCCATTAAAAAAATTAAAGATAAATTATCAACTAGATTCTTGAAGTCAAATAATTCAATGCTTCAACAAATAAAAATTCTAATGTAGTTTCTAAAGATGTAAAAATAATGTGTAAAAAGTATAATTGGGTCTCTAAATATTAAAATTTGATCACAAAATGTACTTAATTTAATGTTATGTTAATGTTTAAAATTATACTTCAACATTAGTGACATGAAAAATAGTTTGTGATACTTAATTGCGCATTTATTAAAAAACTAATCATAAAAATATAATAAATACTTTGTATTAATACGATGATTATAAAAATAAATAAAAAAGTAGGCATTGGCTATTCCTATGAGAGACACATCATGAGTGCGTTGTGCTGACGTTGAAGAAAAAGAACCTTGAGCTGAAGCAAAACTCTTCCCTATGCTCTTCGATGTGGGTCTTTATTGGCAGCCAACACCTATACGTTTTGAGGTTTGACTTTCCAAGAGTGAACCTTTCCCTCTATTTCTACCTCTCATGCCACAACACCCCCTCCACCTTCCTATATATACCTTGAACAAACTTTGTCTTGCTCCTCACATTTTCACCATTGCACAAATTTTCTCTTTTCTTTTCCACAAAATGCCGAACCAAGATATTTGCAGTTACCTTACAGAACCTCGTCTTGTAACCAGAAAGTTCTTGGCCAGACCTCAACATGAGGGTGTTGGGGCAGTTGTTAGAAGAAGCATAGGGAGGTAAGAGAGGATGATATCATAGTAGTTCCTGCATGGATGAGGTTTTCTTTATCAGAAATTAATTTTGATAATAAGGTTGAAAGGTGTAGATTAACTTTATATGTATATTGCATTGCAAGTTTTTTAAAAGTTGAGCTTTTTGAATTGATTGGTTATGTGGGCGTATGTTCAGATTTGAGCTCAAGTACTTTGATCCTTTCCTTGTCTTGGATGAATTCTCAGGTGGGAATCTCTGTAATTTTCTCTGTTTATTAACTTCAACTATCAAAAAATACATTAGGGTCAATCTTGTCTTGTGTTTTTCTAAGAATGTGATATTCTGAATATTGCAGTCTCTGCTCCTGCTGGGTTTCCTGATCATCCGCATAGAGGTTTGTTAATTTGAATTTCTAATGTCATTGATGTTTTGTTCTTAAATGATATAATTTGCTTAGCTTCTGACTCCATGTTCCTTGTGGTGTTTTTACACTTTTCTTTTGACAGGATTTGAGACAGTCACATACATGTTGCAGGTAGATCAAATTTTTGTTGTTTCAGTTTATTGCCTTTTCCTCCTTTGCTCGTTGATTATAAAACTGTTTTCCAACATTTGAGAAACCTTGTGTTAAGTTATTTTATTCTTTGTTGCAGTACGTGTTATAAAGTTAAGGGCACATAATATAATTGCCATTATGCAAATCAACATAGTTGATTAACCAAAAATTAAAAGTAAACTGAATAGTACTATTTCGCTTGATGGTTTCTTATTCTATATCAGCTCATAGGTCTAGTTGAGCAAAAATATCATCTCAATATGGTGTTAATTTGTGTGCTGGTGGTGTGGCAACATGTAAGTCACAAATTAATGATTCGTGACCAATTGAGCCATTTTGATCAGTGCAACAAAAACCAAACCATTAAAGATTATGTCCTGTTCACCAATAGTAGTTGGTTGTGACTTATGAGCACAAAGACAAAAGTGGCCCCACATGCTGATATCTTGTTATTTTTCTAGAATGCCAACTGCCATCTTGAGTGTAATGTAATGCATCTAAAGTTGTGTATTGGTGACATATGTAGTGCTGATGTGCTAACCACACCTGAATGCAACTTTTTTGCGCAATTCAGGGAGCTGTAACACATGAAGATTTTGAAGGACGAAAGGGAACAATTGAAGCTGGTGACTTGCAGTGGATGACTGCAGGGAGAGGGATAGTTCATTCAGAAATGCCTGCAGCTCAAGGAACCCAAAAGGGTCTCCAACTTTGGATTAACCTCTCTTCAAAACATAAAATGTAAGTGCGTAATCCTTCTATACCAATCATAGAGACACTTTTGAATAAATATCTTAATTGATTGCTTATTTCCCTTTTAAAAGTTCACAAGTAGTAAACAGCTTAATTAAGTGCTAATTGAAGTTACAAAAAGTCAGTTTTTAATTGAGTTTGGATAAACATCAACAACTATACATATTTATCAACAAAATCATGTCACATGAATGTAAAAAACGCAAAAACTTCTTTGTTATTTCAGGTGATAAATATTTCTTGATGTTAATACATAACCAAACATTTACTAAATGATTGATGTTTACTAAGTATTTTTTAAAATTTTAATGTGAAAACCTCCAAATAAGAAGTAACCACTAACCAGGATTTTTTTGATGACGAGCTTTTTGCGTCACTGAGGATCATCATCATTGATTTGGGCTATAGTTTTTTGGATAATGCTCATCACCAAATATCAATGAGACAAAAAGGAAATCCACTCTTCACAAAGAAATAGTAAAATCTTTTTAAACTTTCTGGATTCAGATATGGCTTCCTAACTTTCAAATGTGACTTTTTTTCTCATGATTTGCCATCATGTACCATTTCCTAGAAGTGCTCCTCAATGGAGCATCAAAAGATGCAATTGTGCAAAAGGGCCTGAAATGGCCAGCATAAAGAAAGTGTCTCTCTCCCCATATTTCCCATGGTGATGATGGAAGCTTCAATAATAAAAGGGCAACCATAACATGTTGCCAATGCTAGTTTCAAATTAATTTGTCTGGTTCTGGATGACCCACTTTAAATGAATTCAACTTTTTCATCAGTGTCTTCTTGGAAGTACTCTTTGTGATCCTTTAAGAAACAATCATTGTCTACCTTGAAGTTTACGTTTAATTGGTAAAGTAGTTTCTTAATTCAGACGCTTAAACTTTGGTTTAATATGTCTTTTGTACTATTGTATTAGGATTGAGCCAAGGTACCAAGAAATGCTGAGCAAGGACATAGCTGAAACTGTGGTAGATGGTATCAAAGTTAGAGTGATAGCAGGGGAAGCTCTTGGAATAAAGTCTCCAATCTACACAAGGACACCAACCATGTACTTGGATTTTTCCCTTAAACCTGGTGCTCACCTGCAACAACTAATACCAAAATCTTGGAATGCTTTTGTATACATATTGGAAGGAGAGGGTATTTTTGGGAATCAAAAGTCTCAACCTGTGACTTCTCATCATATACTTCTTCTTAGTTCTGGGGATGGACTTGAGGCATGGAACAAATCTTCTAAGGTTCTTAGGTTCATTTTGGTTGGAGGGGAACCATTGGGGGAACCTGTGGTGCAATTTGGACCCTTTGTGATGAACACTCAAGAAGAAGTTGACCAAACAATTGATGATTTTGAGAATTATACCAACGGATTTGAGAAAGCAAGACACTGGAGATCTGAAAGTGCAATTAACCTTGATTATTGATTTTATTTTAGGTCACATTTGTTGGTTGATTTGGGAAAGATGGGAGGAAAAATAAGTTCTGATGTAAATTGGAATCTATGAATTAGGCTAAGAGTTTCTATCCTTTTCACCTTTATATTATGTTTATATACTATATTATTTGTATGCGTAAATTAAAATCCAAATGTAGTAAAGTGAAAAAGCAGAGTAAAATTATATATAGTCCATTACCCTTTTTATTTTTCTTTGTTTGGTTTTAAATTCTCTTTATACATTGTTTTTTTCATTTAAAAGGATCAATTCTAAAACTTCATGTCATTTGAATCAATAGTTGTTGATATTTAAACTTTTATTATATACCAAATGTAACTCTTCATTTATTTTTGTTAGTTCGTGTTTTGATTAGTATGCTTATTTTTTGAAAGTGAAAACGATATTGCATTAAAGTAGCTTATGGAAGTGAGTTTCAATAAATTTGGTCAATTCTCCTAACTCCACGTTCCAAATGGAAACAGGTTTTTTAGTATCAGTCTTCTTGTAGCATGCATACCGAAAAAGGTAGTTGGGGGTGCCAAACAAAGACTTACAATAATTCATCACAAGCTTTTTTGAATGCGTATTTTGGGAATATGATTTATTTTATTCGGGTTGACTTAAATAAAATTCTTAATTCAGGGTTTCAAAAATTTCTTCAGCATATTTTAATGCAATTGCGTTCTTAAGATTCCTACTAGAGAACAGTATCAAATAATCTATACCATCGTGTATTCTGCATTGTTAATATTCTATTAAGTGATTATAATCTGTTAAATTATTTAATTTTAATCATCAATAATAAAAAAATTATTTATAATTAGTTATACTAATTTTAAAATGATTTATAGCTGCATATATTGAATTCTGCACCTTGTAGTATAGTTAAATAATAATAATTAATGTCACCCAATGTTTTTAAAGTAAAATATTATTTATAAAATAAATCTCGAGCAATTCTGAAGAGGGAACTTGTTTTAAAAAGAGTTTTTATGCATATTTAAAATAATTATTTATATTATATATCTCAGTAAATAGGTAAATTATCCATAATAAGCAAACTACAATTTACACCAAATAATAATAAGAACATATAATAGTTAATACTTCTTTTTAAAGAAGTATTAACTCGCGCATCTATTATTAAGTTGTTTATTGGCCGTACATAAAATAAGTGTAAGTAAAATTTCCGGCGAAGTCATAAAAATAAAAATTGACTTTTAATAGATAAATATGTCAAACTCAAATTTGTAAATATGAACTCCATGAAACTCAGACGTATTAAAACCAAATTTGACTTCATCTATTTTTAACTTAAGTAGTCACGTCAAGTTTTAATTATTCGTTTTTCAAGACTATATACTTCAATTATATGTGATTCACGTGCACATGTTTATTTGTTTAAACGTCTTTGATTTCGTGGTAAAAATACTGAAAATTGATTTAGAGGACTGGATAAAACTAAATTCGTCTCAACTTTAATCAATTGACAAACGTTAATTTCTGTGCTGAGTAGAAAATTTGATGTAAATTTTATTTCACTTAAAAGTTAATTTAATCAAAATAAAATTCAATCAAAATTAATTTTGCAAAACGATTGTTGAACTTACACGAAGACCAAGAGTGAGAGCAAGACATGTTGACATTGTTCTCCTTCTGTTATAACAAGCTTAAGTGATTTTTTCCCATCAACGTTTTAATATCCTTTTGGAAACCTTCCTGCTTTTTCTTGTGCCACTTACTATATTGGTTCAGGACGACTTAGTACCAACTCTAAGGTAATTCCATTATACTTAAGGTGGTCTACGGAATTGGGCAAGAAAAGTAGGTTTACAATTCTATTTGACAAAATTTCTAGAAAATGTGAAACATGAATTAATTGAATAACTTGTTTAGAAATTCAACAAGTTTATAAGTTTGCAGATAATAGCCTTATATCAGTTTATCATACTCTTAAAACTATTAGCGTAATGAAGATAGGATTTTATCCAATTTTATAATTCCTTTACCTTCAAACACACAATACTGCCGACAATACTATTAATGATCCTTTAGTGGCAAAACAGATAGAATTGGAGAAATTTGGAAGTAAAAGCTTTGATGAATTGATACCATGTTTTCAAACTTGGAAAAGTAAACAATGTCATATTCATTCATTTTCAGATGTTCTATAGAAGCACAGAACTAGTCCGGAGGAGGGGGCAGATGCAACAAGACGAAGATGTGTATGATTGTTTGTGACCAGGATAATGCATAACACAGGCCCAATATCCTCCATCAAGAGCATTAATCATACTCACACTTAAACTTCTGCTGTTTCAAATACTTTTTCAACTTCTCCAATGGTGTTTCGAGCATCCTCAATTTCAGGACCCGCCTTCTCATCAGACCCTTCTAACTCAGCCTGAAAGTGGAAAATAAAACTCCAACATGATCATAATTACAATCCAACTTCAACAGATGGATAAATTGAACTAATCAAGTTGATTTTTAAATCAGAGAAGACACCTGGGATAAAAAACAAAGAATTCTGTGCATATATGAAAATAAATTGGTTTGTTTTGAAGCCCCAGCTTCAAATATACACGAATGGATTGATTAAAATGACAACAAAAAATACTTGCAGAAAATATACCAAACACAAAATATTTTAACATAGTACAGTAGTAATTTTAGTTGCAACTTTCTCTAACTCCAAATAAAGATGCAACAATCCCCAACTAGTCAAATAATTCTTTAGCTTCCACGTCAGGATTATAATCAAGACGAAGTTGCTGGAACTCATCGAGAAAGAATGGACTAGCTGAACGCCTTGACCCAGACGAGAGTAAAACTGTAGGAACTAGGGAACATAATTTTGTATTGAACCTTGAACTAGTGAGGTCAGGAATGATTAGTAAGATAGCTATATTCCTATCCCAATCGATTGGTTACAATATATAAATCACTAACAGCACCATCTTCCATCAGACCAATTAAGAGTAAATAAATACTATAAGTTAGCAGGGTGATTTCATGATAAAGCCAAGGAATCCAAAGTTGAGCATGTCAAAATTGTTAAAAACATCCATGACAACAGAAAACCGAGAGATGTAATAAGCACAAAAACACGAAATAAAAAGTACCAATATTCCTTTCAAGTCTGCAAGAGAGGCCTCAAGGCGCTTATGGCAATCAGGAATCATCATCCTAGACTCAGCCAACACATTTTCCTGTTCATATCCAAATTAGTTCAACAAAGTTAACAATCAATTTCCAAAATTAAAGAATGGAAATACAGAGGCAGATTGTTTAGGGCATACCTGCTGCTTGAGGTCATATGGGTCAGCTCCCTTTTCCTTCATGTCAGCAGTTTTGGCAGCTTCTCTCTCAACTTCCTTCTCATAGGAATGCAACTCCTTCACTATACGTTTGCATGTGCTTGTCTTGATCTTCAGACTTTTCAAAGTAGCCATTCAATTAGTCCCTACACAAACAAAATTCATAAAAGTTGGCAATGTAATCTCATCTCGATGTTTCCCGTCCAGTATTAACCGAAGTATGAACGCTTAAAATGTAAATCGACATTCCGATCGAATGCAAAAGACAAATGAAAGACGATCGAAGAGTAAAAAATTAAAACAGCAGCAGGGATTCGCTCCAAAATATCATTGTGACTGATAGATTAGGATTGAAGGAAGGAAGAGGAAAATGGAGCGATGATGTTCAATTTTACCTTCTGTTTGAGTGGTTTTGCATACAATGTTGTTCCTGCTTCCAGTGCCCTAGCGCAGATCCACGGTGAACGGAGACCAAGATTGAAGAGGGCCTTTCCTTTTCTCTCACTAAAACGCACCGTTTACTTAATTCTTCTTTTCTTACTTCAAGTTCCCCTCAGCATGGAAGCCCAAACCCATGGTGTAATTCTCACGATTAGCTCTCTTCTTCTGTTTCTTGGCCCAACTTCACAAATTTATCAATAAAACAATTTTTTTTCATTTTAATATTCAAAATAATGGGGAGTTTAGTCCGTAAAAAACTTTCCATTTTGCACTTTGGAATCTTTAATCAGGGTCCTTAAAACGCTCGATAGTATTTCTTTTAAGAAAAGTGGGCAAGATCAATTTACACAATCCTATTCACGTTTAATACAGAAAATATTTAGTTAATGTTCAGTAATGCATGTTAAAATTAGAGAATATTTCAGATGAATGCCTCTAACATCAGTGGATAGAGTCAAGAATTTAAAGAGCACCCTCATATTTGACTCTTCTAAATTCAAACAGTTCTTCAAGTGTCTAAAATAAGTTGATTTTATAGAAATTTCTTCAATATGTCTGGGACATGAAGACGCCTTTCTAATATCTTTTTACCATTAGCTTACGTAATGTACGGATTCGATGGTAATGCATTTGCTACACTACTCAAGTGTCAAGTTAGATTTACAGAGAAATAAACTCAAGTGTTTATTTAATTGCAGCGTAGTTATTCCATAATTTCCGTTGAGTACATGTAGTTGATGTACCAAGATTCATAGCTATGGGCTGTCGCCAATATAAATGGATAAATAAAGTCTAGACAATGTTGGATGCCCAAGAACACCCAGTGCTCGAATGCTCTTCAAGTAGACTTCTAAACAAGATCAGAAAGATAATTTTCTAATTCAAAAAGGTAAATCCGTGAAAGTCACGGGTTACAAGTAACTTCACGCGATGTAGGTATTATTAGAATTGGGATCTAATAACTACATAATACTGTTTGGTTAATCATGCAGGAATTGCAGAGTTTAGTTTTCAAACTAAAATCGATGCCAACTAACTAATATTATAGTACGGTAAGCATCATATATATAGGCCATCCAGGTTAAACAAAACATATTGGAAGTCAGTAACATGTAAATAATCCATGTCCTTGGACAATTTGTTGCCACCCTTAAGTTCATAAAAAGAAATGTTGATAAAAGCTACAGGGAGCCTAAAAAATAAAAGGCAAAGGGTGACATTATCTACATGATACTAGACAACCACGATATCCGATTTCTTATTGAGATGTCGGATAAGATCCCTTGCTGCGCTTCTTCAGGGACTCGGAGAAAAAAGAGAAGGCTTCTTTTAGTTCTTCTGGAAGAGGGAGTTGAAGGGGGAGTGCCATGGGAGTACGTACATTGTATTTAACAGATCGTTTTTTCCAGGACATGGGAACTGCAAGTGCTGGTTGCTGCTTGTTTAGCCCTTCCATAATAAAAGAAAATGCCCCAAAAGTGAGACAGCTCTGCAGAAGAGCTTGTGGAGCACCTGCAAAACCATAGAGGATAAGTTCTAATAACAAAACACAAATTGAAATTTATAATTATATTTAGCTCCACAATTTTTAAAATTAGCAACGATTGGAAGGCATTCTAAGTCAGCAAATTTTCCACTCCTTTTAAGGTGATGGTATGCAGAGAGGAGTCCAGAGTAATACATCTGAAAAAATTGCCACACTCACTGATTATAGACAAAATTACCGTTGCTTCTAGATCACATGATTATGATATCAAGAATGATTACAAAGCTTATGATATCAAGATTGGCCAGCACTTTATCCCATTTTCTTACAAGTTTCAAAGAAAGGGAAAATTCGTCAATTTATTTGTATAAATAAACAAGAGCTACCTGGAAAACTTAGAGCAAGACCAGTGCAACATCCAGCTACCCCCGCATTAATGACTGCAGATACAAAAGAATCCACATTACCAGTGGAAGATCGCTAAAAAGCAAATGTGCTATTTTGTAGTTACATTTTCCTACCATCATCCTTTCCTCTAAGTCTTTTCAAGATGCAAACAACCAAGCTATGAACTCCAGACAAAACTGCAAATGTCTAATAACAAAGAGAATAAAAAAAGCATTAACTACAAGCTAAATTAAAACAAACAAAAAAAATTAAATATGAAACGAGTAGCCAACGTAAAACAAGAAAGGAAAAGGGCACCGAGATCCCAATGCACCTTTGCATAAGATCCCGCTTCTACGAAGGATCCTTTAAAACCTTTTTTCTTAAACAATCCAGCACCTGAAACACACCATATACAGAATCTTTCAGCAAAATCAGAAAAAAAAAAAAATAATCAACTTACAATTAAGCCATCGAAAATAAATTTCTCGAAGATATTTTTCACACCCACTTTTTTCTATTCAGGATAAACACACTAAAAAAATCCTCATGTCAGCTATTTTTTTTACTCAAATACTCATTGAACATAACAAACCTACATTATTGAGAAAACAAAACTAATTAGTTCAAAAACCCAAACATAATTGAATGTAACATAATACCAGACACTTGCTCCTGTAAACCGAGTCAAAAACACATTCACTTCTTCAGAGTTCCACTAAATTAAGTGGCAATCCTCTAGTCACTACATATCATAGCTAAAACGAAACAATAGACAATACAAAAAAACCACACACCAAACGGAGAAGATTTCAAGCACTGTATCCACAACACACGCATACACTACGACCAGAAACAGCGAATCTTCGATGAAAAGGTGAGCGAAGAAATTAGGCTTAATAAATGGTAATTAGTTGGAAAGAAGACGGCGTAATGCGATAATAAGAAGAAATAAGAAGAGGAGGACCGTATCCAAAGACGGAGCCCATGAGAGCGCCGCCGGCAGAGTCGGTGGCGAAGCGGAGGAGGCAAACGGCAGGAGCAGCGGGGACGAGAGCGTTGGGAGGATTAGGATTGGAAAGAGAATCAGAGTCTTGAGGCTGAGAAGTCGCGTCAGAATCTGGCGTCGCCATAGATGAAGAAGTTGAGCCTCTCTTCTTAGTTGTTTTCCTCTTCGGTTCTTCTCTCCTCTTAATTCTGTTGTGTGTGACTGCGCGACTCTGATGTTATCCCTTTCCAACGTTCCCCGCGACGTCGTTTTGTCACTTCCCACAGTTTTATACTTAAAACTTGTACAATTAACTAAAATAAATCACTTTATAATTATAAATAAATAAAATAATAAATATCTGAACTTGTTTTAACCTTTTCCCACTAATCACTCTAAAATTTTTTTGTTTCTTGAAAAATATAAACAAAACATGATTTTTAAATTTGCTCTCAATTAATGTATTCAAGCATTGGTTATTTAATCATAATCTACTCACAAAATAATTATTCAATAGTTCCTTCAGCTATTTTTATAGAAAAGAAAAAAACACATTTGTAAAATAATCAGTGTCTTTGAAATTACGGTTGAGACTTGCTAATAGTTAAAAAAAAATTGTTTACATGTTCTGATTAATTTTAACATTTTTTTCTAGAAATGTTATTTCTAAATTCTCATAAAATTTCTCAATTATTTTTTTGCCTTTCAACTTCACTCATTTTATTATAATTTATCGTGTAAATATTTAATAAGTAAAAAAAATATATTTTAATGATATCATAGTATAATCACAATTATTTCATACTCATATGGGATTTCTTTGCAAGTCCCATTGAATAAATAAACCTCTTTATTTTTATTGGACAGCTACTGAGAGTAAACCAAAAAAACCGATACGTTCAAGAATATCATATTTTTTAAGAGTTAAAGGCAATCTTTTTAAATGTGTAAAAAATACCATTTCAAATTGTTGAAAGCAAATTTGTCAAAACGGTATGTCTAGAATTGAAAGCAGGATATGATCACTGTCATCAAACAATTGTTTAAAATTATTTGTATATATTAAATGATTAATTTGTATTTAATACATCCCTTCGTTGACTGTAGAAGACATGAATAAATTTTATATATATGATCACAGAAAAAAAGACATTATATTTTTTATATTTTTTTAAATAATAAAAAACTTAAAAAGATTTTAAACTATGGCTAACGTTTTCATGGTTCATTCTTGCGAGTTGTGTACGCATTCTAGACATTATTTCCATTCCTCAAATAATTCAAACATTACATTAAAATCATTCAATGTTGCTACTGTTACCTACAGTCAGTACAAGCAGAGAAAACAAAAATTGGAATTCCACGAACCAAGTGTTCCCACGCAGCTTAAAAAATAGAATGAATTTTAAAACAACGCAAAGAATGAATAAACCTACTGATCCAAGAAGGATCTGATGCCAAAGTAAGTCATCAATTGTTAATCAATCCCACAAATGTGGAATTAATAATGCTGTTGATAGATTGCTCCAAATTCTACTCTCCATGCCTGATCGTCATGGGAAGTTGCATTGTTGTGAACCACATCAGAATCCTCTCTAAATAGTGGCTGCAGTGCAGACTCTGGTAATTTGCTCTCTGCAAGGTACTGCTTCATGGTAATCATCTCCATCTTCTGTTTTCTTTTCAGCTTGTCCATTTGCTTTTTTAGCTTTTCATTATGTTGTTGCACTTTTGTGAAATTCTCCTGTTTAAGAAATACAAAAATCAAGAAAAGAAAAATAGAAATATCCAAAATGTGGTTTACCTTAAGCTTTTAGGGTAGTGCACCAAGTTTGTATGCTACCTTCAATACCTGATGCATTTTAAAAGAATTGATGATGAGATTTTTACCTCTGCAATAGACGCTGCATGCTCAGCTTCTCTTAGTCTGACAAGGAGTTCCCCAGCAGCATGAACAGCTTCTGCAGTTTCTCTAAGTTGAATCTTGAGATTCATGTTCTCCTTTTTTAAGAACTTTGCTTCCCTTTCTCTCTCCACCCTCAATGCAGAAAGCTCAGCAGCTAGAGATTTGGCAAAGCGGGCATGACCCTTCTTCCCAGCCTTCGCCGCTGCTCTCTTCACCTCTGCTATGCCTTCCATTATAGCATTGTGCTTTGCAACCAAATCATTGTATTTTTCTTGGAGGTCGGCATAGTGTTCCACCATTCTAGCATGCCCAAGAACTGCTCTTTTTAGTGCATCGTCTAACTCTTCAGTGCACTTTTTCTCTAAACTCAGTTCCATCTCCACCCTCTCTGCCCGCTGACGGCTGGACTCGAGATCAACTCTTAGTTCATCAGTCAAACAAATCCACTCACTTTCCATTTCTGTCCATCTCTGTCTCTCTTTCTGTAGCTCATCTTCACCATTATCGTGAGATAATACAGCACTTTTTCGCTGTTGAATGGATCTTGACGTTAATGACAAGGACGATCTTAGTTTGTCGGTGGACTTTCTAACTGGTGCATCGCTACATATTTGCAGCTTGCTTCTTAGATTTTGAATCTCCTTCAGAAGTTCTTCCTTCTCAGATGCATCAAAAGAGCTTTCTCTTTGAGTTACTTCTTCCTGGACTTCCTTAATTTCACATTTTTCCTCTACAATATCTGTTAAACACTTGACTAGTGAAGTGCCTCTTGGAAGCTGCAAACCACATGGAAGGTAAATCACAAAGGTGAGTTACAAACCTTCCAATGGATAGAGAGCATATTGTAAATTACTAACCCAACAGCTGACCTTTTCTTCATCGTTCAACAAGTTATTCTCTTCATGTCTAGTCTGTTTGTTGCTCTCTGGATCATACACGATGATGGAAGAATTTAGTTCTTTTTCTCCTTTCAGTTTCTCTACCTGGACAAACCAAACTAAAGTGTCAGTAATGTAAATTCACACCGCAAATATAATTCATTAATGACATGACTCCTTATACCAATTGATTTAGTTCTTCAATTCTAGCAGCTTGCTCCTTGCAAACATTCTCTAGCTCCTTTTCTCTTGCGATCGCTTCTTCCAGTATACTCTGGGAATCCTTGAAGCAAAAATAATAATAATAAGAAGAAGAAGAATAAGATAAGATGTATGAGTTCTACAAGATAATTAAAATCGCAAAATATTCTGGAAATCTTCTACAAGACGTCATACTTTTGAAACTTTATCTGTCAGTCTATCTGGATTTTCTGCTTCGTCTGGCTCAATCCTTGATTTTACGTTTCCTTGAACCTCAGTAGAATCCTGATTGTATATTCTTTTACGGCAAGGTTCACAAAGCAAGGTAGCAGTTCTTTCATCATCAGAATATTTCTTCTGTTGCGTTATTTGATCACAAGAATCGTCCTTGTCTGTTTCTGAGCAAGGTGTCAAGGTTAAGTGATCAAAAGAGAAAGAAGCGGAAGATTTGTTTAATCCTGAGTTTCGCTGATGAAAATCGATTATCTGCAATCCCCTGTGAAGGCTTGCGGCCAAGGATTCAGTAGGACCTGGAAAAACCTTGCTTGATCGCAGCGAGGATCGCATCTTCTCACCCTCGTTAAATGATTGTCCTAATATATCTTTAGTGGAACTCAAATTCTCCTCTGCCACATTGTTCCAACTTCCAAGACAACTTGATGAATAAGCCACACTTTTCCTCTGAACATTTCTGATTTTTGGAGACTCGGACAACTTTGGTTCCTCAAGTATTGGAGATCGACCACATGAGCTAACTGAAATGGTATCTCTGAATGTAGATTTAATTGACCTTGAGGCGTTACTTGCAAAGTCATCAGCTGAAGCATACAAGGTAGCATTTGATCCCTCACTTTCCTCGGGACAAAGCTTACTCAGTGTTTCTTCAAAACATACTTCGTCCTCTATCTCAATTTCATCACCACTGGTTATATCTGCATCACAATTTTCTGCAACAGAATAATACTGGACACAATCTTCATTGACAGGTATGTTTTTAGGATTCTCTTCACAGGAATGATACAATTCATCAATCTGCTGGCGTAACTGCCTTATGTCTTCCTCGTCCACATTTACCTCTTCATCAGTGTCATTATCAATGCGAGGTAGGAGTATGGAGCGGTTTAAGCTGTAACGCAACTGATTAAGACTTTCCCGTACATTACGTCCTTGAAAGTATCCATTTTTACTCCCATCCGAGCAACGAACCTCAGCCTTTGCTCTAATAAGTTCTTCCTGCACCAAATCAAACATACCAAATTCTTGGATGTTATTATCTGCAACAACCCCCCTCCTTTAGAAACTATTCAAATAAAGTCTTGGAGAAAAACAATACCTTCAGTTGCCGGATTTGATCACTTAAATCATTAACATCATCTTCCTTTATCTCATTGATAACAGGTTCATTTCTAATGGTTCTTACTCGCTGTCCAAACCTGAGTGTGCGCAGCGTTTCGCCATTATTCCTACAATAAACAAATACAATGGTTACCACTAGAAACAAAATATAAGATGTTAGGCATAAACATGAATAGAAATGCTCCATGGTCCAGGTAAATACTTGTTATCGGGGGAGATGGAACAGATTAATGAAAGTTTGGCATTTCCACCAAGTGATTCTTGTAGTAAATGCGTTAAACAGGAATTCCCGTTTGAAAATTCTTCTGCTTTTCCGGAGAGAGTTTCTTTAGTCAGGGCATCCACTAAATGCCTACAGCACAAAGAAGAAAAATAAGGACCAAAGCAGTTTGGACTTGGAGACTTAAAATTGCAATAAACAGTTAAAATCACAAATAAAAAATATTTAATATGTTGGGATAACTGAAAACTAGCAAACTAAGTGGTAGAGAATATGAACCGGCTGCATCTAGTCATGGTATGGCATCTTACCCCAGCTGAGATAAGGACTTCTTTACATTTTTACTTTCCTTTAGACATTGCTTGCCTGCATCCTCAACTTTGTTCCTGTCCTGTCCGGCAAGATCAATAAGGCTAATTCTGCTAGATTTTGAACTACTGAAACCATTCGATGATATTCCCTGCAGCACCAGTCAAAGAAAGAAAACCAGAGACAGCAATTAAATAAGAGTGAGAAGTATCTATTTGGTTCTGTCTCAATTTTAAATAAGAAAAATGTTAGTTATCTGTAGCTAGTCATGTTAAATACAATTCTAGCGGCAATACCTTACACCAAGATTCAATCACAAAAGTGAAAATGATATGTGATCTAGAGCTCTTAGAATTTAAGCTTGTAGCTCCAACTTTTCTGCTGGAAAGTCCCTAAAGCATATAAAGACCAAATAAGAAAGCTGATAAAGTACATATAGCATGTAGACATCTAATTTTCAGCAATGTATTTGCTTTGATACCTCCCTAGTCCCTACCTTAATCAGAATTTGTGTCACATCATCATAGCTAGTAACATATTCCTCGGTTAGATTCTCTATATACAACCCATTTTTGGAATCATCTTTCATCTGCAATAATTTGGACCGGCCATAATAAGCATGCAGCAATGAAAAACAAATGTATTAAGTAAATAATGTTTTCAAAAGGATGCCAAATGCATGCCTCCAGGTTGCGCTGCGTTGGATCAAGTAAGTCCCCAATTTGCTCATTGTATATCTGTTTCAAACAACAGAAAAAAGAAAAACATGATCAGTATCACACAAGCGATGAAGCCAAAATGAGAAGTTTTATAAAAAAATTACCTCAAGAAAAGAACATCGACATTGATAGTTGAATTGTTTCCCATCAGACACGTGCTGCTCCTAATGTAGTAATTGAAAATGAAAAAAAAAATAGTTAATAGTCAGAAAACATTATAGAAAATAGATTTAGTGGTTAAAGCGGGAAGTAAAACGTACTCTATCAAGCTCAGAAAACAGCATTTGGAAGATCCGAGGAACAATTCCCTTGTGACTTTGAGGCGAGGGCTCCTCAAACATGGCACTAGGGGGACCCCACATTGTATAAGTCTTTCCACTTCCAGACTTACAAATGATTAAAAGAAAATTAGAAAAAATTCTCAATACTTAATAGTCAATCAAGAATACCATAACATAGAAAACATGAAGTAGTACCTGGCCATATGACAGAACTGAAGTGTTGTAACCAGCTAAAGCATTTTTAACCAAGGGGACACCCACTGACTGAAAAATATCCTCCTGAACAAACAAAAGAAAATATAAATCACACTTATCTTCTCTTACGAGTATGAAGCAACAACATGGAAGCAAAGAAAATGAATTACTTTCATAAAGCAAGTCATATAAATAGTAGTAAGTAGCTTAATCCTGTGAGAGAAAATTATTGAAAGATCAAATGTATTTGGTTTGGTGTTCATTTATAATAGCAAGTCATAACACAGTAATTAAATTACCTTAATCCTTTCATGCAAAATTAAAAAAAGATAAAAATACTATAAATCACAAATGCACAATGAAATGAAGTTTTTTACCTGATTGGTGTTCGAATCAAAAACTGAATCGAAGGTAAATTGTCTATCTCCAACACATAAGGTGTCAGCAGAAACCTTCTTAACAGTTCGATCTCCCTCTATTCCATTGTTACTGGTAGGTCTGATTCGGACTACAACCTGTCAAAATAATATTATAAGCAAACAAAAAAGCGAAAAAAAGTTCACGTACTCATCTTCAGATTCATAGATTACAACTTCAACATTCAAAAACTAAGCCCAAAAAAACGAGAAAAAAGTTGTACTTACCTTCACTGAGGGGTCGGAATCAAGGGGGGTTTTCGATTGGTGGAGGTTGTTCTGAGAAATTGAGGTTTTGGAGTGTGATTGCTTGATTGTGGAGGGCAACGACTGGTCTTGGTTGATCAAGATGTTGGGATCGGTGGGGGGAGTATTCTCTGCTTCTGAATTTGGGATTTTTGAGTTTGAAGTGGGTTTGTGCTTGGAAGAGAATGGTCTGGGAAGAAAGTTTCTGAGAGATGAGGATGAAATGGTGCCAGAAAAACGAGTCTCTGCAGTTTGTGCATTACTGAATTGCCTCATGGTTATGGTTTTGCCGAGCAGGTAGATAATCTAGTAATGGAGCTATACACAACAGAGAGACAAAGGAAGGGAGAAGAACACAAAGAGAATGAGAATTTTGGATTCAAACGTTAACAAGAGTGAAGACAGAGAAGAGAAACAAGTTTTTGAATCGAGCAATGTTTAGATGACCGTTGCAAAAGGAAAACAATGACTGAAATGACTAAGTTACCCCTTCTGCTCTCTTAAAGACACAACAAAACAAACTATTGGTTCAAAGAAAAAAAAAACAAAAATTAAATTTAAATTGTGCTTTTTGTTGTGCTTCATATGGATCCTTATATATATATATATATATATATATATATATATATATATATATATATATATATATATATATATATATTTTTTTTTTTATTTTTTTTTTTTTTCGGTTTATAAGGGTAAGATTTGTTAGAAAAATTATTACGAAAATATAAAACATGATTTTAATAACACATGAATATTTAATAAGTTTGTTCATAAGTGAAGGTTTTGAACAACCTAAAGATGATTGATTAAAAAGATAGAATAATTAAAGTGTATGTCAAAATAAAATCAAAATAGTTAAATATATTTATACTTTACTTAACTTTTTTTTTCTTTTAATCCTGTCATTAAAAGTTGGAGGGAGAATCTATATATATATATATATATATATATTCACATGCGCATATGTTAAAATCTGATCCCTTTTAACCACAGTTTTGAAAACTGAAACCCTAATCTGATCAAGAACTGAGTATTTAAAATCGGATCAATAACCAGTCCATCCAACCAATTTGAACGAATAATTTAAAAATATTTTTTTTATTTTAATCTAAACAAAATAAAGGACAAAAGGTTTACTTATTGATATGAATTATTTTATTCATTATTAATATTATTTACTAATATTTAATAGCCATTTATATCAATTTTTATTTTTTATATTTTACTTTCTTATAATTTTATATTATATAGAAATTTGTCATTTTTTGTGTGTAAAATTTTTATTTCTAATCGATATTATTATATTTATAATAACTTAATATAATAATTCTGATATGTTTTAGTTTAATTTCTACATTTCTTTCAAATGCTAACAGTAAAATATATAGTAATATTTTTATTTTAGTTTTTAATATTCTAAGTTCATAATATTATTTATTTTAAACTAACTATTGAATTATTGGACCAGTATTTGATGATCAATTTTAAAATGAACTAAACTATTTCAATTAGTTCAACTATTTTAACTTTTTTTTTTGTAAAGTATGAATAATAAAGACAAATTTAAGCTTATATTATCAACATTATATCTCTGAGCAAAATGTCTACTCTAATTGGAAGAATAACACGAAACATAATATTGTAGTGAGTATTTGGCCCACTAGAAAATTGTTTAATTTTAATGTGTCTATTCTAATGGAGTAAACTTTTAATATGTAGATATCTATTTGTGTTAATTACATTATAAATTTACAAATTCAACTTCTTCTTTTTTTTGTTTCTTTTCAAAAATTAAAGTGATTTAATTATTTGAATTATATTCTTATTATACTTTTGAATTTAATTTTATATTTCTTTCCGTTTAAAATTCATTTACTAATAATGCATAAGTTTTAATATAAAAGAGAATAAATTATTAATGAAAGTAATTTTTTTATCATAAAAGAACAGTGTTGTGATTTCTTTAATACTGTATTATTAGTTTATTGAGACGTATGCTTAATATTAAAATAATTGTAGTAGATAACTTTTACAACTTGTATTTTATTTTTTTCATCAAAATTAATATTTAATTAATATTAAGAATAATATATTTTAAAAGAAAAGTACTCTATTCAAATTTATATAAATTTATTTATTTAAATAGAACTGTTTATTATTTATAGGTAATTGTTTTTCTATTTTTTATAATTTTTGTCTTTTTTTTGCTCTTTATTTATTTATTTATTTATTCTTACTTATTCTTCTAATTAAAATATTATATAAAATTTAATAAAAATATGTCAAAATAAATATTTTAAAAATATTAAAAAATTAAAAAATACTAACTAAATATTTAAAATTATGATGATAATAAATAATTAATTTAAAAATATTTTATTATAATAAATAATTAAAAAATAATAAATATTTATATTTTAAATATATTTTTATTTAATAATCTAATCTAATTATAATTAGACTGAACTATAATAATTAATTAGATTATATAGTTTTTAAAAATATTTATTAAAAATTATTTTAAAATAAATATTTTTTAATAATTATAACATAATAATAGTATTTATAATATCTCAAATTTATTTTATAATATATATATATATATATAATTATATTAAATTATAGTATTTAAATATTATTATTTTTTAATAATAATAAAAGACTCATATTATTAAATTTTATTTTATTATTTTAAATTAAAAAATAAGATGAAATAAAAATAATAATAATAATAAATGAAAAAAAATTATGTCAAACAAATTTTTTTTATTAAATATTATATATAAATGATCAACAATTAAATAAATAAATTTTAAAAAAAATATTTAAGTAATTTTTTTAAATATATTATTTATAACATTGATAAAAGGTAAATATTTTTTATAGTTTAATTTATTTCAATTAATTATTTTTTATAACAATTGCATTCTCTCAAATTCCTTCCTCACTCTACTCTTTTATTTTCTATTTTCTTTTTAATTTATTTTCTCTATCTCCTCGTAGATTTAACTTTCTATCTTTCATCTCTCATTTTTAGTTTCATTTTTGTTAAAAAAAGAAAAGAGACCCCAAAAGTGTTCATAAGAGATTAGGTCGGCACTGGGCGGTGAACGTCTTAGTCTTTCATTGAAAACAATATTAAAAAAAATGTAATTAAATGATAATATCAAGACTTGTCCAAAAATTAACTTTTCAATAATTACATCATTAAACAATTAATAATTATCTATTTTTTATTTTAATATATGATGTAGTTGAACTTTTATTTTTCATAATTTTATTTTAAAAAAAGTATATATAAATGATAAATGTAAAATTTATGAACTTGTCAATAATACCATCTTTTGACATTCAATAAAAACACTTTCAATTTTTATTTGATTTTTTTTTTTACACTTAGTTAAAGAGTGTATATTTACAATCAAAGGATGAGATATTAGTTTTTACATGTGTTATTCCCTGTTATTAAATAACATTTATAATTTTTAATTCTATGTATAAATACGAGGATGTTGTTTATGATTTAATTTCCGTTATCAATAATATCAATATTCTTATATTATATTTTGAAGGGAAATTTGCAGATTTTTTTTCTTAAATTTATAATTTTTCTTCAACTTTTAATTAATATTAATTATAATTTGATCTGTACAAACAATAATTATATATATATATATATATATATATATATTTTTTTTTTAAATGGTTGAATCCAGTATTAATATGTGAAATCAGTGGACGCAAATTACGGCATCAATACCCGGAGTATATTACGTGGAAAAAAAATGAAAAAGAGGTTTCGATGAGAAAAAGTAGAAGAACACATGAAAGCATCTTGGTCTCGAACAAAAGAGAAAGAGACAAAGACAAAGGGAGAAGACCATACACATTTCCACTTTGTTTATTCAAGCCACGCATCACACTCAGGAAATTGAGGGAAAATAATCCAATTGGTGAAGGGCACATCTCATCCTAGAACTCAAGAATCTATAATTCAAGAGATGCAATTAATTATGGCAATTTGATAAAACGAGTTCACACCATTTAAGTGTTATTTCAAAGACAGAATTTAGGGTTGTTGAACAGCGAATTAATGACGCCCCTGTCTGTCGTCTACCTCCAAGTTTGTTTTTTAATTGATTCATCAAAGTCATTCTCAGTTGATGGACAAAGCATAAGACCCCACCATGATTAACCTTTGATTTTATGTTAAACTTTGGAGCAAAATACATTGGTGAAGCATACATATGGCATGAGATGGGACCCATGAACAAAGAAAAAGGGCAATTTTCTAGAACTAAAGTGCAAAAGCTCTTCTCCTAAGTGGGCGACCGTTGGTATCGTGCCAGGAAATCTCTCATCTTCTAGACTCCCATAATCATCAATGCATTCCATTTTTTACCATCAATTTTGGCTTCAAGTATTAGGTTATTCATGTTCATCAATAGATACACAACAAATATTTCATTCAATATTTAGATAATACTTCACTTAATTTTTAGTCTTGGTCAAAACACTCCATCAAATCATCCGTATATTTATTTTGTAAATCTTCAAAGTTTGAGATATTGTGTATAAATATATACATGATTGAAATAGAGCTAATGTCAGTGAATTAACTTAAACTAAAAGAAAATACATTAAGAAAATAAAGAAAAGAGAAATAGAAGAAGAGGACAGAATTGCAGAGTGAAAATCGTAGGTGGGGGAGTGTGAGAGTTAAGAAAGGGAAGTGTGGAGCAGAAAAAAGAAGGAAAAAAGTCATAAGCAGCATACCCCACTTCCAACTGCAAAATGCACACAAATCACCTCTCATTGGTCTGTCTGAGCTAGTCCCTTCCATTTCCATGCCTTATCCTTTCTCTCTCTATCCCCACAAACATATCAATCCAACCATTACAATAAATCAGTACCCTCAGTGTGCGTATGTACACCATCATATTTATTACTCATATATACTCATAACATACATACTCCAAATACTCACTAACTAACACACAAGCTGCCCAGTGACAACAACACTACAGCACTTTTAGATTTTTATTTCTTCACTATTCACACTGTTTCCTCCTTTTCTTTTCACATTATCCTTCCCTTTTTTAAACAAGCTAGTTTTTTCCCTTCTCATCTCCAACTCTGTGTGTGTCCTTCATCCTTGATCAGAGCCTCAAACATTGCACATTCTGCTTTGACTTTGGAGGCTAACTTACTCGCTGAGGACCTAAGGCAGGTATGTGAAGCCACAACAACGTGACCATCTTTGTGTTTTTAATCAATATCTTTCTTTCTTTTAATTTTCTTTTGTTTCCTGCTTGTCTCTGAGATTTTGTGTGTGTTGGTTTAGCTTTCACTGTTTCTCTCCCTTGGATTCTGGTGGTAGTTTTTTCTGCCGAGAGCAGCAGAGAAAAGCTGGTGGTAGCTTTATTAGAATCTGGTCAAATCTAGTACTACTCTTTATTCTTGTTTATAGTTTTTAAGTTTTGGCCGGTTCTGGGTATTTTAGTATTTCACTGGAAAGTTTCAATTTTGAAGCTGGGATTCTGGTTCTTGGGAATTCGTTTTTCTCTACTTTGGTTTTGTGGACCTTGATTCTCAACTCCGTGTTTGTCTGATCTTAGGTGTAAAAGTTATGTTTTGAACTGGGATTGTTGTTTCTGAATTGACTTCTTTCCTGTGAGTTAACAGCTCACACGACAACGCTCACGAGTAATTCAAATTGAAGCTTCCTACTTCCCTTTCACATCTGGGGCTTGCCTGTTGCCTTTCTTTTATTTCTTCTTTTATGTACTTTACATACTATAAAATCTCTGTCTATGTTGGATCTGCTTAAGCCTGCCTAAGTTGAAACTTGTTATGTTACTGTTTTTCCAAGCTGAGTTTATCTATCTTGATCATGGAATAGTGAATTTTTGTCTTCCTGGTTTTGCTAATTCTATCTAATTCCTTGTTGAGAATTCGGTTTAAGTGCAAATAATCATTTTGGTGTTAGTTTGAAGTTTTTGTTTAACTTAGGGTGACGTGTTTTTGTAGAAGTTTTTTCGTGTTTTGTCAGGTTCCCAAATCACTGATATTATGGAATCCCCACAATCTGTTGTGTCACCATTCAAGAGCTCTGTCTTAGGTGAAGCTGGGAAGTATAAGTCTGATATTTGCACGCAAAGCTCGGGTCCTTTGTCTAAGGACATTGAAGTCAATGGAAAGGAAGCTGTCATGTCCAATTCAGAGGACTTCATTGGTGTTGTTGATGTTTACATTCATCAGGCCAGGGACATTCATAACATCTGCATATACCACAAGCAAGATGTTTATGCTAAAATTAGCTTGACTAGTAATCCTGAGAATACCGTCTCTACCAAAACTATCAATGGAGGAGGAAGGAACCCTGTCTTTAATGAGAATCTTCGTATAAGCGTTAGGACTGTTGATTCTGCTGTCAAATGTGAAATTTGGATGCTGAGCAGGGTCAAGAATTATCTTGAAGATCAGTTGCTTGGTTTTGCTTTGGTGCCTTTGTCAGAAGTACTGGTGAAGGATGGCAAGCTAGAGAAAGAGTTCTCCCTTTCCTCAACTGATCTATTCCATTCACCAGCCGGTTTTGTGCAATTGTCTCTCTCATACAACGGCGCTTCACCTGATGTTATTGCAATTTCTGCAATGCCTACTGAGTTGGCTGCAAATGGCACCGAGTCATGCGAAACACTGGTCAGAGATTTAGACAAAATTGAATTCCCGGATCCAAAAATCGTAAATGAAGACCACCTGATGGTTTCAGAATACTTTGGCATTCCATGTGAGGAGAGCCAGTGTTCTGGTAGCTTGACCACTACTGATGCTGAAAATCTGAGTTCTGAAGCAGGCGTTCAGCTTGTGGAGAGCTTTTCAGCATGCAGCGTTGGGTCTGCCCAACCTCCTAAGGTTGATTCCCCACCTACCAGTGTATCCACAAATGGAGTTTCATCTCCTTCAGTGGTTGCAAGCACAGATTCATCTGATGTTGCTGCTTCCAAGTCTCCGAATCAGGAACAAGTTTCGGTCACCAAAGAGAAAAATGGGGATGTCAAAGATGGTGAGACCGATTCCTCAAATGGGGTGCTGAATGAATCATTCCCTAAGCCTGTTGTGACCGTGAACATCGAGCCTGAGTCAAATGTGGTGCAGCAGGACATAGTAGACATGTACATGAAAAGCATGCAGCAATTCACAGAGTCGTTGGCAAAAATGAAGCTTCCTATGGACTTTGAAAGTGGACCAACTAGTTCAGGAAACTCAAGCTCTGAACAGAAGTTACAGACACCAAAGAGCGCTAACTCCCGTGTGTTTTATGGCAGCAGGGCTTTCTTCTGAACTTTTGGTTTGCTTTGGTTCATGGGAATACTTTCATGTGACTTAGATTTTAGAATGAAAAAAAAAAAAAAAAAACTGATATCAGTAGTGAAATGAAATAATGCACTGTCCAGTGGAATTCTCAGCTTATGTACTTCTTGATCTGTCATAGGCAACAGGGAATCTTAACTTTGTACTCTCACAGGCCTGGTCCTATCTTAACTGCCTCATGAACTTTTTCTGCTTTAATCTTATTTCCCTGTGTTTCTTTGTATTTTGGATGTCAATATTTGTGAAAGCGGATTCATCTTCCAAAAGGTTCATACTGTGTATAATCACGAGTTGTTAACATAACATGGTCCCACGATCACATGGCGAATGATAAAGTTGATGTGGGGGGCCAAATCATCTATGATTTTGCTTTATTTCACACGAACAAGAGTACCGTACAGAATCATCATCGATCTGTTTCACCTTTTCATAATACACATCCTTCTTTGGGCCTTAAGCCTACACTTAGTATCCAAGTTGAACAACTTTGGATTCTTGGAATGATGGTGTTTGTTAAAGAAAATTAAATACTCCTAAAAAGCGTCAAGTGTGATAGAAAATTCAGACTGATGAAAAAACAATTTCTAAGATCAGTATTTGGGAGTTGTTTCTTCTAGAGTGTCAAGAATTTAGCAACTGTTATTCTTTAATCAACTGTCACTATATTTTTAACTGTACACCCTTATTTCGAAGAATCAAAACAAAACCCTTCCTAAAACAAGAAAGAAAGAATCAAATCTCAATATCTAAACAAAGTTTATGCGGTGGAGAGAAACAACTTGGACATTGAAAGTTCTATTGACGAGGGGAAAATGTGCATTCCAGCAACACCCTTTCTTGGAGTTTCATCTTGAGTTCTTTTATGTACTATCATTTGCTTGCCGAAGCATTGTAGTTTTCTCGAGAATGTCGTTTTGGATTTTCATATGCCTATATTATATGTGGATTTTGTGTTTTTGTGTTTTCTTCTTTTTACTTAAAATAATATAAATTTTAATTTTGTATTATTAATTTTTTTTTGAAAAAGAATAAAAATAATTTTCACATTATACTATCATAAGAAATTTAAATAAAATTCCCTTCTTAATATTTCCAATTTCAGCTTGCTTCGTTATCTTCAAAGTTTTCATTGTAGTTACGCTTATTATTTTAAATATCTTCTTAGTTATTCATAATTTATTAATATATATATATATATATATATATATATATATATATATATTTTAGATGAAAAGTCTCATCGTCTTCCTCTTGGATATAATTTATATATTAGGTTGTTTGTTTTATCATATTAAGTTTGAATCTGATATGAAATTAAAATTTATAATTCTTTCTAATTATATATGATCCAAGAAATGACATGCATAGATAATCAATAAAAATATAATTATAATATTTTTTCTTAATCATGATACAAGAAATGATTTTTATAAATAATAGACTAAAATATAACTTTAGATTTTAGATTAAAGTTGAGATATTATTTTTAAAAGGTATGTTTTGAATTTAATACCCTACTAACCCAAAAAGTGTTTGTGATAGAAGGTGGTTGACAAAAAGGACACCGAACATGAATGTTGTGTTTTTTAATGTCAGATTAACGTAAAATTCTAATTTATAACAAATAGTTTTAATATAATTTTTCAGTATAATATATAATATTATCTTTTAGAATTTAAGATTTAATAATTAGAATTTGGTATTACGAGAATAATAATTTTTACATATATTATTTTGCCATTTTTACATCAAACATAAGTTTTAAGATAGAAAACGTAAATTGATGTTAGATATAAAATTAACATCAATTTACATTAGTTAGGATACGACAAAAAAATGTACAATTTGTCCTTTTTTTTTTTAATATGTGATTTGTTTTGTTTTACCACCAACATCTTGCAAACATATTTTAATCACATAAAATGAAGTTAGTTTTGTCTAGTTAAACCTTTGAGTGTATATTTATTAATCTGGGTGCATGATGTTGCAGAATATTTTCATACCCACGGAAAATTTGATTTGAAAATAATAGTTTTAATTTTTCAACTTATGAAAATAGAGAAAAAAATATGCATGAACAAAAAAATATTTTGGGAAAGATAAGTTTTTTAAATAAATCTTAAAACTTAAAAAGATTAATCTTTGATTATCAACAAGAGATGATCCTCTGGATTAAAAAAGTAAAGTAGCAATCTATCATTACTTCTGTTATCCTTTATTTGTTTGCAGAACGTTTTCAACATTGTGATATGCGTCATCACTCAACCATCAACAAAAAAACTTCTATTTGTGAGCAACATGACAAATGGTGAAATTGTGACTGTCACAACTTTATAGAGAAAGTGGCATATATCAAGTTAAAGTTTGATGAACTTTTCTTTCAACTTTACCTTTTTTATTTTTTTTCTCATTTGATGAATTGGGTTTTGTTTATCTTATAATGATGGTGTAGAATTGGTTTGATTTAGCATAGTGCTTGAACAATTATGGGGTGTGGGATGGGGACCATGTGAAGAAGACAAATTGGGGAAGCAAAGAATGGGAAAAGTTGTAAACTTGTTGGAACAGTTCATTTGTGGCATCAACTATGAAATTTGATTGCTTGCAAATTGCAATTGGTGAGTGATGTGAGCATTGATATGATCAAAGTGTGGAAGGAACAAAGACATGGTCCCAATTTCATAGGGAAAGCATTTGCTGTCAAAGACAGACACAGACACAAAAGCTTACCAGAACAACTCTCATTGTACAGCCCAACTTGGAATATAAAATGTTGCTTCTTTTCACTCCGGACATTTTAAGGTTATGGGCCAAGCCAATTCAATAACAATAAAAAGTTTAGTCAAAATAAATAAAGAAATTGGAGTTGATCAAATTAGTCTTTGAAAGATAAAGAATTAATTAGTTTAGTCTTTGAGAAAACAAATTAATTTGATGGACATTTTTATCTTTCAAATACGGAAATAATAATTTCAATGTTTTAGTGACTAATATGATTTTTACCACCAAAATGGTGTTGGTGACATCTTCTGTTTTTAGCATCTTTATATGCAACAATTGGAAGTGTTTTGAAAGCTTATTTAATAGTTAAAAAAAATTATGTTGAAGAGGTTGAAGTGTTGAACAACTTTAGTTTTCTTTGAAACTAATTTCAACAACTTCAGGTTTGGATTGATATGTCTTACGTGCAAGTTTAGGTGAAAGGAAATAATAAACAAGAAAACATTTAACTTAGAAAATCATTTTTTTAATCAGAATTTTATTTACAATAAAAATCATTCAAATTTAAATTTGCAAGCATTTACCGAACACATCCTTATTCTCAGTTGATGGGAGATAAACTAACGTCTTTCAAAGTTTTTCTTTTAATGGAAAAATAAATATAATTTTTGAATGACTCATAAAAATTAGTTTTACTAAATTCTATTTTACAGCATTTTATATATATATATATATATATATATATATATATATATATATATATATATATATATATATATATATCCTTCTTTACATTCAATTTGGTGTTCAAACTATATCCCATGACCAAAATAACAAAAAAAAAACTTTTTTTTAAGTTTTATTTTTGCCCTTTAAATATAAAATAAAGTAATAAAATAATAAACTAAAATGAATATCATATTGAAAATAAGAATAGTTTATAGTTAATTTTTCTATATTGTGAATATAATTTTTTTTATAAATCACAAATTCTTGACAAACACATCTTTTTAGTGAAGATTTTAAAAACATTCTCAAAACTAACTAAAAATTGCTTTGAGTATTACTTTGAAAATTGTTATTATAAAATAAAAATCACTAATATGATTAAATGATAATATAAAAGACCTTTAGACTATTAATACATGTATTATTTATTCAAAAAATACAGGAATTTTAAACTTTCTCAAAATAAATAATAATAGGAAATTGCAAATGTTTCATTAAATTATAGTAATTTTATTTGATATAAAAGTTCAAATATGTATCAGAAAATGAAAATAAAAACACAAGAACGTGTCCGATGTTAACCCAAAACATGAGTTGCTTCTGAAATTAGTTATGGTATCACATATCATTGGAGCCTCAAATTCATTCATGCTTTGCTTTCCAAATTAAATATCCAAGGAGTTCTAAAAGCCAACATTATCACAAGCTATTGTCTTCAAATAAAGATTCCAACATATATGTATTCAACCACAACCTTCATCATAATTGAGGCATGTGCATTTGTATGGATTTGCATGTGACACAATAGTCTTAGATCTCCAAGACAGGCTTGCATGGCCTAGACTAATGATATTTTAAACAAGTATTGTACTAATTTTGTTCATATCCAAGTTAATGTAAGCTGTGTAATAGCTACAACTAAGATATATAAATGTGTGTTTGTTTGTGTAGAGAGAGGACCACATTGTAATGGGATTTTTTCAGGGGAAAACTGAAAGTGATACAAGACAAATCCTGATCCTTATAAGGATAAGAGTCAGCATGACCACACACAAATTCTATCCAAGATCCAAATCCGAAATGCTATTATTAGGAAGGAAAGAAACAACCAAAAAACTGAAAGTTACTATTTACTATGGCAAACATAAGCCACAAAAAAAATCTTGAACCATGCTCCCTTATTTCAACCAATCAATTTTGATCCATATGTGGATGCTATAACATGGTCAATGTTTTCCCCACAATGTTACAAAATCCAAACAGGACAGTGAAGTAACTACTGTGAATAGAGTGGTAATATCAGTAGGAACCAGATTTGGAATGTAACATAAACCAGGTGTGAAGTTGTATAACAAAAGTCTAACAAAAAATAATATCTGTCCAGTAACTAATTATTTGATGGGGGATCCAAGATGGGTGCCCCTCTAATGTATCAAACCTGATAAATCAAACTGAACTTCACTTACAATTTGATCAGAAACATGTCCCATATAAAAGATGGTGACAAGAACAAACAGCTTTGCCAAGCATTACAGTGGCAGAAAAAATTCAAAAATTAAAAAAACTATCATTAAGCATACTAACGATGGTGCACCTCTCCAGCATTGCACTATTAAACTACTGGAACCAATCTTCCTGAGTATATCCCGCAATCTGATGTTACACCTCAATCAAATTCCAAGAAAGGAACCTAACCTTGAAATATAAAGACAAAACAAAAATCCCAAACCTTACACAAAATCCCTTGTGAATGATTTAGCCTTTGTATGGTTTCACAATACCTCGTTTTCTTTAACCAGTTTCCCTTGATCTACTGTTACCATAACATATCCAATTAACATATCTCCTACGCAGCAATTCCTGAAACAAGTAGGTATCAACAAAAGAAAATGAGTATAAATGATGTTGAACCAGAACAGGTGAAAAATGCTCAAATGCCCTTTCACAATAATATAACACGAGAAAGTATAATCAGAACTCATTTTCAATAATGAAGCAAAGGTGTAACCCACATCAATATTTTATTACAGTTTGAACTTCTCAAATACTAAATTATTGAAAAAGTAATCATACACGTAATTAACAAGAGTGAGTAATCTATGCCTACATCTCTAGCATCTTGCAAGTTAGTATAACTGCACATGAAACATCAAATTCGAATATCTTTAAATGGCAGTAATCAAGAAAATTAATGCATGCTTGGTTTGATAATATTTCATTCTCTCTTTTTCATTTCCACTAATAATTACAGAAACGTCACATTTTCACTTTATTCCCGTTTTTTCAAAGATTTGCACTTCTCAGTTGCTTTCACTACTTCCTATACAAACCATTGAAAACATAAAATAAAGATACATTTTAGTAATCACTAATGAAGATAAGAAAGGAGAACATAAAATGTTTTCTCAAACAAACTAAACGTTTCCTTTATCAAGAAAGTCAGGAGCCTAGGGTGTTTGGTATAATTGAAAGAAGACATAAATAATGCTTCCATGTTATCTTTATGTATCTCACAATTACAGTTATAAGCTTAAAGACGCATGTAACGGCACATTAAAAGTAAACAAATTTAGTAATCAACTTCCTTCAGTGAAATTCCTATTCTGTAAAATAGAAGTAAGACACACAATTGGTTTGATGAAGATGGAAATAAACATCAAACAATGTATAAACTATGATCTAATTTTCTTCAGGAGTCAAGAATGTAGCCAAAGATCTAACCTCTATTAGTTTGTCTACTTATTACATTGTAGTTTCCAATAAAACCTTCAGAATTCTTTATTGGATCATCTGTAGCCATACCACCAAGTCCACCATAACCAAAAGAACCAGAAGTATCTATCTCAGAAGCAGCAGACTGCCACGTTGAGTCACTGTAAACTGAACCGCTACGGTACAAGTCCCCATAGGATGCTTCATAACCACCAGTTGGTGCAGTAAATGTTGAGGATTGAGGCACACTTAGGCTGCTGTTCCTTCCATACCCTCCACCTCCTAAACCAATGCTGTTATCCCCACCTTCATAAGTGTTACCCCAAGTACTATACCCAGAAGCAGCCCCTCCACCCTGTGCTGGGACTGATGGACCCCAATTTGCACCACTATTTCCAATTGAAACACCAAAAGCCCCACTTCCAGATCCCATGTAAGCACCAGGGCTGGCTGAATTATTGGCAGCATTGTTAAGGCCCCCATTTCCCCAAACACTCCGAGAAGCTGAGTTCATAAGAGAATCACTTCTCCCACTACCAGCGCTATTGCCAATAGGAGTAGTATATCTGTTTGGGTTGCCATTGTACAAGGGACTTATCCGACCATATCCAAGACTGCCACCATAACCAGAAGTCCCTCCATAGCTTGTGTTCAATCCTGAATCCAAATTCACTCCCATTCCATAACCATTGGAGCCAAATGGAGTAAACCCACTTCTAGCATTAGTAAGTGGACTAAACCTTCCTTCCATCTTGACTCCATAATTTCCAATTGGACTCATATTGAAACCCTGAGCATAACTATTTAGGAAGCTACTGGTCCTATTCAAACCATAATTATATCCTATCAATGGGCTCCGGCTAGGTCCAGGTGAAAGCTCTTTAGGAACTGCCCTCTTGACCTCAACCATCTTGCCATTGAGTTCATGAAAGGTTTTATAGAGAACTCTGTCCACAGCTTCTTCCGAATCATATGTGATGAAGCCAAAACCTCTTGGTCTCTGGGTATTGTGATCGTACATTACAACAACATCAGTAATTGTACCAAACTGATCAAAGTACTTTTTAAAATCACTCTCTGTGATTGTTGATGGTAAACCTCCAACAAAAATCTTTTTGGTGCGTCCAGGACCAGGAGATCCTTGGATGCCACCAGACTGTCTGTTTACGGTTATCTGATCGTCCCTAGGAACAGCTTTCTTAGCTTCAACCTGAAAATTGAGAGCACAATGCAGATGGATCAAAACTGCAAGTCATTTTAAGCTTCCTGTTCTATAAGCAAAATAAGTCCAAGCTTAACACAATGCAGCCATAAACTTCAGCTCAATGGAGCCCAAAATGAACATGATTTATACCACCCCAACATAGTAGAAAATATAAATGTAGGGACACAATGATCTCTATCAGAAACATAAATTTAGATAGGTCCCATTACTGCCCATCCAAATAACTTGTACTGACATAATGCTTAGTAAATCTATAATGAAAAACTCACTGTGCGGCCATCAATTATGTGCTTATCTATGATGACTCTTTCAGCAACAACAGGATCCGAAAAGACAACAAAACCGAAACCACGAGCGCGACCTGTTGTGCGATCTCTCATAATTACAGCCTCTATCACTTCTCCATATTTTCCAAAATATTCTCTGAGACGTTCCTCATCAGTGTCCCAGGAAATTCCCCCAATGAAGAGCTTGCCAAGATCCGATTCCATCTGTTGTCACCAACCATGCCCAGTTAACCATCAATCACTCATTTCATCAGACAAATCCAATCCAACCACTCTTATTGAATCAAAATTCTCATGCCAAACAAAAAACAATACAACAGAAAACTAGAAAAATTAGAAATTCCAACACACACAATCTAGATTCTAGATTATTGAGTCATGACCAAAGTTCCAGTCCCAGAACCAATCTAAATCCATAGCTCATTGAATAATGCATAATTGAGCTCAACCCCCAGAAAGATTCAATTTTTGACGAGCAAAAACAAAGGAAAGCGATCAGAAATGCAGATTAGATAAATCTGTGAAGAAGGGTCACCTTAACTTGAATCTCAGACAGAACCCGGTTGGTGCTTCAATGAGATATGAAGTGGGTTATGCCAAATTCGATCTAAGAGAATCGGATCTTCGGAGCATCAATCAAAAGCTGAAGCAAAATATCTAATCCGGCAAAGAGAGAAACGAAGCAGAGCGATCGGAAATGCAGATTAGATAAATCTGTGAAGAAGGTCACCTTATCTTGAATCTCAGCCAGAACCCAGTTGGTGCTTCAATCAGATACGAAGTGGGTTATCACAAATTCGATCTAATCGGATCTTCGGGGCATCAATAAAAAACTTACTAATTCAGCAAAGAGAGAAACCAAGCAAGCAGCTATATATACTTTTTAAAAATTTAAAATTTTTATGTTTTATAGTTTTTTTTTTTCTTTTCTTTTCTTTCTGGGATCAGAGAAGGAGGGATTGAGAGAGGGTGAAGAGATCAAAGCATCATGAGAGGAACCCAGATGGGGAGGAAATTCACCATTCAAAGATGAATGGTTGGTGATGGAAAGAGAAGAAAGTAAAACTAATAATAATAATGAGAGGTGATGTGAAAAATTGAATGGAAGGGGAAACTACGAATGGGAATGAAAACGGAGGATGTGGCATGGCATGGCATCCTCTCTCCTGTCCTCTCCTGCTTTCTTATCTTGTTGCTTCCTTGCTTGCTTCCACTACCCACCCTTAATTAATTCAAAAGAAATGCAATTTCAAGCAAACATGGCCAAAGACACAGTTCACAATTTATATATAAATACTTATTCATACAATCAAAGAAAGAAAGAGAGAGAGAGACAGACACACACACTGCAAATCGTGCAAGAATATTTGGAGGAGCCAGCAAATGACAACAGATCATGTTTTTTTTTTTTTTTTTAATTAAATCAATTCATTTAGCTTAATGTAAATCACCACCTATTTATCTTTAATCAAATAATAACATTGATTGGCATAAAAGAAATATAGATGCAGTGCATTTGTTTGTTATAGCAATTATTATTGGAATACATTCTATATAGATGTACAAGGAACATATATGTGGTTTAAATATTTTGATAAAATAAAAAAGACTATTTTTTATGTTAAGAAGGTAAATTAGAATATAAAAAGAAATATGTAGTTGAGAGTTGCAAAAAATTATTTCATTCTTGTGGATCCAAGGAATTTATCATTGGTAGAAACATGTACCATTTAAATGAAGGAGAAGAACATGATGACTTCACATTTAAAATGGAGATGCAAATTTATTATATTATAGGATCAAATTTTATTATACATATATATATATATATATATATATATATATATATATAAATTTCAGTATCCTCTAAGAACATGTTCATGTATATTTAAGAAGACTACTTTATGCTTACATTACATGGGAAAACTGTTCTGGAAAAAACTAATGAAATGATGATATTTTATTCAAAGAATTTGGACTGTTATTTACTTCAAAATGCATATCAAGAAGTTGTTTTAATACTGAGGAGCAAAATTTGTAATTTGTAAAATAACCTCTTGCGGCTAAAATTTATTTATTAAAAAATAGAAAATTGTTTAGTTAAAATAATTTTTTTTAAACAAAAATAAACAAACAAATTCACTTATTATTTGGAACAAAATCGTGTTTTAGATTTTGGATGACTTAGTTTGGTAAAAGTGGCAAAATTATAACTTATTAATTTTGGATACGGAAATTGTTTATGCCATCAAATTATGTATATGTTACGTTACAGTTTATATATATTTTTTATTTATGTAGTTTTTCTTTTCCTCTTTTTGTACACAAAACAAAAACGTTTTAGATTTATGATCATAAGCATTTTTGGTGCTTAAAATTTGCATTCAGCTTTAATATCTTTACCCATGATTGAGGTTGACACAAATAATGATATCTTTCGATTCTGATGATAAAATTTATGCAGAGAAGACGATAAATTATCATAATTTGAATTGTCACGATGCTTAGGAATCAAAAGGAGGTTTAAATGTCTAAGATTTTTATTAGAAGATAAAGTGAGAAAATATGAAAATGTTAGGTTATGGTGGGAGTAGATGGAGCATCAACTTATTTGTTTATTTAATTTAAAAATTGAATGAGAGTTTTGATGGGGGAACCAACTGAAAGTGCAATGCAATCCGACAGGTAAATTCCTATAAACAAATGAAAAACCAACAACAAATACCTCGTAACTATTGTGCAAATACAGTAACACCCAATAACAAAACAACACCCAAGACCCTTTTTTTAAGTTACCAGAAAAACTTTCAAGATAAAAAAAATCTCATTTAATTACACCTCCATTAAATTCATGAATCTAGGGTTGTTGGGGGAAGTAGGAAGCAAAAGCAATAAAGAGAAGAGACACTAGTTATAGAAGCTACATTGGCATGGAGAAGCACTAAACTGAATTAAACTCTATGCTCCCATTTTTATCTAATGCTACGTCAAGACTGAAGAATGAGTTAAAGAAAGTTGACAAATGAAGGAAAAGAAAGACCGGTTGGTAACATATTTTCCACACTCATATCATCAGTTGCTTCCTTCTATGGACACCTTGAAAGCTACTCTAAAAGGTCTAGCCACAGTCACAATATTTGCAGCTTAACCTACCCTAACCCCCTTACCTTGGATTTTTTCCAAAACAAACCCATCATAACGTACAATACAATCATTACACATATTCACATTATTATTAATCTTTTCTGTTTCTTGTTTTCAAAACTTTGTATCACAGATATTGAACAAAAATAAAAATCAATGTTTTCACTGTTTCTGCACTTTAAAAATGAGAATGAAATGAATGAAACATTTCAAGTCTAAATAATCATTGTTTTCTTCCCGTTGGAGTCCTTTTAACTGCAGTTTGAGCCCACCAGCCATGACAGTTCCTACAAGCTAAAGTGTATATCTTGTATGAGAAAAACATGAGCACATTTAAGTGGTGAAATCAACACTGCGAAGACCAATAAAGAGCAGAGGGAAAGCCAAGTTTGACCTGAGGATCTAAAAGCATTTGATGCCACTCACTTAGATCTCAGCAGTTGAGAGGCTCCTTTTTTTGGAACTTTGTCACAGTAAGATGTTGTTTTCCTACAACTTTATCTCCTAAGCACCCTTTACACAACCTTCAAATTTCATATTTTGGGTACCAAGTTGTTTTTCAGAACTTAAACTTGTCTTGTTCATATAAATAATACTACTACTAAAATGAAAGTTTTCACATAAATAGTTCCTCTTAAAAATAAGAAAAATGATACTTTAACAATCCAAATCCATACAACTCATGTAAACAATTCTGTTTTAATATTATAATAATAATTTTATTTTATTTTTATTTTTATTAAATCAGTCTATAGATTATTATATTAATAAAAATAAGTTGTTTGAAGAGTTGTATGATTTACAGTTGTCAAAATATCGATACTTCTAAAAATAAACACTTCTGTATACGAAGTCATTTTTTCATAAATGTTCTAAGTATAATATAAGAAATTTTAAAAAATAATCCTTTATTTGATCATAAAAATACTAAACTTTATTTATTTAGAATGTGTAGCCTAAACTACGTATCTTCTAAAATTAACTTATGATAGTCAACTGTAACATATATCATTTACTGTATAAACTCTAGATGATAATTCATTTGGTAACTTAAAATCAGAATAAAATCTATTGACCATTTTCTTTTCTAGCAATAACTTTCAAAATAGTAAACATTTTGAATGATTTTTTTGGGTTTCCCAAGGAAGGCCACTTGCTTTCAAAATCAGAGCTTGTTTTGATTATCGTAGTCTAAATTGGAATCTTAGAACAATGTGGAGATTGGGTCAGGCTAATCCACTTAGGTAGGTAACTTCCAAACCAATAAACATTTTGAAGTAGGGCTTTCTGCTACAATTTCCAAGCATGAAAGGCTATGTACTAGCAAAAATCAAACTCGTTTTACAAAACATTAGCAGACCTTGAAACCTAAAACCAAAATCACAACTTTGGACTTCATTAATATCTAGGAACATAATGTATAAAATCTGTGATAGATATTATCATAAGTTTGGCCTTATCCTTGTTGCAATAAATACCCTTTGTAGGAACTATTTTGGAAACAAAATTATGAAAAACATGCACATCAAGGTATGAACTTTAGCAACAAGTATTTAAAACACTTACATAGTTTATTTATTGTGTACTTCATCCTAGCATTTGCACTACATATACTTCAATTCTTATCATCATCTTTGTCTTCAAATCAAATATATAACAAGAATCACAATAATCAACTTGATATAATGACAAAAGAAAGAGAAGAGTTTTACATTTTAAATTAACTTCGTTCTATTTTGTTCTATCAATCTAAACATGAAGTTCATGACAAAATGGAAGAAATATCTTCATAAAAAGTATTTAGATGGCGAACAGAGATCAAATTCCTGTGCTCAGAATTCATATTTTCGCAATTTCACTTGAACTGACTCAAGGAGACATAATAATTATTCTTCAATTAACTATTTCATTGCTTTACTTTTTGTAGCAGTGATTATCATCCGCACATGCACATTGCTTTTCAAAATTCAACCCAACGAGTTTGAAACGCATGGCATGCTTGTCATTATTCATTTGTTCAGGTGTGTAAAAATTCGAGTGAAACCCATAAATTCATGTAGCTTGAGTATGGCTTCCACCATGCCACATTCGTCTTGGATTTGGATAAATAAAAGTTTATTGATATTTTAGTATATATAGAGAGTTAGGTAACATCATTGTACTCAACAGAGTTATTGATATTCAGATTGAAGACAGAATCCTTTTTCCTGTCTTTCCATGAGAAACGAGTTAAATTTTAGTGATACTTACTCCAACACCTGTCTACTTTTGCTTGTTCTCTATGTAAATTATTTTATGTTTATCTACATTTACATAGCAAATATAGTTTAAAAAATCATAATCAACAAAAGATTACAGGAACATGTATCTGAGTTCAAAAGCGCAGTTCCACAACACATGATTAATTCCCAAATAACAAACACATGATTAATTCCCAAATAACAAACACATGACTACTAAGTATCACATGTTCATGTACTAGCTAGATGGTGATGATGATGATGCCCTTATGATATATAAGTAGGTGAATACGTGTTATGGGGAGCATTCGTTAAGTTAAATCAATAATTTGATCCTGGAGAATCCCATGTATCTGGTATGATTTTGTGAAGTGAACAACACTCATCACGGCTGGATCCATTGGAACAACATTTGAAAGCAAAACGTTCCTGATGTTGTTCATGTTGATCCATGACCTCCTCTATCTTCTCCAAAATCTCCACAGTGGTTGGCCTATTTTCTTGGAAACGTGACACACACAAGAGGGCTATGTTCAGAAGAGGAAAGGCCCATTGATGCTCATTCTCCCTAACTTCCTTGTCAAAGACTTCTCCTGTCCATTCCTCCCTCACCATGGACCTCACCCATCTGGCAATATCTATTCTGCTCACTTCTGTGCTTTTTCCTGTTAGTAGTTCAAGGAGAATCACTCCAAAACTGTACACATCACCCTTTTCTGTTAAACTCTTTTCAGGCGCTGTGTATCCCTGAGAGGAAAAGAGAAAACCTCTATTTGGGTCCATGAATTTTGATAAACCATGCTCACTTATTAGTGGCTCATTGTTCTCATCTAGAAGGATGTTTGATGGCTTCAGATTTCCGTGAGGAATCACCTCCTCCTGTTCATCTAACTTTCTATATATGAAGGCCAAACCCCTTGCAATTCCACATGCTATATTCAGACGCAGTTTCCACGGGAAATCTTTTCTACCTGCTATATAATCTGCAACAAAAACAAAATATACACTCTCAGTATATTTATACTATCAATAACTTCACTTTTAAAATAATTATTATAAAAGTTAACAATTTTACTGTACATGATAATTCTTAATTGGATAAGAGTGCAAAGACTTGTTACATTATCGATGTAGTCTAAATAATTCTTACTTGAATTGGCCTTATTAACTATTAACAGGACGGTAATGCTCAAGAAAGTAATAAATAAAATGTTCTTTAAAATTTTTATCCACTTTTGATATTTCAAAGGCCAATCATTAGAAAAATTTGTACTTAAAATTAAGTGCTAAATATAACTTTTATATCATGATGTAATTAATGTTCTCCTTTTAGGATCAAATTTCCTTGTATTAATTATATGAGGTTTCAGCTAGTGTTGTGCAAATGATCAAGGCGGAAACATATTTACACATGCAATACATATTTGGTTACACAGAGAAAGTGATGGGGGAGTATTGCAACTGATGAAAATTTGTACTCTAGACATACCGTTTAACAGATTAAGCAGGCTTCCATTGTTTTGATATTTGTAAATGATGAATTTTTCTTCACTGGTGGAACGATAACCAACAAGGGGGAGGATGTTCTGATGCTTCAAGTTACTAATCTTCCTAAATGTTTCACCAAATGCTTCCAAGGAAACCTGCAAGTTCTTCAATCGTTTGACTGCATAGTGAACATTGTTCTCCAGTTTCACCTTGTAAAGGCTGCTGCAAAAGCCTTCACTCCTCAAGTCAGCAGTGGCTCGAAGAAGGTCCTCCAGTGTGAACCTTTCACGATCTTCAACAAAGAAAACAAGCTCAGAATCTCCTTCGTTTAGCTTCACCTCTTGAACTTCTTTAGTTGAAGCCTTTAACACACCATGATCCTCTTTAACTACCTCCATCCCTTCATTAAACTTTAATGACTTCTTTACCAGAAAGTAAAGGGCTGACAAAAGCACTACAGTACCGAAAATGAACACCACCAAAGTTTCTGTCTTCGAATTCCGTGGATTAGGAGCAGTGTCTATTGAAGAATCTGGTGTTGGTTGCTGCATTGCGTTTGTATCACTTTCCTTGAGCCACTCTTTGGTACCATTGCTTTCCAACTTTTTGCTTGGTGTCACATAATAATAAGTAAATAGTCGCATATATTGTTGTTTTCTAGGGATCATACCAGAAAAGTTGTTATTAGATATGTCCAAGCTCCTAAGATGTTTCAATTTTGTTAAGGCCTTTGGCAACCTCCCACTCAATTGGTTGCTGGTTACATTGAAATGTGTCAACCTTGTACAATGCAAAATTGAATGTGGGATGGTTCCTCTGATGTTGTTGTTAGCCAAGCTCACGACTCTTAACTTTTGGAGCCTGCATAGTGAATGTGCATCAATTGTGCCACTAAGGTTCAAGTTCTCAAGCCTTATATGTACAATTTTGGAAGCATTTGAGTCACATCTTACACCATTCAACTTCACCAAGCATGGATGTGATGGTGATCCAATCCAGGTACTGTTATTAAGCACGTTTTTGGTATCAAGGGCCCTTAGGAAATTAAAGAAAGACTCAGATTCTGATAACTCACCTCTTCCTCTTGTACATTCTATGATAAAGAAAATGATAGCAAAGAAAAACAGCCTCCTTAGAAACTCAGAAAAGTTTCTTGTGTTCTGCATTTTGTGCTCGTCCCTCGTTGGCCTCTTCCTCTGTTGTTAAAATGAACCATGTCAGTTCTGCATGCTTGTTTATTTGTGCAATGGATAAAGACATGTCTCTTCTTAGAATTTCTCGTGAGGCACTTGTAAAACTTGTTTCTATCGGTGCATAGTTAATATCTACATGCAATCTAAAAACTAAAATTGATGAATGGATGTGTATCGGAATTCACGACAAAACTCCACGATATCAGTATAAATCTTGTCATAAAGCATCTATCTTAAGAATTTCTTAGGAAGTGTTTCTACAGAGATTTCTAAATTTTACACTTTAAGAATAGAATGTAACGAACTATTGATGATATAATCGTGTTATAAATCAACTATTCCAAAAACTTCATGTATTTGGTGAAAAATACATTAATAATTTTAATGTTAAGAAACGTTTCCAAACGTATTAAGACACAACACAATAGTCAAAACCATGGTGAAGCCATTAAGATAGAAAAAATAGTTTTAAGTAATTTATGTATTTGTGTAATATAGGTGTGCCGGCTAGGCATTTAGAATGTTTATAGACACTATAATGACTTTATACATACATGGGTTTGGTTATATATATATATATATATATATATATATATATATATATATATATATATATATATATATATATATGTTTTGTTTTCCTTTATTTTTGTCAACTCTTATGATTATGTCCTATAGGTAAAAAATGAGACACAAAGAGGGAAAGAAAAGAAAGGCTTGTTTGGTAGAAACGAGACAAAAAAGACTGTAAATAAAAGGAAATGAAAAAGAATAGAGATAGTTACTAAAGATAACATATTTTACTTCATATTATAAAATTTAAGAGGTAGACTACATTAAACCACTTTTGTTTAACTCTTATATTTGTTGTTCGGGTTGTGTTCATATGCGGCTTAGGCATTGCATGAGAAATGAGAACGATAATGTATGAGATGTAAGTTTTCATCTAAGTTTTTTTTTTCCACATAAATACTTTTAAGAGAAAAAATATATAAATTAAAATTAATTTATCTATGAATTGAAAATTGAATTTTTAAACAAGTTAATAGAAAATAGTTTTTAAAAATTGTTCCATATATAATCTAATTTTAATTTATACATACTTTTTTTCTTTTTATTTTTTTTTCTACGGTGAAGTTTCTCTCCAAAGAAGTCAGAATGTTTAGCATAAAAACAATATAATTTTATCCATACAAGGTAATCCACCTATTACAGTTAATTTACAAATTTTTTATTAAGTTTGTAATGAGTATGTCTATCTTAAATTAATATAAATTATTATAATGAATTCCACACTTTAATTTAATATTCTGAGCAGAATCTTCAATTATTGAAAGAAAATACTTAACTTTTTTATTCAAGTAGAGAATAAGATTATTAGTAATTATATATATAATAATGTATTTTGCACTTGAAATCATTACTTAAACTAAAATAATCTTATAAAAAAATAGTTTTTCTAAGAATTAACTTTAATCATCAATTTTGTAAAAAATTAATCAATCAAATTTTATGTGCAATATCAATTAGAGAAACGGCATATTATGTTATAAAGTATTTCAAATTTGCTGTAAAAATAAATGATTTTTATATTTATTGCCCAAAATGTTTTACATTGAAAATAGAATGATTTTTTCTTAAGAATTCGGCAAATAGTTGTCATACAGCATTAGAATGTGGCATGCCATGAATTTGGCACAAATGATTGAGTACAAACATTCATTGAATTTGCAGTCTGCAAAAAACATTTGTTCTACCATTTTCTGCTCTTCCACATGATCATTTTCATCCATGGACATGGATTAATGCAAACTTTAGCAATTGTCGCAAGTGCTAATGGTTTTTATTTTGAATGGTGTTTGACATTCATGAGAATTTTGCAAAGTACAATGGTTTGATAGAGAAGTCAATGTCAAAATCTCCTATTGCTTTAAGGAGAAAAAAAGATGTGGTACACCAAACGGGTCACTACAATAATTCCGCAACAAAAATTAGTGGGGTTCCACGATGCATGTTTTCTCTCTAAATACCCTTTTGTTCACACCCACTTCTCTTCATCATTAAGCTTTCCTTTACTCCTATTTTTCAAATATGAACAACTCATTTTGCTTGTTCTAGTTATTATATATACTTTCTGGCCTCCAAAAACCTATCTTGCTGCCTAAATTACGTTCAAACCCTTGACTTCACTTTTTTCTTTGCCCTCAAAACAATTGATAAAACCCTTTTCACGCTCACATTGCTTTTGATTGCTTCAACATCTCATTTCCCTAATTCAAGGTCCCAATGAAAGGAAGGGTTCATGATTCCTATCACAATTACTCAAACGCCATTTTGATAGTCAAACAAAATACCTAGTTTTATTACTCGAAACATTAGGATATTAAATTTCGAGTTTACACAAAATGATAAAATAAAAAAAGTATAAAGAAAGTTTCTTGATTTTCCAGGATGAAGACTTAAATATATAATATATAATAATAGTTTTTAAAATGTTATTTTATGTTTGGACGAAATCGTTACCCATGTGCCTTTGTCCCCAGATGGGATGATGCACCTTTTCAAAATGAAATTTTCTTTCCAAACCTTTTCTCAAATTTTGTTAACACTGTTCTCATTTTTCAACATATTGCACCTTAATTTCATCACGCATCTATTGACTGCTGATTACATCTTCTATAAAATTGATTGTCAAATCAAATCACCATTCAATATATGCTGCATAACTGTAAAATTTCCTATTTACAAATTGAGACCATCCCCAATCAAACCCTCCCTGGCTACACCCAAATCCAACCCTAATCATCCAATTTCACAGCTTGCCAAATGGAAAAATAAAATAAAATCACTGTCTAGCCTGTCCCAAATTCATATTCAAACTAAGTAGGTAGGTGAATCAAATTAAGGAACCAACACATCAAATCAACATATTATATCAATGTATGGACTAAGGACAATTTTCCTGGTAAGAACAAGCACAGTCATCACTTTCGTCATCATCGACGATCTCATCAAAGAAGGGATCTTTCAGAAGCTCAGCTGCAGAAGGTCTAGCTCTTGGCTGAGCAAGGCACTTCTCAATGAAGGCCTTCACCTCTGGATCTTTGACCTTGTTCAGGGCTGCAGGTCTAACTCCAGAACACACCTTCTTGTATATCTTAGCAATATTGTCACATTCACTATAAGGAACTTCCAGTGTCACCATTTCTAGCACACACATACCAAATGAATAAATGTCCACCAACTCTGTGTAGTCTTCATCGTATAACTCCGGAGCCATGAATTCTGGTGTGCCAAGAATCGTGTGAGCACAATGGTTCTTGCCCACAATTGCTGCCAAACCCAAGTCACCGATCTTAACCTGATAACAATCGAAAAAAAAAAAAAATAATAATAAGATTACTAAAAGCACATTTTGTGATTACATAATACCATAATTAAGATTGTCTTTGGCTTTAATAGCTGGCTAAAGGTATGGAATCAACGGAAATTTAATAACAAAACACGAAGATTAAAACCATTCTCAAAATTTTCTTGCTTTTATCTGAGTTTCACCGTGTCAATCTATGAAACACATAACTGAAAGAAAAATAATGATTGAATAGAATGGTTCACCTGGCCAGTATTCCCATTGACAAACACATTGCTACAATTGAGATCTCTGTGAATAATGCAGGGATCATGCAAGTGCAGATAATTCAACCCTTTCAAAATCTGCTTAGACCACTTCTTGAGGGCCTTCTTGGAAACATGCTTGTGCCTCTTCCTGTACTCCCTCAAATCGCCACTGGTACAAACCTCAGTGATGAAATTCAAAGTGTTACGCTGGTCATCGGTCCACACATTGTAAAGTGCAATGATGTTTTTGTTGGTCAAGCTTCTGAGCAACCTCACTTCAGAGTAAAGTCTATCCACCATGGTAGGGTCATCACAGAAGTTCCTCAGCTTCACTTGGTTCCAAGCCACCTCTATTCCTTCTTCCTGATCAAATGCACGGTACACTTTCTTCACAGCACCACACCCAAGTAACTCACTGTATCTACCATAGCGACCAGTTGGATCGGTCTCAACAAATGGCTCAGAATCTTTGTCTAATGGGTCAGGGTTAACACACGGCATCTGTGACATGCAACCCCAAATCAGAGACTCAGCAACACCAAAATCAAATCATATCAAACGAAATTCAGCATGTCAGATGGAAAATTTATCAATGAAAATGTGAAGTAAAATAAACACAAATTAAAAAGAAGAAGAAACCGTTGCGTCACAGTGGAGAAATTATTGAATAACATGAGATATACTACTAAAAAAAAAAAAATCTACGAAAATGTCAAATCTGCCACTAAAATGTAACAACCAAAAATTAGCTATGAAAAAGCAATTTCTAATCTTTAAATCTGGTAATTAATTTGAGTGTGACCACAGGTTCATAAATTTTTCACATAATATGTAGTCAAAACTTTTCAATTTACAAAAAAAAAAAAAGTCAACAAAACCAACTAGGTGTGACATGAATATCACCTGAAATGATGAACTCATATCATACAACAATTTCTTGTGAGGCATAAGTGAAACAGAAAAAACACAGGCTTCAAATCTGATGGAATGTGTAAGTATATATAAGAAAAGAAGGATGAATGAATTTAATGCATGAAATAAGAAGATTAAGATTGAATACCATGAAGAGAACCGATTGTTTAACCCCAACGGAGAAAAAGCACGAAATTCTGCAGCTTTCGGCAGAAAAAGATAAGCTTACTCCGCTCCAACCTGAATTTTAACACAGAAAAAAGGGAGAGAGAGGTCAGAGACGTGTAAATGTTAGACTATTTATATAGAAATAATTAAGAGCCAAATTAAATATTGTTGGTTTTATTTGATTTTTTTAATCCTTTTCTAATTCAACTTTTTCCACATTTTCTGATGCGGTGGGTAAGCACTAAATTGGTTGTAATATAAAAATTGATGTCTTTAATTGAAAGTTTTTTTTAATAAAAAAATGTTTCGTTATTTAACATAGTGAAAAAGATTAATCTTCTTTAGATGAGACCCTAATCAAATCTTTGGAAATAAAAAAGCATCACTACAATTTACAATGTGTATATTTTATACAATTTGAATTACTTAAAATTTAATAACGACTTTCGAGCATGATTGAATTTAACATTATTATAATAATGGATAAAGAATAATAATTTAAATTTTATTTTTTTATTCTCTTTATTTATGAAACATAAAATATATTATTAAATATTTTAAACATATTTATAAAATATTATACATCTATGTTTATGGTGCGTGTGTTTTTAGTGTGAAAAAAAAAAAAAAGAGTCAAATCCTGCAACCTGGGAAATGATAATCAGTGGGAAACGACTGCGTTTCGTTAGGCTCTTTTCGCCTAGTGATTTTTGTTCCTTGTGTAGGTCAACGCGTAAAGAATTAATGGAAGCGCGTGTAGGACAACAAAGAGAAGGAGAGTGTGAAGACGAGAGGGTTGCATGGCTTTTTCTTTTCCGGGAAAGAGGGAAGGGGTGGCTATCCGTTTCCGAGAAAACATCAGAAAAAAATGACTTCAGAATCACATTCTCTGGATGGTGGTGACAGGAATCCAAATAAAGACAGATTGAAAAATAAAGTTAACAGTTAAAGTAAGATATATTTATGTTATTTATTATATATATATATGTATATAACATTTTATTTTCTTTAAAAATAATAAATTATAAATAATTTATCATATATAATAATAAATGTTGATAATATTATAGCCATGTAAAATAAAAATATTTTTATTCTTAGATAAATAATTTTGAATAAATTCAAATTATAATTATTCTTGTTTTGTATAAATTTAAATTATAAATTTATTTATTTTCTTATGTGTAATTTTGTTAATTTTGTTTTTAACCATTTAGCTTTTAAATTTTTTATCTCATGTTTAAAGTTGTGGACATTTTATTTCATTTGAGTATGTTTAAATAAATTGTAATATACTTAACATATTTTTGTTTAAAATACCGTAAAAAGAAAAGTTAATAAATTAAAATATGAAAAATATATATTGGTAAGATTGGATAATTATGAACTTTCTAATATTTAAGAACTAAAATCAGAAAAAAAATAATAAAATACAAAAATTCAAATCAAAAGTAAAAAAAAATAATCAAAATATAATTTACATTTCTATTTTGAAAATATAAATACATAAAACTATCTTTTCGTAAACTCTTAAGTTTATCTAACTTTAAAATTAATATTAAAAATATTTAGTATTAAAAATAATTTGTAATTCATTGATATATCTTTTAAAAATAAAATTATAATATTTTTAATATAGATAAAATATTTTAAATATAATTTAAAATTTATGATTGGATTAAAATTTAATCTCTAAATCTATATAATTAAAAGGTAAAAATAACTGAAACTTTATCTTATTCCTTTTAAAACAATGATGCATCAGAATTTTATTTTTAAAATATGTTGTAATAAATAAATAAATAAAATATTTATAAATTATTCTTAATTTTAATTTTTATATTATATAAAATTCATAAATATAATTATTAATTAACATTTTTTTTAAAGTGTAGTTATAGAAGTGAAATTAAAAAAACTATAATAATAATAATAATAGTAATAGTAATATATTATTTCAGTTAACAAAATATTAAAAAGTTTAATAAATATACATTATGTTATAAAATAAAACAAAAATTATAAAACATATAATAAGTGTTCACGATAAAGATAGTTTTAAAAATATAAGTTATTGTTTTCTTTAAACTGTTATATCATTTTTTTTATTGAAATAAATATATGTGTATTTTTATTTCACATATATTAAATTATATAAATATGTTTTGCGTAAAGAAAAAAAATCACTTATTTTAGTAATACAAATTTAAAACTATTTCTCATCTTTATAATTATATCTTATAATTTAATAACATAGTAATTATTCACAATTATTATACTATTAATTATATCCTTTTTCATATTATTTAAATTTAATGATAATTAACATATTTAACCACGGAAAATACTAAAGACTAATATGGTTGAATTTAATAGATAAAAACTAATTTAACATAACAAATCATCTTACCTTGCTTGTAAATAAAACAAATAAGGTTTTATATTAGTCAAACCATATTTGAAAATACATTTAATTTTTTTACCAGTCAAACCATATATTATATCACTGTTTTTTTTTTCTGGGTATTTATAAACAAAATATCTCTCTATTCATTGAAAAAGAAAAAAAAACACTTTTAATAGTCTTATTAAGCTTTCTTTAATATTGAATGAAATCTTAAGCTGGCACAAATAACAAGTGTATTAAAGGTACATTCAATTCTAAATAAAAGTATATTAATTATATTTTTAGTTGTATCATTTATTTATTTTATTCCATTTTTCTATTGTGAGTCGAATAAATCAATCAATTTTAAAAATACAAAGTTGAATTCGGAATGAACGATGATATAAAATCGGATATGTTATTTGGAATTTTGAAATTAAATAAAATCTCAAACAATTGAAATATAATGTGATTCCTCCTGTTAAAAATGGTCGTCTTTCACAGGGAAACCAATTATTAAATTTGTAGTGTCATGTAAAAAAAAAAAAAAAGTGGGTTATTATTTTGAATTCAAGATTTGATTTTCAATAATGATATGTTAAGTGTGTACTTATTCCAGCTTAATTAAAAGGAACACTTTGACTTGAGAAATATGATAATATTAATACATAATTATCAATTTAGAGAATAATATTATTCTTTAATTACCATAATATTAAGATATATAGTTTATTCTAAAAGAAAAAAAATCTCATTTAGACAATTTTTTCTAAATATATGTATAATTAAACTAGTTAAAAGAGGTAATAGAATGAGAACAACCATTACATTTAGCAATGATAATTCAAATTTAGTACATGAAAGTAGTTGATTTTTCATATCCTTTGGATTTTTTATTTTAAATCCCTTTACGTGTAGAGAAATATTATTACTTTAAAAGGTTATTGGTTACAGTAAAAAAATGAAAAAATTATTATTATAAAAAAATTGATTAATTTTGGATTCCCCCTACAAAGTACTTTACTTATACAGGTATTGGTGTTAAAATTATACAAAATCTCACTTTTTATGTCATTATTTGGTTCTTGCCACAGTTATTTCACAAAGTGACTCTCTACACTAGTTAATTATGATAATAATTGATATGAAGGTTGATTAAAAAAAGATTAAAATCTAATTCTATATTTTTGTTATTTTAGTCACTAGATTTTAAAGAATTTACAATTTGATCCCATATTCAAATTTTGTATGTGCCATAATTTTTTAAAATAATTAATATTTAAAAGTAAAAGAAATGAATATTTACAAAGTTAAATATTAATCAAAATTATGTCTTGTTTAAAACTCAAGGACTAAGTTCATGAAAAAATTAAATATTAGCCCTGAAGTGAAATTTCCAGAGACTGGACTGGGGGTGGGCCAATAAGAAAAACAAAACCAGACTGGATTGGAACAAAGCAGCCCAAAGATTGTAGGAACACAGGCCCAAGTTGTTTTGTTCTTTGCATTCTTCAACCTAATCACAACAATTCATAAACGCAGACCAAAACACTCAAGGAACATTGGCATCATGATTATCATTGTCGTTTCAATTTCAGGAATAATTTGATCGAGGTTTCAATTTGCAAATAAAACTGTTCATAATCCTCCATGTCCTTCTGAGAGAGAACAAAGGAAGTACAACAACGATGCAGACGTCGTCGAAGACCATCTCTGCGGCTCTGAATCTCGTCGACGCCAAGAAAGAGATTTTGAAGAAAGCCTACGACGATCTCCAAACTCATTCTTCTCTCCTCTCTTCCTCCTTCTTCCCTCCCTCATGGTCCCACATCGACGCTCACTTCACCTCCCTCCACAACTCCCTCTCGCAACGCTTTCAGCTTCTTCACTCTCTCGAATCCCAACAACAACACACTCACCCACCTCCCTCTCCCTCCAAAGATCTCACCTTTCCACCCTCCCACTCCGGTCCATCAGCGCTAAACGACGCCGCATTGCCCAAAACCCAGGCCGAACGCATGATTGCGCTCTGCAACTGCATGGACGGAAAAGGGTTGCGGGACTACGTCGGGGAGCATTTCAAAGACAAGGTCACGCTCGAGGTTGGCCTTCAGAGTGCCCTCAAGCGTGCGTCTGATCCCGCGTCGATGGTTCTCGATGCATTGGACGGTGTCGTCGGTGCGGATATGGTGAATGATGATAAGGAAGCGCGAAAGAGGAAGAGGAGTTGCGGGTTGTTGTTTCAGCAGTTGAGGGCTGCGTCTGTGTCTGTGAGTTTTAAGGTGAGTAAAAGAGCGAAGAGGTTGTGTGCGGAGTGGAAGGGGAGCTTGGTGAGTGAAGGTGCTGATGGTGTTGGGGCCATGACTTTCTTGCAGTTTATGGCGGCTTATGGATTGCTTTCTGAATTGACAAAGAATGAGATTGTCACCTTCTCTGCCATGGCTGCTGCCAATGATGACCTTCCTGAATTCTACCGGAGTGTTGGTTTGACAGACAGGGTTCCAGGTTGTAGTCCCATCATTTGAATTTGATGTTTTGGTTTTGTTTGAGATGTTAGAGATGGTAATGTGTAACACTTCTGTGCTTGGTTGTTGTAGGCTTGTAGCTTGTTAACTGTTGCAAGCATTAGTCCCAAAACTGTGAATCGGCAAGTCTTTCTCCCCTGCAGTTTGAACTTTTAGGGATTAAAGTTTGAGTATTTCAAAATTAAAAGGTCGAAACTTATCATTTTCAAAGTTGGGGATTACTTACGAGGTGTGCCACAAATAGTTGTTTGGACCTTTTAAGCATATGATAGGGTTTCAATAGTGAACTATGCGAATAGTTCAAAACATGTGGGAGTAGGAGCTGTCCTTAACTGATAATATACTTCCATATGAAATTAGTCTTATGTTTTCTGGCTGTAAGGATACCTCTGGGTCTAATTCTTAATCTAAAATAAGTTGGGGACTAAAACTAAAGAAAACCCATTTTCAGGGACTAAAAACACCTATAACCACTATGCTTAAGGTATGTGGTCTTGGTTGGAGATGGATTTTTTTTAAATAGTGTAGTGTTGTAAGTTGAAATGGTGATGCTGCTATTATTTGATTACTACGGTTGCCCTTTTTGGTAGTTTAATATGTGATGGAAATTTTGGTTTTGGGTGTTTTGCAGGTCTTGTTCAGAAACTTGTTGACAGGTGCAAACATATTCTGGCTGTCAAGTATGTTTTTGAGTTCAATCTTGCGGATAAGATTCCACCAGTTCCCATCTTGAAAGCTCACGTGAATGAATCTCAGAAACTTGCTAAAAGACTTTCTGAGGAAGGGAAGTCACTTGTGAGTGTTCTCCCCATGATTGTTTACCTGGTGTATGGTGTCACTGCCTGTATTTATTTGGGTGTTTCTGCAGAATGAAATCACAGCAAGAGAAGTCCATGCACTGAGATCGGTGGTTAAGGTTATTGAAAGTCATAATCTTCAATCTGAATATCCACCTGAAAGCCTTCAACAGCGTATAGAGCAATTGTCGAAGCATAAAGCAAACGTAAAATACACTGCATTACCTTTTTCTGCAAAGCCTCCCTCCCATCAGCAGCAACAAAGTGGGATTAAGCGTCCTCGATTGCCTGCCCCAGTTGGTTCTGCAGCTGTGCTGAATGGTATTGGTGGTGCCAGTTCAACAGTTTACCACTTCAAACAACCTCATTTTGAGTCATCAGGTTTGTTGCCAGAGCAACAACCTTATTTCCATTCACCAGGTTTGTTGTTGGAACAACAACCTCATTTCCAGTCATCAGGTTTGTTGCCTGAACAACAACCACATTTCCAGTCATCAGGTTTGTTACCAAAAGATCGAAATCCGTACATGAACTTGCCAACCATGCCATATGGTATGAAGGCTCCAACCCCAACCATCTTGCCTTATACAGGCACTTCAACTGGGCATTATGGTCTTGATGGTGTCCCAATGGGTCCCAGTGGCAACCTTGGTCAAGGTGTGTCTCTTCCAAATTCATCAGAGCCACTTAAGCCGTCTGGTTATTATGAAAGTGTCTCTGCTTATGGTGGTTATGGTCTGCAAACTTTTTACCAAACATCTTATCCTCAGTAGATCAATACATTGCTTTTTCTTTTGAATTCTGAACGCCTGGGTTGGTACCTTGGTATTAGTGTCTCTGACTTTGAATTTCTGGCTTTTCAATTCTTAGAAACACAACTTCTTTGTTGATATCCATGATTATAGGAAAGGAACTATTAAAAACATAACTTTCTTTGTTGATATCCATGATAATAGGAAAGGAACTAGATTCAGCAACGAAAGATTGCTAGGGAATGATTAGTTTCACAATTTTGATAACTTGAATTATTTTTCTTCTATAAGATTCCTTTTATAGGTTAATTGTGGTCTTCTTTAAACTTTTCTATTATCACTTCATCGCTACCTGGGCTTATTGTCTTTTCCAGAAATTGAGGTTTAAAATCGGTTTTCAAAGGGAAAACCAACTTTCCATATAGGTGTAGTGTTGCTTGACAATTACTTATTGCATGAGAATACGCTACAGTTGTTGCAAAAGCGCTTCATTTGTCTCCACGTCCTAGTGCATAATATCATACTAGTAAAAGAAAATACACACACACACACACACACACACACATATATATATATATATATATATAAAGACAGTTGTAGAAATTCAATTTTCTCATCCATCCGTTTCAAGGATTTTAATCCAACATAAGGTAATCCATCCATTCCTGAAGCCTTAACAAATCTACGAAAATGGTATTCATTGTTCTCATCCATGAGACCATGCATCATCCACATGGATGAAAAAATACAAGATATTTGTTTTGTTATTGTCATTGCCCTGTGTGAACTGCCTGTGCTCATGTGAAGAAAATCCTTTTCAGTAAAGTTTCTCATCTCTGATTTCTTTGTTTTCCTTTGTGCTTTGGCCGATGAATTTCCTGTATTAAATAAAGAAAAACTGTTGGCTTTATTTGCTTCTTTTACACGTGCCCTTTGTGCCAAAATGAGCAGAGGAAAAATGTTTTATTCTCTTTGATTTTGAAAATTCGACATTTGATTTGTTGACAACTCATATGTGTAATTTTTGTATTGTGTCTGATAGAACTAGTTCTAGTTGAGTAACTTGCATCTTCAGTCGATGTAGGTGAATTGATGTTAAATGCCATCATGGTAGTGGTATTCGGTTGAGTCATGTTATGTGTGCTTTGGTCTATAGTAGTTGAGGTCTCTCTTTTTGGAAAGCAGCCCAAAATTGTTTGGGTTCCCATCACCTTGGGCTAATACAGGTTATGTGACACTGAAAATGTAGGAAAATCAACTTTTGGGCTGTCTGAGATATAGTCTATAGATTTTGTATCATTTAATCATAAAGTGGGGGGAAAAGTTCAGGAGACCCACCATCAGGAGACCTGGGGTTCTAACTAAAGCCATGTGATTGTCATGGGCAGTGTGACCAAGTAAGACAATGCCCATAGGCATTTTTCGTTATTTTCTATGTTGTAAATACGAAGTATCTACTAGTTTTGTCGATAATTATTCATCTTTAGGATGATATGCTTTTATAACCGCATTTTTTGTTTTGTTTTCATTTACATGCCTCAACACTCAAGACTTTGTGTAAAGAATTTAAAGCTAATCTCATTCGAACCAATGTAATATTGGTAGAATAAAATTAACCTGGGAAAATGTGTTTTGACAATTTCTTTTTTAGTATACATATCCTACTAGGTGTAGGTTCTCATAGAAATTTTGATTTTTTGACATATGCTTCTGTCCAGTTGTTTGATATTTGAAGTTCCATCTCTAACTAGGGGAAGTTATGAGCCGAATGAATGCATTAGCTTGAGTCTTTTACGTGTGAATAGTTAACACTAAAAGAAGGGAAAGTGTATGAGAGGTATCTGAAACTGTTGTACCTATGAAGTGATCTATTACCTATGAAAAGATGTGTCTGTAGAGATTATTAATCTCACCTTCTGAGACCTCGTTTTCTATATGTTTACTACACTGATGGTTGAGACGTATTCTCAGTGTGTTCCATGGAAATGGGCCGTAGATGACTGGCCATCTCTCTTCTTTTTTGGTAGTGAGAATTTCATTCAGAAGAAAATGGACCCTGCATCCTCACCAATTCATCACTACCTTTACGCACAATGTTTTTCATTCGGCAAACAGTGAATAATATTATATATTATCAAGCATATGTTGTAGTTTTTGTTAATGGGACGTGTGTTTTACCAGATTTAACACTAGTAGGAAATACCCTAGCCATAGTCAAGATTTTAATATTAGGGTGCTCAGATTGAAAAGTAGAATATGATTGATTTCAATATTTGTCAAATAACGCATTTTTCAAGTTATTATGTAGTTACACAAATTGATGGAAATTAAAATAATATTTAATAGATTCAAAATAATTTATTAACACCGTATTTGGAGAAAACAACACACGTTCATTGAATATAGTTTATTGAAGCCATGTAATTTATTAGTAATCGAAATAGACTTTAGTCTAGAAAATAAAGTTATTTGTCGTCATTTATTCAAACCTTTCAGATTAAGGGATAACATTAACTAAAACGTTAAAGAAACAGGCTTTTTATGAAATTTAGAAACTAGTTTGAATCTCATTGGTAAAATTCTTAACAATGAGTTTTGATTTTTGTTTTTTGTTTTTTTTCTTAATTCAGCTATAGACGAAAATTCACCTCTGATTTTCACATAAAATTCTGAAGGTACTTCCAAACGAACTCTGTGATAAAATCTCTCTTCTTATACAACATAACGGGTTTTTTTAAGTGCGACGGTTTTAAAATTTCGTGGATTAAGTAAATTGGAGAGAGTAAATGCAATGTGGTAAGTGATTGATGTTTTAATTTAATCCCGAAACTTTTGTCACCAAATAAGAAAAAGTGTGAAGAGAGATAGACAAAGGCAAGCAATTTTGGGTAGAACGATTTGATATGCAATTGCATTGGATGTGACAATGACGTGCTCATGCACTTAAATAGAAACATTCATTTGAGGGGAAAAAGATTACTCAACAGAAAAATTGTAAAGATTTAGAAAACCAGTGAGAACTTTGCTTTAACTGCATCTCAAGCCGTTAAATGCTTAGATTTGTTGTTGTTGTTCTCTTTTCTCTTCACCTAATCATAGGCTAAGTACACCCATCTCTTTCTTCTCTGTCTTCACACTGATAAAAAGTAAAAAACCACACCAAATAGAGAAAGGAAACACACACCCTAATGAAACGTTTTCATCTCTTGTGCTTTTCTAGACCGTGTTCATTAATAATACCCTACACATTTTAGTAGTAAACCAAAATTTGAGCCTCAACCCCTTTTTATCCCCTTTGAACAAAATGGTGTGAGATTAGTAAAGAAAGAAGATATTCAATAGTGTGAGGCCAACATGCTAACTTACTCTTTCCTAGATCTTTACAGCATATCCTTGAAATTTTGACAACATTCTCATTTAATGTTGTGACTGAAAAATACCCAAATGGAATTTAAGTGGTGAGGTCAACAATTGCCACATTTAGTGGCCCTAAACAATGTAGTCAGTGTCCAAAACCTCTAGCACAAGATGACTGTGTGAACTAATTGGGGTTTGATCCATTTCTCTTTGCTACTTCACTCACTACTTGTTTGTGTGACAACCATGACACATCCCCTGTGGGAATTGCCGACAGTTCATTCCTTGAATTGAATCATGTGATCAAAGTTCATGTAACATAGACAAAAACTGCACACTGAGGTCATTGCTTGAGATTGACTCTGCTATTCATGGAGTTAAATTATTTGAATCTAACCCTTTGGAGAACCATTTCTGGTTTGGCTTTGGCTTTCAACTCATATTGATTGTGTGTGGTGAAGAGTAACATAGAGTTGGTACTTGGCACACCACTTTTCACTTTCAACTCTTACCTAGATTAACTAGCCATGAACACAACATCAAAAATTAAGTAAAATAAACAATAATTCTCTTCACGAATACTAATATAATCATTTTGTTACAAAATCTTTGTCCAATTGTGTATCATTCATTGACATAATCATCTACCTATCAACTTTAAAAAGTCTAAAAGCTAAACCCATTTTCTTCTCTCTCCATCCCATCCTTTCGTCTCTTTAATATATTTTCTTTTCAAACAGTGAATGGATAAAATTTACACCATCAATATGTACCTATTAAACTCAAACAATTTAATACAAAAAATTATTATACATTAGAATAATATTAAAATTAAAAACTTGAAAATATTAAATATAATCAACGAAGTTAAATTTACTCCAAACCCAAAGTAATATAATCCAGACACTCTTACAATTCAACATCAATTATTACTTCCCACATGATTGTTGTTTCTATGATGGTGTGAGTTCAGTTTATGAGAAGTAATCATAAAAAAAAAAAAAAAAGGGTGAGTAAGAAGGGTTTAAAATGACAGAGAAGAGAGAGTCACAGACATATGAGTGAGCTGTTTGTGAGAGAAAGAGAGAGATCCAACAAGTCAACTCAGTCCTGCTCTTCCAGCATCTCTGACACAACACAACCTTCAAACACAACGCCCACAAAACAAAAAATGTATCTTTGAAATGACCCTTTTGCCCTTCCCTCCCTCCCTACTTCTGGTCTGACACTCATCAACGCCACCGTCCACCATGGACGCCTCCGCCGCCACTTCCTCGGCCGAGCCCAGCCCGAGTTCGGAGCTCCGGCTCAACGGGGCATCCCAGGATCCGAATCGAACTGGGCCGGTTCAGAATTCGACGGCGAGGTACAAGCTAATTGCGCCGGCAAAGCTTCCGATCTCGAGGTCGCCGTGCATCACGATTCCTCCGGGACTGAGTCCGACGTCGTTCCTGGAATCGCCGGTTCTTCTTTCCAACATGAAGGTGAGTGAATGAGTGTGTGCTCTTTTGCCTCTTCTTTTTATTCTTCTCTGGGGACTCTAATCGAAGTGTTTGGTTTGAATGAATAATGAAATAAATGGGTTTGTGCTTACGAGGGGGAATTTTCATTTTTCAAAGGGTTTTGTGTTTTCTGAGAGGAAATGGAACAGAAGAAGGAAAGGTAAATGCTTGAGTGAATTCATTGGGGGAATGTTGTTGTTTTTTATTTCATTTTGGTCGAAGGTTATCTTTTACTGTTTTTTTTTTTAACTTGACCCGTGCAAGGGTAAAGGTCACTTATTGCGAGTGGCATATCAAAAATTTGTTCTTTTCACTTTGATTTTCATGGGGTTTCTCAGCTATCCAATAGGGCTTATCTGGGTTGGTGTCAAATCGTATTCGATTTGGTGGAATAATTTGATTATTTACAATGACTTGATCTTAATGCTGGTGAGTAATGAGCTGACGATGCTGTTTTTTGTTATGTAAAATTCGAAATTCTTATACGCTGGTTTAGTCTCGTGGCAAATTGTTTCTTTAGAGCTGTCTCTTTACTCGTTTGATCGTTCACTTAGTAGTACATTTTTGTGTATGGGTCCGTTAGTTTCTGATTCTTTTGCTCTTATAGGATTTTGTATTGGCTGCTTTATGCTAATTTACGGTATTCTGTTTGGTGGAATATAACTTTAGCTGAGGATCGCTCGACATTCTCCTTTTATTTATTTTAATGTCAGTGTTGTTTTTGCACATAATGAATCTTCTTTTTAGTTGGTGCTTGCCCTTTTTGTTTGTTTTTGTTTCAACGGTGCAGCAGAGTGCACAGAAAAGTCTTCTTCTTTTCCTTTACTATTTATATGTGTGGAGAAAACGAATCAATGCATTACCAACGATTAGTGGATTGATTTTAGTTATTTGTGCTGTGAGAATAATATAAGGAATGTCAGAAAGGTTGTGGGTCTAGATTTTGTGAAAGGACTTGTTTCTAGACGCTAATAGTCTGTATGGTCCTAATTCGAGTAGAATTCTGTTCTTCATTCATGTAGGAGTGTCTTTTCTTTGTTATGATTGATTGTTTATATAACTAACTTTTGCATTTATAACGTACTATACTATCTTTGTCAAATGGACTCCAAATTAACAACATGCAGTATTATCAGCAGGAGAAAGTAGAAAACTTTGCTTACGCTCAATTATAGTGGGTGGCTTACATCAGTAGCTGATAAGACCATTCAATTAGTTGGTTTACTCAGAGGTTTATTTATGTGGTCTCTTTCTGCTGTTATTTATTACTGATTTCCTAGGTTTATTGATTACTGTTTGAGGCCTTAGGGTTTGCAGGTATTCAGGAACTTGCTGTTATGTTGCCTTTTCCTCCTCTCTTTTTATTAGTCTTTTAAGAAATTAAAATTGTTCCATGTATCTTTCTGTGCATTTTAATTTATAATTTTTCATTTGACTCAACAACCATTCCTCAAAGAGCTTATAGCTTAATATTATTTGTCCATGCGTTGCAGGTGGAGTCTTCACCAACTACAGGGTCCCTCCGCAATCTTCAACAAACAGCACATGGTTCTATGGCTTCTGCTGCCTCTGCTACATTTGCAGTAACCACTGCATGCTTCAATACCAATACTGTTGATGACAGGAAATCAAGCTTCTTTGAGTTCAAACCTCTCAACAGGTTGAATATGGTAATGAAAATTGATGTTGGCAACAGTTTGATTAAAATAACTTTTGAATCACATGGATGAATAGTCTCAAATTTTGTTTTTCTTTCTCCTTTGACTTTACTTGGTTCAAATCTGTATGCTAACTGACAAAGCAAGACGGTATAATTCATCAGATTTGAAATATGTCAAGATTGTCTTTGCTCATACTTTGTCGGTCTGAGACAAAATCAATTCCGAATGTCTTGCTTCATTTAAATAGTTTTAAAAGTTATAATTTATAATCCTATAAATGATTAAAGTGTTAGGTAAAAACCAATGGTGTTTTCATTTTCTGATTAATATTGTTTTTGAAGATTACAAATTTCGTAACACTTATACTGCTATTTGCTCATGTGAAGGTTCCTTCAGACTTCAATAACCATGTTTTCAAACAATCTACTCAAGTAGAAGGTCCAGGAAAATCTCAATCGTTTCCTTCCTCACCATTAGTTGAAAATGAAATAGCAGTCCCTTCTAACGAATTAAGTCTATCATCACCTGTACAAAAGGTTAATTCTAGTCCTAGTCCTCCTGTTGATGTTGATTTGGACGACATTAACCACAAAGGCAACACAGCTACTGGGCTTCAAGCATCGCATGTTGAGGTTAGAGGCAGTGGACTTTCAGTTGCAGCTGAGAAAACATCTGATGATGGATACAATTGGCGAAAATACGGGCAAAAACTTGTTAAAGGAAGTGAATTTCCACGCAGTTATTACAAATGTACACATCCAAACTGTGAAGTGAAAAAGCTTTTTGAACGCTCTCATGAAGGTCAAATCACTGAGATAATTTACAAGGGAACACATGATCATCCTAAACCTCAACCAAGCTGCCGATACTCTACTGGTACTATTATGTCTATTCAAGGAGAGAGATCTGATAAGGCTTCTTCTTTGGCTGGCCTAGATGGTAATATCAGCCAGATGCTTATCATAGCTTCCATTTTATTATTACTTATTGCAAAGAAAATAACCTTGATTACTTTTTCCTCTATTTTTTTTTTTGTAGACAAATCATCCACCATGTATGGTCAGGTGTCTCATGCTGCTGAGCCCAACAGTACTTCTGAGCCATCACCTGTGGCAACAAATGATGATGCTTTAGAGGGTGCTGGGTTTGTGTCAAACAGGATTAGTGAAGATGATGATGATGATCCCTTCTCAAAGCGAAGGTACGACAATTTGGTCAAGCACTGGATTTTTCCAGCATGTGTGCTCACTTGCTGCTGCTAAGGTTTTTCTTTTTTTGTTGAACAGAAAAATGGAACTTGGAAATGTTGATATCACTCCTGTAGTTAAGCCTATCCGAGAGCCACGGGTTGTTGTACAAACTTTGAGTGAGGTTGATATATTGGATGATGGGTATCGCTGGCGTAAGTATGGCCAGAAGGTGGTGAGAGGCAATCCTAACCCAAGGTATATCTTCACTGGAATAGAAGTTAAATTAATAAGTTCAATTTAACCTATTTTGTTTGTCAAATGTTTTATTTTTTACTATTGTCAAGCTTTTGCTCTTGTACTTGTTGTTTAAACAACAATTTAATTGAGGAATGAACATGATATAATAGTTTATTGAAACATACATATCTATTCACTTCTCAATCATTTTGCCTTATAATATTTTCTTTTATTATGATTGTTGTTAGCTAGTCTGAGGCTTTGAGACCCTTGCAGCTATGTAGCTAGCCTGGTCCATAAAAAGCAGTCTGTATCTGTCTAGACATAGACATGTGAGGGATATATATATAATTGGTGTTAGACTATCCTCATTAACAGTAAGCTAGACAAAGGAATCTCGTATAGGGATACTTTGATGGATCTATGGGTGAGGCAGATGATGTTTTGCAGTTTCAAGAACAGCAATGGAATATAATATGCTAGATTATGAAATTTTGTATATTATGAAAGCTCATGAAATCATTACGACTTTAGGTGGAGGAGTTTCATTTGGTTGATGCTGAAAGCTATTTTTAATATTCATTCAGAAGCTTTTTATTTTTTTTGTAGTGGGTTTTCATTAAATACTTGCATAGTTAAGATAGAAAGTGAAAATTAATATAATTGCTAAAAATTTTCTTAGAAACACGGTGGAGAATTTAAGTGGCAGTGGACTATTGATTATAGGAACGTATTTAGGAGTAGATATTGCTTCCAAAGGAAAGGAGCAAACATTGTTTCTGCAAGCCCACACCAAGTTATAAGAAATTTTAGGGTGCAGGGAGGGGAAGGACAAAAATATATTCATATCATTGCAGGCTTTGTGCTCAGTTATAAGGATTGAAGGACATGGGGACAGTGTATTTTATTTTTTTATTTTATTCCTGAGGAAAGTAGGATTACTATCCTGCTTGTTTTAATGAATGACTGTTGTAGCTGATCCCAGTTTACAACTAAGCTTGCTGTCATTTTATGAAGTCAATAGACAGTCGTGAGCAATTAGTTATAAGTTGGGCTATATATACATGAATTTGTTTTGTTGTTATAGTTGTCCTAGGAAGTGTCTGTACAAACCCTTTCTATTTCATGATCACTATCATATGTGGATGTCATTATTAAATACTCAAGGTTACTTCTCATGATTCCTCTGGTATATTATTGTGTTGTGTGGCTACATCTGGAAATGCTTGAAAAGCATGGAATTCAAATCAAATGTGTGCTTAGTAGACCTTGATATTCTTGTTGCATGTTTAGTAGACCTTGATATTCTTGTTGCATGTTAATGATCCATCCTTATGATTCATACTAACTGCAGTACTGGAATCTGCAGGAGTTATTACAAGTGCACAAATGCAGGTTGCCCTGTCAGAAAACATGTGGAAAGGGCATCTCATGATCCAAAAGCAGTGATAACCACATATGAGGGTAAACACAATCATGATGTACCAGCTGCAAGGAATAGCAGCCATGACATGGCAGTAGCAGCAGCTGGACAGACAAGGATTAAGTTGGAAGAAAGTGATACCATTAGCCTTGACCTTGGGATGGGCATTAGCTCAGCTTCTGAACATAGATCAAACGCACAAGGGAAAACATTGCACTCAGAATTTGGGGACACTCAAACTCACTCCAGTCATTCCAATTTCAAGTTTGTTCATACTACCTCAGCTCCAGTATACTTTGGTGTTCTAAATAACAGCTCTAATCCCTATGGTTCTAGAGACAACAGGAGTGAGGGTCCAGCTTTAAACCATTCCTCGTATCCTTGCTCCCAGAGCATGGGAAGAATACTAATGGGTCCATGAAACTGATTACACAACAGACATGAAAATAAAAATTCTGAGTAACATTTTACTTTCTTTTTTAATTTTTGGCGGGTATAGCTTCAAAGGTGTAACATCTCATTTTCTGTAAGAAAATGCAGATAGTTCTTTTATGTTTATATCACTATTTGAGAGCTGCTGTTATGTAGAATTGGTAGCAGCTCCAGCATGTTGACTTTTAAATCTAATTTCCGTTTGTAATTGTATAATATAATTATATCCAAATTCTTCTGTATAAATATGATAATGATATCAAAGGTACACTCATAAAACCTGGTAAAAGTGCATTAAGCCTTTTGCTCGACATTGTATGTCGTGTTCAAAATTTAACGTTGGGTAGACTCGCTTGGTCCCTAGTCCCCACTGCACTGATTACAAGTCGTACATACCCCGTGATTGATGATCTGTTTTGATATATAATGAAGTTGGAATGCACGTGATGATACCATTGATTTGTAAGTGTTGGATATTCTCACTGTTTTATGTAGATTAGACTCACATAATTTAAGTCCGTGTTTGGAAGTGGAGCATGGATGTGGTTTTTCACATCAATGTGATTTACTGATGTCTGAACGTGTTCCAAATACCCTCTTGCATGATTGACAACGATACGAAGAGAGATACAATAACCATTAGATTTTTACATAGGTAGATGTGTCTATTCTCTATTTACATACGAAAGACTTGGTAGTTACGTACATAAACCTTATCCTCACTTTAGCAACTGATAAAGCGAAAACCCTTGGTGTCAGCATAGAAAAAGGACACACTCCCTTTCAGCCTGTATTTTGGGGAGGGGGACCAGCATTGCCAAGTGTGCCGTGCTTGTTTGTTTCTATTAAACTGAACAGAGAAAAACAGGGGTTCCTTTTCTTTTTCTTTTTGCAAATTTCCTAGTACATTGCATTAACATTAGTGTAACTGCAATCATATTTCATTGTCACAAGTCAAGGTGTGATTACTTTAGCGTGGAAGATGTATTTTGAGTGCATTCAAGAATTTTTCTAGAAAGAGAAATACAGATGAAAGGTGATGGAGCCAATTGCATAATGATGTTAGAACTGAACGTCCTAGCTTGATGGAATAGCAAAATGAATTTTAGCACTATTTTGCAATAAATATACATCATGCAGTTTGACATGACATTTCTTAGATTTAGGATGAATTCCTTGCATTAGTCAATCAGCAATCAAGATTTGCATATTGATATTCTTGGAATATTGATGGAGTACATCCTTGATGAGGGTTGGATTCTCTTGGCTTTATCTTTGAACCAGTCTGACATGTTCACGTTGGGCTTTAATTGCTGTGCAAGTAAAGTACAACTTTCTTAAATTCATATATTTGTCTTAGCTTAACCAGGACTGAAGAATCATGCAGCCACGTCTAGCACCATTTATGGAACCAAGATGTATAGATTCCGGGCTGATCCTTCCATTCCCTTCTCAGAGTCAGATGAGCCACATATGAGCACAATTCTGCATCCTTATCATACCGCCATTCGGATCCCTGCAGAGCATAATGATATTTTTATGCTAACTCAAATGGTTCTCGATTTTACACAGATTAACACCAGATTAGGGACAAAAGAGAGTTTGATCTCTTATTGCTTTATGTATCATGTAAATGGAAAAGTAGTGGTAGTGGCATGACTCTTTGGCAAAGATAGAAGACACAACCATGTTTCTGTATGATTGTGTCTTTGATATGTGAAGCGACTTTTCAGAACCAATATACAAACGACTGATATTCTATTGTCTTTAGACTTGAGCATATCGCTTTTTCTTTTTCATAAAACAAAAGAGATATTATAATTTATATTTATACAATAAGTTTAAAGTTTGTACATTTTTTTATACAGCAGCTAGAGATAGGAACAGAAGAAAGAAAAAGGCAAGATAAATAATGCGGTGAAGAGAAATACAGAGAAAAATTGATATTGTAAAGAGTGTTGTATGGGTAATATAACTAAAATGTAAGGTTAAAGACCTCAAAAATCATATGTTAGGTACATATTTCATTATTGAACTGGTGTAGTTAATCTTACTTTTTGTAAAATTTGATTTGCTCAGCATGTGATATTGACATGAAAACTAAATTTAAACGAAAGAACTGCTGGCCAAAAACTGACAAAAGAACAATAAATGACCAAGGAAAGTCCACTGGAGTCTTGCCTTTCTCAAACATTCCTGAGTAGACAATTCTCACTCATTTTAAAAACAGATCCATCGTCTGTGTCCCATAATGACAGAAGGAAAAAGAAAAGGTTAAAATATATTTGTCCTAATACCAAATGAATTTTAATTCAGAACTTGTACCAAAAAATGGTTTTAATGTCTTTTAATGTTATTCTCTGTCCTTTGTCGCTGTTTCAATACAGTAAAAATAACACAAGGTCATGGTAAAATATAAAAACTAAATCGAAAATAATTATATATAAAAACAAAGCATAATCTTTTATCCCTATACATAAATTTCAATTTTGGTGAACATATTCTGCAAGAAATAAAAACAGTTATACCTATGATGGCTAGATGATATTTTTTTTTTCCCGATGATTATAAAATTGAAAATGAGTTAGTGAACAAAAAATATACTCTATTGTTTTATTTGTCCCTCAACTTTGTGCATGTTACTGAGACAACAAACTTGTTCACTAGAAACCAGTCTTTTTGTGTTCATATATTCCATTCCACACAGGGAAGAAGAGGAGCAAAGAAAGAGATGCATGCCTTATGGGTCTCCTTGAAGGATAATATCAAATGTGGAAACAAGATCAACGATGTAATCAAGCAGCAAACAAAATGCGCCAAAGGAAGTGGGTATGTTTCAGAAAGGGAGAAAATGAATGGATATAATAGACCTCTAATGCAAACTCCAACTGGCCTAGTAGTTTCAAGACCAAGCAACACACTGGGAAGGCTTCATGGTAAGTTACTAAGTCGCATGTTGCTTCTATTATCATCACAACGTGCTTTCATGTCTAAAAAACTCGAAGTGTTTCATGATAAATAAGTTTTAAATCTAAAATTATGATTTTTCAGAAGTCATTGTAACTTCTAAGAGGAAAACTAATTAGAGCAGTTGAAGTATACTGAAAACTTCCTTTATCCTTTTTTTCACTATGTGTATGTTACATTCTACTAACTCGTTCACATGATTACAAATTTTGACAGAAATGAGTGTTGGCGACCCATCGAGAAAAATTGTTGAGATGATCTTTCAAAAAGCTTGGTTCAACACATCAAAGCCACTGAAGAAGGTTAGAACAGTCCTCAGGGTAAGCTATTCAGAAGAAGTCCTTGAAAGGTTTGAAAAATATAGAGAAAATGTAAAAAGGGTGGCCTCTGAGAAATATCCAAGGCATCCAAGGAGCACAGTTGATGGGAATGAACTGTTGCGATTCTATGGTACTACAGTGAGATGTTTCCAAGGGAAATCTACGAAGAGAGTTCATGATCCCTGTAAAGATCCATCTTGTTATCTTTGCCAAATAATTCAATTTAATTTCAAGAAACAGTACGCCGACATTCACCCGAATACAGGTGACAAAGAGTTAAGTAACAGAAGAACTGCCACTGGCAGGGTACATAATGTGAAAAAAGCTGCAATAATTTGCAGGATAATTGCTGGAACTCCAGTAAATGAAGTTGATGGTGAGTATGAAGGACCTGGTTCCACTGGGTTAGGAGAAATGCAGATTAGCTTAGAAAACTTTGTAGTAAAAAACCCCAGTTCTATTCTTCCTTGTTTTGTAATAATTTTCAGCTAAAAAGTTTTCTAGTAGTAAATTGTTATTATTCTTTTTATCTGTGTAAGGGATATCATAGCAAAATACAGAATACATAGTACTGCTTGTGGTTTCTTTTTTCTTTCTGAACTTGATGATATCCTGTTTTGGTTCTGGAATTATTGACATAAATCTAGTGTGTTTAACATACTATAGAGTAATTTGACTATGAAATGAGGAATTCTGCGTAAGATTAGGAAGATACAACAACTGAGAAAGTCTGCAATAACAAAAATGAACCAGTTGCCTTTGGATCATCACCTCCAAGCACAAGAGGTAATAAGAACTTGATTCATCCAACCAAGACATAGAGCCCCATCTCTCTCTTCTAGAGTGTAATGTCCTTGGTAAGTTTGCTGAAGATTTTTAATCGAACAAGTTATAAAGGAGTTCAATGGATATGGTGAGAAACCAGCCATAGTGAAACGTGATCTCCACTTCTTCAGAAGCTCGTGACGTTCCACTCTTTCCGCCCCTTCACATGCTACTAAGTTCACAACTTCCCGAGCCAGACAATGCTGTTCCACATTAATCCTTTCTTTGTTCTCCCTTGGAAGAGCAGCATCAATTGATTCAAAAATAGCCAAGTAGTAGTTCACTGTCTCAACAAAACGGGGGAAGAATGGGAGGTTGTTGGTATGTGATTCTTGCTCAACTAGTGTCACGATCTTTGGAGACAGGCACTTAGCCAATCTCAACAACCGGTCACGATGGTTCTTACTATCCACACTTTCATCGGGAACATGGTGCAGCATCATGGCAAAATTCACAGCAATGGCTTCACGAGGTCGAAGTTCAAGGTCCTTAATTTCAACATCAGTGGGAGCAACTTTTATGGCATGGAACTCAAAGGATACATCGTATGATTGTGCAAGTGTTAACAACCTTTCTCCCACAATTTCAAGGCCTCCTTGCCTGGCATAAGCTGAAGTGGAGTCATCAAAACCTGTTATTCTGATCTTAGGTGGTCCTCCAGGTCTGCCGGCAAGAGCTTGGATTAGGCTCACCCACTGTATTCCCTGGTTGATCTGAAAATCAATTATATGGACTTCACTTTCCCCCTTCATGACTTCAGCAATAGCTCCATTTGCTGACATGTATCCAAATTTCAGATATGGGCAGATTTCATAAAGTAGGTGCATGTGTGAAAGGAGTTCACTACCAGTAGGCTCTTTACATTTCAAGGCTTTGTAGATTGTGCTTCCTGAAGAGGCCACTCTTGCAACAAGAGCCTCCAGCATGTATGCTCCCAATCTTTGGATTGGGTTGCCCGAAACGGAAACCAGTTTGCGTAACTCTGACATCAACCATTCAGTTGTCTCCATATCATTTTCTGCCACAGCTATTGCACATGTACAAAGCATCTCTTTCAAATCCCCTCTAGATATCATTTCCATCATTTTCTTCCACCTTTCTGCCTCTAGCAAAAATGGATCAGATTCCTCTGGAATTGCAGTATCATACATATCCAGAATATCTGCATCATGTCCCAACATAACACTTTCGAGCTCTCTTATCTTGTGTCTCAGCTCGCTGTCACTATGCGTCAAACAAGATTCATTTTCTAGTGAATCGTTAGCAATTTCAAGAGAATTCTGTGAACTCAACACATATGGTTTTGGCTGTAGCTTTGAGACTGGGCTATTGTTAGATGAGAAACTGACAGTTGATGGGGAATTTAGGGAAGGGAAACTGATCTTTGTAGAAGATTCCAGGGTGCAATAATGTTCTACTGAACGAACAGAAGGGTAGGTTGTATGGCCACTGTTATCAGAGGATGAGTGGTAGTCTAGGTTCTCACTTTGCAGGAAGCAGCATGACCCAAAATTTTGTGCAGGCTCAATGCTGAACCTGTTAGAGTTATAGGACATTTTATGTTTCTGAGACATTTTCATTTGAAAAGTAACTGGTTCATTGAACATACGTAGACAACACCAAAATTTTCTGTTTTCTCTTTCTCTGGAGCAACAAATGCCAGTTACTTCTATTTAAGCTCTGTGATCGTTGTCCACATTTTACTCCATTCCAGCTAGACTTGAGCGCTGCACTGAAAATCTGAGATATTCTGCAGAAAGGATAACACAACAATTAAAACAACAAAGATAGATAACAAAATAACAAGAGATATAACCATATAAAACAAGAATGCAGTCTCAGTCCTGATAGAACAACAAACACATTGAGTTGAGGCTATTGGCTAAATTTGATATTCTTGAGGTCAGAAGTTAAGGTCTTCGGAATATATTGCTCAAATAAAGGCTAGAAACCAGTAAAAACAGAGTTGGATTATTTATTGAAGGCCTAAGAAGGGATTTTAAATCTAGAAAAGAAAAAAAAAAACTTATATTTGCATACAGTAAGCTAAATTTTCCAGATTTATTATATGCTATTCTGTTGGAAATATTTAGAATTTTTGCATATATGTATTTTTTATATAAGAAATACGATGTGATGTAATTTCTCTATATTTCATGTGTATATATCAAACATTAATAAAATCTCAATTTATAATTACTTAAATTAAAATAATAATTTTAATATATTTTTATTTTATTTTAAATCATGATAAAATTCTTTTAATATCTAATTTAAATAAAAAATAATAAAATGTATATTTCTAACATATTCCACTTCACATAGCACAACACACCAAAGACACAGTATCTGATTTTCACAATCCTCATGCACAAATAGCTCTTAAGATATGAACACAACTGTAATTTAATCATTATATATGAATCGTTTCATAATTATTACTAATCATTCTCTGCTTTAGTTTTCAACTTTCCACCACATGTTTTTGTTTGTCTTTCAAATTTGATTCAATCCAGAAATGAAGATTGGCTTCATAAATCTAACTAAATAATGAATCTTGGAACACCTGCTGCTACTCAAAGGAAAAAAACTTTCCTTTCTTGTTCCATTATTCCTTCTTCATAAAAAAGTGAAAGATAGGATTGTTCAGAAAGGCCTCCCACATGATATTCATGATTTTCAATTCCTTAAAGAAATTCTCAGAAGATCCATTAGAACTTTCTTGAACTCAAACTTCTTCAAACATGCTCTAAACTTCAACTCAATTACACAGAAAGGAGAATAGGGACTTCCAATTATAAACTAACAAAAATTAAGCATTCAAAAACAAATTCATTTTGAGTTGAAACGCAGAGAGACCCAGAAATTCTTATCAATCACCCTGGTGACTCAACAAAACCTAAAATGTTCCACTAAGCTTTCCCCTCAGAAAACATAAGAGAAGGGAAAATCATTACTATAAACAACAAAGATGTCAAACTTTAAAGTAATTCCTCCCTGTTATATATACCGTTATTAAATGTTAATGAGCAAATAATATTCACAAACTCAATAACTGCCATAAAAAGTAACTTTTTTTCTTCACTGGTAAACATAACAAGATGCTGCATCTCCTTCAAGTTAGCGTAACAAGCACAGACACTTGTATGGTAAAATATGTAAAACTACTTTCCTCCCACTACATAATCATACAAAATAGATCAGCAGATACCTTCAGAGATTCTCACCTTAATTGGAAAGGAAAGCATGATCTGCACTTTGAAACCAAAACAATAGAGAACAAATCCAAGGACCAAGCACTTTTGCAGCAAAAAGTAACCAGGACTTGGCATGCATGTGGGCTTTTGTTTTTTCAAGGATGGAGGCAAGACCAAATACAAGGTTGTTAAGTGCTATATTTTATAGAAAACGTTTACATAAACAATGAACAAGCCTTATTTTTTTTTTCTCATGAAAATTACTTTTGAAGCCACTGCACAAACGAATTCAATCCTATTTTAATTTTATCTCCTAAATTTTCCATTTAGTCGTTGTGTGTAATTTCTGTTAACCTCCTCTAAAGCATTCTGTTTTATTTCTTCAATTTTTCTAAATACATTTTTTTACATGCTCCTTTAACTTAACATAAAAGATAATAGCATTTAAATAATACTTTTAAAGCAGCATGAAACTATCGATTAAACAATAAAATTAAATTTGTTTTACTAAAATACGATAAAAAAAATATATTAGATATTAAAAATTATATTTTTATTTTAAATTCCTTCGCACGTGTTAAAAATATTTATGCATAAAAAAACAAGTCTGAAACCGCTCAGTTCTATCTGGGTTCCATTGTTCCGAATGCTGACGCATGACGCGTATAAACATTAGTTTGAGATTAGAAGCTAAAATTACATCATTTTTTTTTTAAGTAGAATATGGATTTAAGAAAAATGAATCAAATATAAAAAAGTTAACTTTTTGCACAGACTCAGCAAATTACTGTAGAATTGAACCACACTCGTGCAGAAAAGAGAACAACAAGGAGTCAAACAACACGTATACGTCGATGCCTTAAAATGCGTGTTTTGAATAATTTTGTGAAACTTTCGGACTAATACGAAGAGATGTGATTTGTGTTTTGTGCGTTTCAGAAGGAAAAGACAAAAAAAAAAAAAAAAAAGGCAAAGTAAAGTGTGTCGGTACGGTGGTTGATGCATGTTTGTTCCAAAATCGCATTGCGTTGCCCCTGTACGCTTTTCCATTCTCATTTTCATGCATGGCTTTTAGGTTTAGATTTTGGATTGAAAGGAGATAGATTTGGAAAAAATTATTTTTTATTTAAAATTAATTAATCTATAAATAATTTATATAAATTATGTGTTTTAAATAAATTGTGTAATTTTTCAATGTTCAAAATTTACACAATGTTTTGATCATTATTTTTTTAAATAAAATGATTTAATATAATAATTTATTTCAATTATTAGATTAAATAAATAAATAATAAAAATGAAAAACTAAATTTTACCATTATTTTATCGTTCGCTCTCGATATAATTACTTATTTAATTAAAGGGGAGATAAGTTTGTGATTCTAATTTTAATATAATTAATTACTTTAGAAAGTAATTTATATTTGACTGTTCAATGGACAAATTTAATTAACCACCAACGCTATGCTTTTGGATTCAATTCAACTACTTTTACGACAATCACACCGACATGCATAAATGCGTCTTTACCTGTTTGACATCTGAATGAATGCTGTATATCTGTTGTATTGAAAAACCCATTTATGAATTTTGGAAATTTAGTTGAAATTTGAACTAAAATCTCTTCAGTTTTTCTTTTCTGTTTGTTTTATCTTTCAAGAACTCTTACACCAGGATCATTATTCATGTCATACAGGATGACCTGAATATATTGTCAGCCATACGTCATAGATTTGTAACGGCTATTAACTTGTTTTTGGTCTTTGTTTTTCCAATTTGCTTTACGGCTAATCAATTAATCGCAAGATTGGTGCATGTTAATTGAAGATTGACCAGTGTTTTGTGAATTATCAAATGACTTAAAAAAATTTTCTCAGTATTGACCAATATCCCAAAAAAATTGACCAATTGTTGTGATATTCGACTGTGATTAGTTTGAGCCACAAGTTGGTTGCGAAGTCAAGAATCCATGTTCATCAAATCACCCCTTGGAAAGCAAGAAATGGGACCCAACAGAGTGTAAAAAATCTGCAGTTGAAGTCCATCCATCCTATTAAATTTTCAATTTAATAGATAGAAACATTGAAGTCCAAATTTGTGGCTGTGTTACTGCAAGATCCACGCAGTGAAATGGTGATGCACTGCTTCAGAGTCAATATGATAAAGTCTATACACCTTAAAAAGTAGATGCAGGATAAGGTGTTGAAGATTTTGGTACAGATTCGAGTAGACTACTTTAGGTAGCCAAGGATGAAGTAACGATTACTCGTATCTGACATCAGTAATGACATAAATGAAAGCTGCGTAGTTTGAAAAGAATCTTCTTATGGAGTTGGCATTGATAAAAAGGATTTTATAATGTCAATGTCCTTTAGTACACTTGGCCCTTTTAGCAGAATCAACACTGAAGAAAAATAATGTTTGTCACCTTGAACCAAAAGCGGAAACTGTTTTTCAATTCTGGTTTCTTTCAGAAAGTAAACGACTAGGACATGATTGGTTTAATGAGTATATATATTATTTGGATAAGGGATAAAATCAAATAAATACCTGTGCCCAAACTTGTTACAACGTCAGTAACTTTTCACAAATGATTAGTTTTCATACAATATATTTATTCCTCAGATTTTCATTCAAGTTAAAAATAAATTTATACTTACTTGTACTTCTTTATAATGTATATCATTTTATTTTTCTTATTGGATTACATATCTACAAATGTCTCATAACTCATCCCTCAGAAGAGAATCGTTACTATGTAGAATGCTTACAAAATTTTCTTGATTCCATCATATATAATCCTCATCTGCAATGGATTAAATTTCTTCTTTGATAGTCTTAAAATGGATAGCTGGGGAAGCCAACCCCTTGCTAAATTCATTACTATGGCATTGAAATCCTTGCTCTATCAACTTAAATGCTTTTCAGTCTGATTACATCCTGCCCATTTGAAGATTACGAAAGTTGGAGTCAATTCAATCAGAATCCCAGGCACAGGAACAACCTACAACGAAAAAACAGCCAGAAAACCAAGGTTCTATCACTATAACAAGTCGTCCAAATATTGAGACTTCACCTCAAACATGTCTCCAATAGGAAAAATTAATGTCTAATATTGATAGCAGACTACATTTTTGTGAGATCAGCCATACACTAAGAATATATCTCAGGCATCATGCTGATATATGTGCAGCAGCTTGATCTTAGCACAGAGGACAGTTCTCATTCTTATTTTTCTATCATTGCTGCACAGTTCTTTTTCCTAGGATGGGCATGTCAATAGGGTAGCAAATACCATTCTCTCAAAGGAATTACAATGGTTCTAATAAATATGGTAGTCGCTACTACTGCAAATAGATTTACTATGTTGTTTACATTTGTGTATGATGGAGAATATTCTCACAAACTTTGAATCTCTGCTAAAATAAAGTTGTCACTATTGAAGTATGGAGTTTATACAACGCTATAGAAATTAGCCTGAAAAGAATCTTTTCCACGACTGCCAAGGAAGAAACCCACCTGCAGCAGATAGCACATTGAGGACTGTAAGATAATGAATTATACAGTTAGTTAATGGTAGCTCGACAAAACATAAATGACAAGAAAATTAGAGAAACAACAAAGCAACCCAATATTAACAAAACATGTAATGAAAACCCATTTGGATACCAAGCTAGAAGAGTTTTTGAGAGTTTCAGAGTTGAAAAAAACTCTACACTTCTAGTTAAAAAAAAACTCTCAGAAGCATTTTTAACTTACACCTAAAAGGTTCTACGTGATATTGCAGTTACACTGCTGGAGTGAAATTACTAAAGAAATGATAGAATTGACCATCATATCAATTGTCACACACAACCAAAATAAAAGGAAGAGGACCTATGTAAAATATCTCCATTTTAACACCAACAGTTTCTCAAGTTGACAATGGATATTCAAATTAGCTTGGTAATGCAAGAATTTATACAATTCCTAGGTATTCAATGTACATCAGAATAGATTGTAGTTGTCACACCAAACATGACATTTTAAATTTTCGTACATTCAATATTTTGAGTTTGATGTTCAATTACTGGACACATAAAAAAGCCCAATTAATCAGGAATATTTCAGAGAGATACATTGAAACTCTCCCACCTGCATACTTAATTGCTTAAACAGAGTACTACATGACATGAGAAGAAGTGAATGCAATCATACCACATTCTGGGCAACGGAAGTATTCCTTTTCCCTCAAAACAAGCCCTGATCCTCCACATTCCTCACATCTTTTCTGAGCTATCTGTAACAGTATCCAACAATAAAGACATGAAACACACGAGTTTCATAACTAATGACTTACAACTCATCAGCTCAACCAAAAGAGTGACTCACAATTCTTTTGCTAAATTCAATCCCTGCCACGACAAAAGGGGTAACCCCAGCTGCAAAATTCAAACTCAAAGAAAATCAAAAACCAATTTCATACAAAAAACACAATTTTTTCTCCATAAATATAAGGACAAAATACAAAACAGATAAAAAGATCTGCAAGATTTGTTTGTACCTTAGGTAAAAACATTTATGGTAAAGTTAAAAATCAAAGGTTGTGATTATTGTGTGAGTTAAGGTACCTATAGCTCCGACCACAATTTGCCAGGTGACTTCCACTGGAGCTGGATCAAGTACTGTGGTAACATCTTCCACATTCACAGCACCCACCCTTATCCTTCTTCTTCTTCTTATTCCATTCTTAACCCAAACGTTGAAACCTTGTCTCCCAGTCATGTGAGAGATCCTTGCCCCTCTGCTCCTAGTTTTCACACTCCCCAATGAAAGCAGAGACAAAGAAGACGCTGCTAATGCTCCTTCCATAGTTAGCTAACTCGTCAAGCCCGTTCATTTGGCACTCCACAACAACACAACCGTTATAAAGAATGCCACGTGGGCTTTTTTAGCGCAGGGGCTCGCGCCACCTACGCGTTACTTTGTGTGACTCATATTCCAGATATGGTTTTAATAAAAACGACACCGTTTTAGATAGAAAAGGATAAACCTCTGGTAGCGCAGAGATTCTGATTTAGGGTTTTGGAGTATATTCTTTTCTGTTTCTCTGTGTAGCAATGGCTGCTTCTATGTCTCTCTATCCCTATAATCCCCTGCTATATTTTTCGACTCCTTCGTGTTTTCGTTCTCAACTTCGAAACTTGGAGAGAGGGCATTTGGGTTCTGCAAGGTTGAAGCGTTTGGTGAAACTTGCAGCACATTCAAATCCAAAGATTCTCAAGACCAACAGGAAGTCAAAGTATGGAGATGCACTGTCGTTGTACGATAGTGATGAAGACGATGAAGAAATGGACGAAGACGACGACGAAGATGATGATGATTGGCTTTCAGATGTGAGTTGTGTGCTTTCATTATCTGGCCAAAATTCGTCTTTAAATTCTAGGATGAACTTCTTATGCGATGGAAAAGTGAAGTGGGTTTTTAGTTATGCTTTTGAAATGTTTCCTTTGTCCAAGATGTAACAAAAAATGGTTGACTACATGTTGAAATTTGGTTTTGATGTTTGCTTGTTTATTGTTAATTTTCCCGGAACGTGTGTGCAGGAGGAATTTGCGGAGCCAGCTAAATTTGATGTTAGTAACAAGAGATTGAAGTCGAAGGCGGTTAAAAGTATGTCAACTTGAACAAGTGTTATTTAATTGTTTAAAGGGGAAGGTTGAATGTCCACAACTTTGTTTGTGCAGGAAAAGATAGAGAGCGGGAGTGGGAGTGGGGTTTGAGATCGTTTGACAATGAACAAAGCATTAGATTGCCTAGAAGCGAGAGAGTGGCATCTTTACAACGAAATGAGAGTGGAAATGTAGTAAATGGTGATACGGTGAGCTATTTAGTGGCAAATCATGTCATTTAATGTACTTTGAGCCTGAAATTCCTTTTCCCAAATTGCAGGTTAGTAGAAATGTAAAGAATAAAAAATATCCGCGGTTGTCCGAAGAGATTCCTTTGGATTTGAAATGGTTACCACTTCTTGATTACTTAAGCACCTTTGGAATGAAGGAATCACACTTTATCCAAATATATGAGAGGCACATGCAAGCACTTCAAATTAATGTTGGTTCTGCACAGGAAAGGTTAGAATACTTAATGAGTGTTGGAGTTAAACATAGAGATGTAAGAAGAATTCTTTTGAGGCAGCCACAAATTCTAGAGTACACAGTGGAGAACAATTTGAAATCTCGTGTTGCTTTCTTGAGGGCCCTAGGCATACCCAATTCTAGAATGGGGCAAATCATTGCTGCCGCTCCATCCTTGTTCTCTTACAGTGTTGAGAATTCGTTAAAACCTACAGTTAGATATTTAGTTGAGGAAGTCGGCATCAAGGAAAAAGATTTGGGGAAGGTCATTCAGCTTAGTCCCCAAATTCTTGTGCAGAGAATTGACATTTCATGGAATATGCGTTATATGTTTCTTACCAAGGAGTTGGGTGCACCCAGAGATAGCATTGTGAAGATGGTGACAAAACATCCCCAACTTCTCCATTACAGCATAGATGACGGATTACTTCCAAGAATAAATTTCCTAAGGAGCATAGGAATGAAAAATTCAGATATCTTGAAAGTCTTGACTAGTCTTACACAGGTCATTTTTGCATGTATTTCCCCCGTTATTAATTTATGAAACGTATGGTGTTTCACTGTTCCAAATTTCCGTTCCTTCTTTCCATTTCTGTATCTTTTTGGATTGATACTTATGATGTAAATAACAGTTTGTACCTTGTTGACTACTGTGCCTCCAGGTGCTATCTCTGTCCTTGGAGGAGAATCTAAAGCCCAAATATTTGTACTTGGTTAATGAACTTAACAATGAGGTGCAATCCTTGACCAAATACCCAATGTATCTGAGTTTATCCTTGGACCAGAGGATTCGGCCTCGTCATAGGTTCCTAGTTTCCCTAAAGAAAGCTCCAAAAGGACCATTTCCCCTTGGATCTCTAGTTCCAACTGATGAATGCTTTTGCCAACAGTGGGCTGGAACAAGTTTAGATAAATATTTGGCATTCCGTCAGAGATTATTACTTCAAAAGTTTGCTGAAAAATATGAAAGAAAAATGTGACAGATCAGAATCAAGTTAGTATCAGTCAACTTGTATGAGTACTGGAAGAGGAATCTGTTGAAATATTATTGCCATGGGACGAGTTGCTGCAAAATATTCATGCTGGTCCGTGTCGTGGCTGAAGTCCACTCACTCATTAGAGTTTATTCAGCCATCTGGCATACCGTCTGCACATGATTTCATGACATTCGAATCAGTGTCTTATTCTCGACTGAAGCTGCTCAACTAATTGTGTGAAATTTATTATTGCTGTTTGTGTTGGATTCAAGCAGTTGTTTACGAAGTGCTTGTGGCTGAAAAGCAGAACACACCACTTTGTCTCCCTAAGGTGAGTTTGTTTGCTAGTTAATACTTAACACATTCAGTACGTTCTTATTAACCCTTTAGTCCCTGACTATCACAGGCTGTGGACAATATTGCAAACTTATATTGGTATAAATTGAAGAACGAAGCTGTATCAACTTTAAGATCCAGCTTATGGATTCTGTCATCGCCACTCTTATTTTTCCTTTTTACCTTCAATGACATGTGATTGTAGATATATCTTTCTGCTGTTTTCTTCTTTTTTATATCTAAGATCAATAGGACTTGTTGCATCAATAGGCCTGTGCAATTTTTGTTACCTTGAGGCAATATTTATCACATGTGAGTTGAAATAACATTCTTGTTCTCTTCAGTTATTGTAATTGAATTATACCTGGTTTATTTGATTAATACATTTTCAGTTGGTGTAATTTATACTTTCATCTTTCACTAGTAGAAATGAATGAATAGAAAATCTTTTAATCAAATATTGGTAGAGAACGTTATTTTTTCTTTAACTGTAGGGTATATGTTCAAATAGATTTTAATCCAAATATTTACACATTAAAAGTTGTTGCAGGCTCTTGTAACTTGTCATTGTTCACTTCCAATGGAATGGATGGATACTGCTCTTTGTTTCCTCTTCACAAAAAGTGATATTGGATTGTTTTCAAAATTCAGTTTTTTAGAAAATAATAATTGATCTTACCCACAATTTTATAGTTTTTAGCAAATTTTATTCAATAATATAACAAATTATAGTATGAGAAACTTGTGATGATCGCATCACCCATTACATTATTAAATGATAAAGGAAATGGTTTGAGCTCTTTCATATTAAATGATACTTTTAGCACAACTGAGATAAAATATATGTATTTCTAAATGAGTGACCCTATTTAATTTGGACTTGAAGGAAGGAATAAAGGAAAAAGAACATAATTTTGCCTTCGTGGGTAGCATCAAGGAGTATCCAACAAAAACAATGTTAAGGAATTTTTTGAAGACAGGGCCAAAAAAGATTGAAATGAGACTCATTGGAAACTTACTAAAAACCTTTATTGAAGCTGTTCACAGCGAGCACATTAGTTCCTCAGTCAGACACAGATTCAAGGTTCTTCAATCTAAGGAAAACTGTGGACAACTAAATATCGAGTTCTTTTCATCCTAATGACCTCATTAAAAAAAGACCATAAATATATGTTCTAAAATTGAAACCTTTTGCCACCTGTCTGTAACTAAGCACTATAACTTTCTTACATGTATCATTAAACTTTAGTTAATGCCAGCAATTCCAACTATGAAGAAGATATTCTTCCAACGTCTCTTCTTCAGCATGTATGTACTAGCCGGAATTTTGACTAAATTGCTGCACTAGTTGATAAATAGTTCAATAGAAGAACTGTGTTGTGTATCAAAAGCTGCTGCTACCACGGGCCTGGATCTGTTTCAACTCTATATTTCTTGTGTATGTATCTGAAACTATGCTTGTTTACTTCTCATTATTTATTGGAAAGGCGAATGGACTGTCCGGGAGATTGAGTCCTTCAATGCTGGATAAAATTGAAAAAATAAATTACATCATCCTTAGTCAACAAAATATTTCAGGAAATGTGTTGCAACCAAACTGCATGTTTTTGCAAACAAATAATGTCATGAAACATTTCGTTTTACAAATATTTTTCGTAGATAACACGAAACTACAAAAGAATTATTGTTTATGGGGGTTTGGCCATGGTATAGAGCATGTATCAGAATGGTAGGAATTTAGAAAATAGATGACAAAAGCATATAATTCACAGGCTTAATTTCAATTTTCAACTTTGTCACTCTACTGAGACCAATTTATGCTTTCAGTCTCTTAATTTTTTGTTTGAATTAGTCCGTCGAGTTTTTAATTGTTAGAATCAAATTCTTCCATTCCATCAATTCTATTTTACATAAAACCATAAACTAACTATACATTTAAATGAATTTGAGATAGAAATTTGTGTCTTCATGTTGAGGTTTCAGATAGCAAAATTTTGGGAGACAAGCAAAGAAAATATGAAAATTTGATAGATTTTAGAAAACTAAGAGTAAAGGACTTCATCGTAGTAATTAAAATAATTGAAGGATTAAATTCAAGCAAAGGGACCAAATTGCAGATTGGCAGGAAACAAAAAGTACAACTAAGCCGAATGTATAGAACAATGTACAGTTAGATCGTGCTCCTTCTATTTTAAGATACATGACATTTTGGTAACAAAATTTTGTTTTTAAATAGGTTGGTATGTAAAAAGTTTTAGATTATATTAATTACACTTTTGTCTTTTTAATTATATTTATTGCAGAAAGAAAATATAATAAGATATTTAGGATTGATTTTGAATAAAAAGAATATTAAAATGATAAGATTAGTAATAAAAAACATTAATAATTTATTGAAAATAATAAAAATTAATATTTATCTTGATTTGTGTAACCTATACTTCAACCTCAGTGGAATTTAAGAGGGGGAATTATGCTAGAAATTGATCTAAACAAGATTAAATTCAAGCAAAAATTACTAGGAAACCAAAACCGACAATGACCATAGTAGAGAAACAAAAAGTAAAATTAAATCCAAAACAGGTAACAGTAGAATGTAAGAGGAAAGAGAAATCTAAAAATGCATACCTTTCCCCATGAGAGAAATTGCCGTATGTATGCCTGGATTTGCCATGCAGTGGAAATCTGAAAGATTCTTCTGATGTCTGTAAATCGAAGTTATCTGCATGATAATTTATTTCAATCAATATGCCATAGAATAGATATAACATACTGAAACTTGATAAGCAAACATGTAATACATTGTTACACACCATCTGAAATTGTTGTCTCGTTCAAGGAGAAGCCAAAATGATGTGAGCTGGATAAAGGTTTTGGGGAAAACGGCAGTTGTGCAAGACTTCTCTCAAGTTCAAGGGCTTGCTCTTGCTCTTCAATTAGCTGTCGCCTAAAGGATCTATGGTTCCCAAAACTTTTTGGAACTAAATAAATTATAACATGCGTTAGATTTTACAAGATCTTCTCTCACAAAAGGGGACAGACAGAGAGCAGAGCAATAAATAACTTGGATGAGAAAACCAATTACAAAGGGAAATTATACGCTCTTCTAAATACCCACAAGAAAGAAGAAACAATTTAGACTAGATAATATCATACTTGAGTTAAGTTCAGAGTTCGTATCTACATAGTGTGGTGAACAACAAACAGTGTGCTCAATATCTGCGTACTTCCTGCATTCAAATTGAAATGCATATGAAAATTATTATGGGAAAAGGAATATAAGCAGCATGTAAGATTTCTTAAGATGAAAATAGTGATTCAACGTACTACTATATCTGTCCATCTTACTTTGCAGTTAAAGAATATGCACAGACAGAGAGAGAGACAAGAAACTAGTTTTGACGCTTCAAATAATGCATTTGAATCATTATATGGTCTTAATCAATTAATCAATTCCCCCTTCGGAGCATGGTTTAACATGTTCGTCGTTGTGGTTTAGCAATTTGGTAGGACTTGACTTAGAGTGAACTCACCAACCAGTTTTATAGGCCATTTAAGGAGAACCATTGGTTGGAAGACTGAAGTAGCAGTGAAGGACACTGGAGGCAGTAATTTGCATCCTAAAACATATTAAATAATTTGCCCGTATCACACTAGAGTTGTGGGATGGTAGGACTGTGTTGCAGATTAAGGTTTGGGGAAGTTGCACCAATGAGACATGTTTGTGACAATCATGCAGCCCTCCATTTAATTTAAATCCAATATTAGTGGAGGACCAAACTTATCACCACATCATCCAGGAAAAGATCTTATCAGGAGACATCAGTACTGGAGTTTGACAATTCAAATGTTCAGCTAACAGACGTCCTTAAAGACACTGAACTGGAAGGTCCTAAAACTAGTTATAGAGGTTACAAACTTGGTGTGATAATTTATATACTCCAGCTTGATGGATATTGAGATACTACAAACTGCATTGTATCTAAGCAAATTAGGGAAACCATTTATTATATTTATAACTCAATATAAATAAGAGGTTGTGTAAATTTGTCACATGGATTTCATACTTTGTCTCTTGTTCTCTTTCTTTCAATGAGAAAAAAAGTGAGGAAGAACTAACACCAAGGGATCAACAAGAAGGAATAAATTTTCATCAAATTTTGTTAACTCTAGCAAAACTAACGACAGATATATAGTCATTTCAATCAAACTAAAGACTATATAAGCTTTGGTTTTACACCATGAACTTAAAATAACTACATTTAAAGAATACAATGAGAATTGATGCCATAAAACTACAAAAACTTCCAATAAAATTAGAAATTGGAAGGAAGAGATAAGGAATTCACCTTTCATTAACCTTTGCCTTCTCCCGGTAAGGTTTCACAAGAACACGAGATCCCCGAACAGAATGGGGATTTCCCTTATCCAAAACAGTTTTGACAGTTTCTGGATGAACAAATGTCACAAATCCGAACATCCTTCTCTGCTGGTTTGGAATTCTGACATCTGCAACAGGCCCAAATGTGCTGCAAAGGAAATATATAAAAGTCAGTTCCTAAGCGCAAATAGTTAACCGCAGCTGCGAAGAGTGTCAACATGCACTGTAACAACAAAAATTGTAATATACGTGAAGTAGTTTGAGACATCATCCTCGGTGAAAGTGCTGTCAGCCGGGAACGTGAGATATATTTGTCGTGAAGCACTGATATTTCGAGCAAACTCTCCCTTCTGCATTTGTGTGGGAGCATCGTCTGCCAGAACCACTGAATGCTGCCCATGAGGTCTGTAACTTAACCACAAAAAAAGTTAAATTAGGGTCACAAACATCAAACACTAAATATATAATACATGCAAAAAGTATCACAAGACATTACCTGCCTATTAGCCGAATACTGTTTTTCAGTCGCGCAAGAAGCTTTGTCAAACTATAGCCAGATTTACCATGTCTCTGGCTTTCAGTTAAATAACCTTCTGCTTGCAGTACCTTATTAAATTTATCTGAGTATGCCATTGGCAGAGAAGCAATCGATATTGGACTGCCCCTTGATCTTAGCAGCTCAACAAGTTCTGACTCTAGCTGTGCTAGTGACCCTGGGGAAATCACCTGATCCTCACCAATAGCATCATATCCATACGTCTGAGAGAAATTCTCAGGGGCAACTTGCCCATGATAGAATCTGCAGCTAGTTCCATGCTTGCAGAATCCTTTGTTGAAGTAGTGACAGACTTTCATTGGAAAGTCAGAAAACCTTCTCCCAGCTGCTTTTCCACCCAGGTTGTTAGCAGAAGCATCTCCATAGTAATCGTTGGCAACTCCTACAGTCCCAGTCTTCACCGCATCTATACTATTCTCCAAGCTGCACAATTGTGTCTGCTTCTGAAGTTCCTTGACAGAATACACGTAATTCATTGCCATAAAGTCTGAATTGATATTGCCAGCAGGTTGTGGATCCCAATAGTGAGGAGGAACCTGAAAGTTTGGTGAAGTAGGAGTTCTAGGAGACATAACTGATAAATGGCTTAAACCTTGTTGAGGATGAGGAAGGGGAGGGTTGACAATAAGTGAAATTGGGAGCATATCTGGTTTCGCAGCCAACTTTTGGAGCTCCATTTTGGCCTGACATACCACATCACGTATTAAATAGTCCGGGTACGAAGCCAAACTTGCCATTTCTAGTTCTCCATGGTCTTGCAGGAGGAGATAGCCAATTATCTTTCCAGCAAGCTCTGGCTCAAATTGATGAATTTTATCGAAGACAACACTTGTACGGTGAGAAATATCCATAGCTCTTATCTTGTCACTGCCAACAAATCCCGCCATAAACAAAATTGAGTGGATACTGCTCAGAGAACAAGTACAAAGAAACTCAATCACGTCACAAAGATTAAGCACAAAATATATAGGATAAAAAAAAAAGCCAGAGTATCTTCCGAAGCAAATTTGCGGACCTAATATATAACATAACAATTGACTAAACAAACAAACAAAAATGTGTGCAACTGTGAGCATGAGATTCAATAAAAGCCAACGGAAACAAAAATGGTGATGCTCTTCCGCTAAAAAAAGAGGCCCTGTTCCACGGATCAAATTATAAATAACCTAGCAAGACAGGAAGTGTGACAGATTCTTGGAATAGAAAAGCACTTCACAGTGCATTATATTTTCTTCAATTTTCTCTGTCATCACCCAAAAAGGAAGGATTTTTAATGCAGCCCAAAATGGAACTTGCTAGCTACTAATATGGAAATGAGAACACGCTCAGAAATATTCACATGTATTAATCGCATACCAAATTTACAAAGTCATAACAGAAAACAAATGATTACAAGAAAACCTTTCAGCATTTGCAAATTAAAAACCATTTGGCGCTGACATTTGAAGATGGGTGTCTCAAGCTCCTTCCTTTGGCAAAATAAAGAAAAGTTGGTTTAATCTGAAACAACCCTTCTCTAAATCAGCAGTCCAACCCCCCAAACAAAAAGAAAAGCAAAATCTTCAAAAGCTGCATACCCATCAAAGAAAAGGATATAAACAGTGCTGCAAATGTTTCAAGAACGGAACTTTTTCATCATTTGCTCATTCCACCAACCTTTATCTCTCTCTTCAAGGAACATTCACGTACATTTGGTTTTGAAAAGGCTCAGAATCCTGAGAGTAGCAAAGACACCATTTATGGTTCTCTCTCTTCTCTCTTGTATAATCAAATCCAGTGACCCCTACACACACTCTGAAGTAGTGACTCTGCAGTATTTATTTCCTTCGAATTTGAAACCTTTTAGAATATCACAGATGTTGAATAGTCACAAACTTGTGGCAAAATATTTTGCTTAATCTTCGTGGACTATAACTGCTTGGAACTGCCCCAATTACTAGAATCACCCTCTTAACTCTTCTTTTCTGCTTAGAAAATAATAATAATAATAATAATAATAATAATAATAGTAATAATAATAATTAATAATAATAATTCGGAAAATCCAACGTGCTACTAAACTTAGGATTTCAACTCTTCAACTGCACAGCGAGGTCGGCAATCTTTGTGACAAAAAGCTGGGATTTTTATCTGTCTATATTTAGACATAAAGTATTTGTTTCTAAAACAATTATGTTTAAGGTGGATTGAACATGAAAAATTGTATAAAAAAAAATCCAAACATTCCCCCTCCATTACAACGAAAAAAATGAAAATCCTGAATTTAAAAGGTTATCAAAATAATAAATCAAGAAGGTATTAAAAAACTAGATAAAGCTATGGACCCTGGTTGAATGTGTGCCATTGGATATGATCCTTGAGATTTAGAAACTCAAATCTTGCAAAGGGGGACCATGGGAGGGAAAATATAGACCTTGGAAAGAGGCTAAGCTTAAAGGGTTGGTTTGTGGTGCAACATTTTGCAATTCAATTTGTTTGGGAGGGAACGCAACACAATCAGAGACAGGACAATGCCACATCTTCAAATCTTTATATTAAATACTATAAATCAAAAGTTGCATAAATCAATGTCACAAAGCCAAGTTGGTGAAAGGTCCACACACTCCTTGAGCTGAGTTCTTTCTCATGGTAAATGGGGCCTCTCAAAATTCTTCGAGGACCCACAACATCCAACACTGTCATTCTATAATCTTGTTGATGCTGATTTGGCAATTCATTTCAAGACTGGTGATACCACTTCTATATATTGCATGGTGAGACCCTCCTACCTCAGGGAGAATGAAAGGCAAAAATTCCTAAATCTTATCCTTTCGTGTGGGTCAACCTCAAGTCTAAATTTGTGGTCAATAACCAAAGTGTTTTTCTTTTTTTTTTGTTAGGCTTAATTCCCATTTTAGATCATTGTTTTAGTTTATGTGTGATTATTGTTTTCTTTTGAGGTAAAATAAATTATTTGAATAATTGTAAAGTAGAAAAAAATAAAGTAAACCATTAAAACTAAAGAATCATAATCAACTGTAAATTAAAGTATTTGACAAAAAAAAATAGTTCTTTTATTTTTTAATGTAGATATTGAACGTTTTCTTAGTCCGATTAATATAATTATAAGATATTCTTTTAATGATAACAATTTTATTAATCAGTTTTTTCTTTATTGGATTAAATTTTTGCTTTTTTTTAAACAATGAAATCGGTTAGGTGTATAAGAGAATTCGAAAATCATCTTCTACATTAGTTAGGTTGTATCTCTACATGATTATAAGTTTTTTTTTTTGTTTAAATGAAATTTGTGATGTGAGTATAAGAAATGTGTAATTATTCTTAAATCACTCTTATTATCATGTCTATTTTTTTAAGTAATATTTAGAGGACAAATTTCTATAAATATTAATTTTTTTAAGGCTAAAAAAATTATTATATCAAATTTAAAATATATTTAATCAATTAAAATTTGCTTTGTGTATTAATTAAAGTAGATACTACAAAGTTCTTAATTTTACCATACAGAAAGATTATTAATGTAATTAGAACCTACTTAAATACAAGTTTAAAAGGATTTTTAGAGTTTTATGGTTTATTTATAATTTTTATTTTTATTTTAGTTTTTAAAATTTATTAATAACTATTTTGTTCAAATTGGTTTTAAAAACAGTTTTTATTTTTTATTTTTAAAACTAAAAAAATTTAAAATAGAAAAAATATATTTTCTATTTTTATCTATGTCACTCACTTCTATTTTCGTTAAACTATTAAAGTCACCATTCAACTTCTGCTATCATTATCTATCTCAAACTGTTATTTTTATTTTAAATAATTTTTAAATTGGAGTTATCAAGATTTTCTGTTTCAATTTATTTTCAAATTTATTTTTTTAAATCTATTTTAAAAAATTAAATTAAATATTTCAATTTCCGTATACTGAGAATTTTATGATTATTGAACTATCAACTAATTAATAAAAATTTATTTATATATAACTTTCAAATAGCTTAGGTATTTTATTTAATTCCCGAATATATACATGGATGTAAAAGAACCACATTAGCAATGTATTTTACTTAATTTCCCAAATACATATTAATTAAAATTGTTACTTCCATTTTTATCTATGTAAAAAACACATTTGGGAATGATTTAATCAAAAAAAGAAAAGAAAAAAATTTGTTCATTTTCAAGAATATAACCATTGCATTTATATGAAAAAGATTGACTAATGAATGTAGAATGTTTGAATATTTGTTCCACTTTATTCTAATAATATTATAATATATATAGTAACTAATTTCATACATTACAAATATCATCATTAATTGGCATTAAAATATTATATATTGATAGCATTTGTGTGGATAATTTGAAATGATTGGTATCATTTATTTGTCTTATATAATTTGATTTAATTTACTCATAAATATTTTTCAATTATTAACTATTCATCTAGTGTGATCTTTAATATAACACTTTTTCTTATTCAATCTTATATATTTTCCATGCATTTAAATATGTGTAAGCAGAGATAATAAATATTAAATATATTTATTATATTTGTTAAAATAAATATAAAATCACTGAAATTATATATATATATATATATATATATATATATATATATATGTATATATATAAAGATTTTATATTTGTTGACTCGTAACTAAAGTGAAAGACTTGATTTTTGAATGAGTTTCATCCTAATCACTAGATAATATACCCTAAAATGGTTCGAAATCTGAACTAATTAAATTCCATTTGACTAATTTGAAAATTGTGTAAAGTTGGTGTTGAAATTAATTACATCTTCAATTGTTAATTTGGTTTTATTATTATAATACTAAAAAAATATAATATCTAGAAAACAAATAAAGAAAATCATCTAAAAAGGTATCACCATTTGAATTAAATAATTTAAGATTAAATTCATAATAGTTTCAAAGAATAAAACTCTCTCAAATTGATAAAAGAAAAACATTTGTTTCATTATAATTAGAAAAATGTTCCACAAAGAGAAGAATGATACATATTTTATAGTCTAACCTAGAAGTAAGAATTTGGAGTCAAATATTTTGTATGTATTAAGAGTAAGATATATTAAGTTAACACCATTCCCGAGTTTAAAAAATAATGAAGATTAATAAAAAAGAAGAAGATGAAAATAATTTTCTCACTCTTCAGGTTGTGTGAACAAATAAAAAATTAGTTTCAAAAGTCAACATTAGGAATTCAGTTTATTCAACAGAGTATAACTTCTATATTTACCTATAATAAAGATACAGTATATATATAAAAGTAATGACAAATCAATTTTATAAATACTTTATTTTAAAAAATTGTTTAAATAAAATATTTGTAAATGTATTGTAGACTTTTGTTGTTTCATAAAATTTTCCTCTCCGTAAGTTATATTTATTTTTTATTTGCTCTTTCTTCATATTTCTTCTTTTTTTCTTTTTTTTATCTTATGTTTTTTTTTTCATTCACCTCTTTCACTTATTATTCTAATTAAAAATATAAAATTAAATTTTAATAAAAATATATTTAAATAAATTTTTAAATCAACATTAAAATTAAAAAAAGTCAATAATTTATAAATAATAATAATAATAATAAATAAATAATTTTATTTATGATATTAATAATAATTATTTTAAAATTATTTTATCATAATAAATTAATTATTTTTTTAATTAAAGATATTAAATATTTATAAGTTAAATTTATTTTTTTATTTTATAATTTAATTTAATCATAAATATTATTTTTTCTCAATAATTATAACATAATAATAATAATAATAATATTATAATACTTTCAAATTTATTATGTAATTTATTTTTAAATATAATATATTAAATTATAATATTTTCAGATAATTTAAATATATTTATTTTTAAATAATAAAAGACTTATTTTATCAAATTTAAATATAGTATATTTAATTAAAAAAACAGAGGTAAGAGAATAATAAAAGTGAGGAGGAAGAAAAAAAACAATAAATGAGAAAAAAAAGTAGATGAGGAGAAAAGAAAAATAAGATAATAAACTAAAAAAAGAAAATAAAAAACAACTATATTATATTAAACAATTTTATTACTCATCATTGAATTATCTCTATTCATAATTAGATAAATAAATTTAGAGATATTCATGTAAGTAATATAATACTATATTAAATATCATATTAGAATAATTTGCATTAATTAAAAATGTATAAAGCTTTGATGCATGTAAAAATGCTACATATATCTCCCTCTTAGAACCAAAATTGAGGATGAGTAATTTATGTTGTCATTAGTGTGAACACATAATTAAGAATTTTTTTTAAAAGTCAACACCACCCAAATTCATGCTATTCTGAATCAACTTCAATTAAATAATCTTTAAGCATATCGTTAATTAGTAATTAAGTATGAGCTTACTTAAGATTCGTCCTCTCTTTTATCAATTAATGTTTAGCGTACGTAGAATTTTCACAACTCCTAAGGAATAAAAATAAAAATAAAAATAACATGATGAGTGAAGTTTTGACTTTTGAACGTAGAATCTAGAAGGTCTGCATGAGCATGCATGTTAGATTACGTATAGAATGATTAGTTGGCAATGGCGTCATCGTATTACCCTTAAATATATAATTACAAGTGAATTTGATAACATTAATACGATGAAAAGCATCTCCATCTATCCACGTGATTCAGTATTGACTTTTCACGTTGACTTGTTTCCATCATGAAATGCAATATGGCAACCGCGTTGAATCCATAAAAAGTGGATCGCACCAATGTATTGCAACAAGTTAATCAGTTGAAAACATTCTTATATATATCTGTGTAATGCATTGCATTGGATCATTCACCACTTCTACTTCAGAAGAATCTGAACTTAATTAGTTAAGCTGTTTCACTGTATAATGATGGTAAGCAATTTGCTTCACTAGTTTCCTCTTTCTCAAGAAAGTTTCATGCTGCAAGTTTGAGTTGATCTACAATTCCAGATATAAAGCTACTTCTGAAGTGTTGTACTTATATATTATAAATGATGCAGCAAAAGATAGTAATTGAGGTGCCACTCCAGTGTGATAAATGCAAGAAGAAGATTATGTCCATATGCACCACGGCAGATGGTACGATCGATGCTTATTGAAACTGAACCATTTTTTTATATACACTGATACGAATATCCATCCATTTTAATCTGTTTTGTGCATCGCGTAGGTGTTTGTTCAGTTAGTTTTGAAAGGGAAGGGAGAGATAAAGTGGTGATTAAAGGAGAAGGAGTAGATGCAGCACGAGTGACAAGACGTTTGAGGGAGAGGGTGAACGAGTCTGCTAGGCTAGTTAGTGTGGCCAATACATGAACATTTTCAAAGTGTTTTCAACTACCACTTACCATTCATGTTATGTTATTGGTTATCGTCATTCTTTGTGTCTTTCAATATTTCCTTCAGTTGTAAACTCAGAATTTGAATTTCGTATTGTCATCTAGTTATACAGTGTGATGTACACGTTATTTCTAATATTCCCGGAAAGTGATTTTATTTTCCAACACTTTCCTAAATTATTATTTGTACCATGATTGATTTATATGTACAGAGCATGTTTGCTGTATTTGTATGAAGATGATGGTAATTTGCAACTTTTATAAACCTTGCTATTCTTCCCTATCTGTTATCTCTATTGCAGAAACACACTTATATTTAAAGGTAAAGAAGTATTAAAAGCAAAATTCACTTTACATGTAGTCATATGTTAGGAAAACATTGAAACAACCGTCATGTTCATGTCTGCAAATTCTGCTAATTTCAATTAATTGCTATGTGTAATTGTGTATCTTATAATGGAAATCAATATCAAAGTTTTTTTCTAACTCTCATATTCATAAAATTAATCAGTCAAGCATACTAAACTGTATAGAAGTTTTATAAAGGAAAATATGGATACACAATTTTACACAATAGTTGGTCATCTAAAAAATATACGACCCATTTCTACCTTGTAGCATAATTTCAGATTATTTGTTCATTTCTTGGTTTTTTAATGACAATTCTTGAACAAATTGGCTTCTTTTTTCTTAAAATAAAGTGTTAATGAAGAATCTGATTATATATAATTCTTTTATTGACTAACAAAACATATATAGAATACATATCATTTAATCTAAGTAGGACATAATTTTGGGATCAATTTATAAAATGGTTGAATTGGAGATAGAAAAGATATATTTTTTAAATAGTAATCTAACATCTTTTAAAAACGATGAGCAAAATATTTTGGTAAATAACTCAATTAAGCGCTTATTTAATAGGTTTTTACTAAATGAGACATTATGGACAAATTTGTTTAAGCGTAAAATAAATATTTTTAAAATAACCAATTTTAAAAATAATCACTTATTTAAGAAATTAGTAAAATGAATACAAAATTTATTTTAAAATAAATATATTAGACAAACGAATTAAAAACAGAAACTTGTTTAGTTTATTCATTAAGTATTCTTATTCTAAAAAGGAAAAAAACACAAACAAACTCATTCTATATCGTAATTTGTCATTAAACTTAATGGAAAAAGTTAGAAATTTGGACGAGTTACAAATTTGCTTTATTCAAATAAATAAATAAATAAAAGAGCGCTTACAAAAGTTATTTTAAGTTTAACATGTGATTCAGATAAGCTTCATATTTGACTTTATGAAATATTCTTTGTTGCTGTAGAATAAGTGTAAGAAGCTTTGAACCTAAAAAATTATACAAACTACTCAACCATGGTGGATTATTCTAGAAAACATGGAAGTTTAAAACAAGTATGCATTTCTATTTGAGTTTGTATCGCATAATATTTGAATGGAAATGAAAATTGTTTCTAATTCATTCCACATTTTTCAAGCAAATTACACAGTTTCAACAGTCCAATAAACCAGTGCAAGGTTCTTTCTGTAACCTGACCAACAACCATTAAGTGATAAATGTAAAATATGGACGGACATGTACAAGAATTACTCACCCATTGAAAAGCATAAAAAGCCCCAAAAACCCACCATGCAGGAATGGTCATCCAAATGAAGATATACTTTTTCTTTTGTGTGTGTTTTGTGGGGTATGGAAGAAAGGATGGTGAGGGATTCATCGAAACTGACATCTTTATTACACCAAAGCCTTAAAGACTTTTGTTAGCATAGACGCCTCTAATTTGTCTTTGAAGGGTTTTATGTGCTTCACCTCATTGCTTCTCATTTTTGTACATGTATCTCAATTTTCCCACTTTATAGATTGTTGCAAAAATGGCACAAAAACATGCCAGGTATGAAATAAAGGGAAAAAAAGAGATGAAGAACGAAACAAACTTATTCTCTACTAGAATTTTCATGATCAACTAAATATTCACTAGAAATGTCATCCTGTGGTCTCTTTTCAAATGTATCTCCGTCATATTCTGTATCATCCTCCGAGTTCTGACCACTGCTCCATTTTCTTTTCATGATTTTGGGGACCATGCGAGTAACTTTAGTCTCCAAATTCTCATCACCATTATTTATTCGTTCAAACCGAACAGCGCTTACCTTTCTGGCATTTCCAGCTAGTATCTGCACCAAAGACAAAGAAGTTGCGTGTATTCCATTCCAACGATAAAGGGGTTGGGGTAGGATAAAAGAAGCTCTAGGTTCAGTTTATTACTTCATACATATTGCCAAAAAAAAAAGGTTAATTTGAAACCTTATGAATGTGACTCACACAAGTTAAAAAATTGCAAGGGTTATGCAAAATATAATTCCAATCCCATGACAAGCTAACAATTAACAAACTACTCCTACATTGCTTCTGTAACCATATGTTTAAAACCAGAAATCAAAGCACAAACTTGTAAACAAGCTTTTTGAGGAGAATGGAATTGACATCTTTAGTATAGCTTGTGCATTAGTAGAGCAATCATATTTAAAAGGCGCATGCAAGTATGTTCTAGTTGTGTGATGCTATCATCATACTTGCTGATATTTTTCATGCGCTCACCATTCCTTCTTTCAAATTTTGGACAGATATAAGCAAATATTCAACAAGAAAGTAACAAATTATAGAAAGCAACAGATTGATTACCTCAAGTTTGAAAATCTGGTTCTTCTCCTTCTGATCCTGCTGGTCAGCACTGGTCTCATTGTTATCATCTTCATCTTCCCTTTCAAGAACTACTTTGATGCACTCACCTGTCCTTGGAATGTATCCAAATGCCTCACACACAAAACCTGATACTGTCTCATATTGATGACCCTGAAATAGTAGATGTCACCTATGTATCAAGAGGCTTGAAATTCATCATCAAACTTCGCAATATGAATAGTAAGCAAAATTAATTCCAAAATGAGAACATTGTCTCTTAACTCCAAAACCCAAGGATGCATGAAATACTATTATTGTAAACAGGATCGATTTCTCCAAAATATAGCACATTTGTGCATTTTCCCAATTTTGTCTATAACTTGTGTAGAAATAACAAGCTGGCATACTAAATGTATTTACATGGAGCCTATTTGAGATGCAAAGATAGGTCTATAATGCTACAATGATTCTGAAGAGTAAATTCATAAACAACTTAATTATCACTATACTACTAAGCAAGCTACACTAGTGTGAGTCAAATAAGCAGGGTCTTCAGAAGACAAATATGACAGTTGCATGTAAAAGAAGTAGTAGACCTCTGGCATTTTTATGTTCAAATCTTCTGAGAGCTGATCAATAGATGTGTTTGCATCCACATCAAAAACACCCTCAGCTCGCATTACTATGTAACCAGTTTTTTTCTGTATCTCCTCCTGTAGGAATCACCAGGAAAGAATATAAAAAGTTAGTATGGAGCAAATAGTTATAGTCATTAACAATCAAATGCATAATTGCACACTAATAACTAAATTAAAAGTGCATTAAGGTTCTACTCTTGTTAGAGACAATGACTTGAACAGTTAAACATTACGAGTAAGCCATGTATGCTAAACTAGCAGAAATGATAGAATTGAATACGGGCAGAACTTGAATGAAGATTGATAGTACGCTGGCTTCCGTGGGCATCCTAACACAAATATTTGTTTAACAATTAAATCTAGAGTGCCCACTTACAACTCCCAAAATTAAGGTTTGTGCTGCACTTTGTTTATCAAAAAGGTTATGATATTGATAAATATTCTACTACACTGGATTATAATTGTAAGGGCCTATCTGTAAAACTCTTTTCATGATGTTAGTAGTTTGAATGTAATTATTCAGCATATATTTTTTCTTTCCTCAGTCTGAGCTAGTTTTTATATTATGGGTAGAATTATTGGCAGCATTAGAATCAAACCTAGTAGAAGTTGTATACTGATCTCTGTTTTGCCATCAAATGTTCATTCTATTTTCCAGAACCCTTCTTGCACTAACATGCATTACTATACTTTGAAGAGTTCGAATTTGAACATTGAACATGGCTAAGAATAATTTTATTTACTTTAAATTCTTCATCAACCAAAACCGCCTAGTTACGAAAAAACATCATTAGCTGTGAAATAAACACTGATCCGTTTCAATAGTTTGATCACTTTCTTTCCTTGCTGGTTTACACTATAAAGTTTGGGTCATCTTGTACTAGTTTTAAAACTTACACCTTTTCAATTGGTTTGAATTATATCAATCTGAAGCCATCAAAATAGAGAGCCTAAAACACAAGAACAACTATTAGCCATTAAACCGTACATTTATCAACAACTAAATTATTTTTAGTTATGATATAAAGATTATCCAGTCAAGACAAATAAATATTCCATAAGAACTGTTGTTGAACAAAGTAAAGAATAAAAAGGACTTTTTGTTTCTTCTTTTAGGTGAAACGGAGTACAGATAGATGAATTCAATATATGCTTCACTTTCAGTAATTTAAAATTAATTTAAAATAAGCAAAGTAAAGATTAATGAAAAAGCATTTATTACCTTTGAGTCATTTTCATCAAATATTTCACCAACAATTTCCTCAACAACATCTTCAAGAGTTACAATCTGTTAGATGCCAATATCAGTAAGACATCTAGATTTGATAAACTAAAAATTGTAGAACTTATGAGCAGGTTACATAAAATGAATTTCAGAAGACTTGGAGTGTAATTACAATCTGGTAAACTGTGAAGAAATAAACCTTTCTTTTGATATAGCTATAAATAAAAGCAATTTATGTCCACCCAGTTGAGAATCAGCTAAATGCAACAAGTGTGTGGAAGGATGAACCATAAAATGCCGGAAAGATAAAGGCAAGCGAATGATGGGAATAGTGGGTAAATAAGGGCATTTAGTCAGTCAGAATTGCTTTGTAACCAGAAAGACTTTTTTTGGTTTTGTTACAATGATTGTAGATTAATAAAGTGAGAAAAAATAAATTAAACACAAGAAACAATGTAGTACAACATATACAGGTATCTACGTCAATAAAAAGTAACATTTCTACAGGATTATTTATGAAGTTTCTTACCATAGTTCATTGTGATGGGAATGATTTCAATATCTATTCTGTTAATTTTATTTAAAATTAGCATAAATAAGAGGTTGGTATATATAATTGGAAAAGGTTTTTAAATAAACAAAATGTATAGGGATAGCATGATCTGATTATATCTTCCATATCCTTCTTTTTGGGTCAGTGGTTGTAATTGGCAGAGTGTATGTATTAACAGTGAAGCATGAATTTACAGATTTTTATATTCAGATATATGCCGAACAAACAGATCTGAGCTGGTTGCATTCTAGTATGGTATGCACATACCCCCACAGTTCCACCATACTCGTTAAGAACAACTGCCATGTGAACCTTCCTGATTCTGAACTCTCTAAGAAGATTCCAAACAGACATTGAATCTGAAAAATCAGTAATAATACTTTTTTCAACATTCTGCACCAAGTTAAACAGATATAGATGTGTTCCTATCCCAAATAATTCAACCAGTTTAACAATTCAATTTCAATATGACAAGAAAAATCACGAAGCATGATCATTATTTTAGTAGTCAGATGCTGCATAATTCTTTGTCCATACATGAATGAATACTTCATAAAATACTAGCACATAACAGAAATCCACATGGTTGAAGATTCCCCTACTACACTCACACCTTATTATGTTTAAAGATTAGAATAGATTCTGAAAATGCACTGCAATATATGGAGTAACACAAGCAAAACATCAAAGATAATATTGCAATGAGTGAATAAGAAACTTTTTTAAAGAACCAGCTATTTAGATGAACAAAATGCAAAACGTTAAAAAAGTATGAAAATGGATCTAATAAAGAGTATTGGTAATTTTTTGTTGTTCATCGCCTAGAATAGCTTACCCAATGATAGTCATCAGGTAGAATAAATAATTATTTATAAGACTCTGCCTCCAATGCGTCAATATGGGTGACCATAGGTGAACTCAAGATGCAAAAAAAATTACCAGGTACAAAATAAGCAGGCTTGTGAGCCATATCTCCAACTGTAGTACTTTCAAGCAACTCCCCCTTCAAAATCAAACAGATAATAGTTCTGCAAACTATGAGATTGAAGATACAATTAATAAGTAAAGCACTTGTAAATCAATAAACACAGGGAGTAAAATCTCCCAACCTTTTGTACATAGTCCAGCAGATCCATTGCATATGCTATACCCATTATATTATCAACGCGTTGCTCAAAAACAGGCACCCTAACAAACATGCCATGATCCAGTTAGTGCATTGGAAAGTAAAATCATTATAAATTTGAAATCAGGAAATCTTTAAAATACCTTGAGTATTGATGTGTGACCCACAAGTGATGAAAGTCAACCAGGCTTGAACTTGCATCAATTGCAACAACATCAACAAGAGGTGTCATAACCTCTCTGACATGTGTGTCTTTTATCTCTAGAACATTTTCAATCATATCCTGTAACATTACAAATATATTTAAGATGCTTAACAGATAACAGACAAATAAAAAAGGATTAAAATATCTGACAATAAAGTAACATTCATTATAATTGGAAAAATGGAGGGGCACATCACTAAATGGAAAATAGTAAATTTATTTGCGCTTTTCAGATGCAATTTCAGTTTCAATGTCTTAAAGCAATAGAGAAACAAATTCTTGAAACAAACCATATTTATGAAATTCTATTTTCTATAAATGAGAGAAAAGGCTAAACGTTTTGAAATATATAATGATATCATTAGAATATTAAACCCAATATTTATTACCTGTTCTTCCTCCTCTATTGCCCCACTTAACTCTGCACCTCTTAGCATCAATTTTAGTTCATCTTCTGTTACATATGGCTCACTGGTAAAGCAAACAATGACTTTATCATTGAATTTCAAAATAATCATTGGTTCAACAAACGGATACCACTTTCCATAGGATGTACTTACAAAGTAGGCAAACCACAGATGCCCTTTGAAACCAGGGTTAAAAAATACATGAAGAAAAAAAAAACAGTTACTGTCTTGTGCCACATAAACCCCTCATCATGAATAAAATAATTTCATTTGACCATTTGTTCTCTTTGGCATAACATTGAGGAAAAAACTCAACCTTAGGAAATGAACAGTTATCATGGTGCGTGCGTGAAAATAAAAATAAAAATCCTTGAGACGAACGAACTAAGATTTAGCATCAGATTAAAATTAGATTTCACAAAACATCCATAAAGAAGAAAAAGAAATAGACACAATATGATAAGAGAAGATTAATCTTTGGCTATCTTTTCACCAGACCTTCTTCCTTTTAGGCCAAGCAATTTCAGCATCCCCATTGAAAGATAAGTAACAATTCTTCCTACAGGATACAACACCAGGGAAAGCCATGCCACTGGCCTGACCTAGAGGCATTAGGGTCAATATCAATGTTTGTTACAAAAAGAAGTTGAAGCAGAAATATAATGAAAATTTGAATTACATGCGAAAAAAACACAAATGATTAATAATCAGCATCATTTATGTTCCCATATATTATAAACTAATAAAAGAATGCGCAAGAAATTTACAACTTACCACAAAACGAGCTACCTCTGTGGCATTATGAACAGCTATGCTTTTTGGAGTGATTTCAGTGAGAAGCAAAATGGCAACCTTGTTTGATGACAGAGAGAAAAGAAAAATAAGATATTATGAGAAAAACAAGTATGCGAATACAAATGTACAAACGTGCTCACACCACATGAACTGTTCTGTGATCAATCTGATAGAATAGATCTGACTGAAAAGATATTGTATACTTCTATTGTAAATTCTATAACAAAAAAGGAAAAGAAAAATTAACACAAAATAATATAAGGTATATCCTTTATCCTATAATGTTTGACTAAGCTTCTGATCTGTGGACAGCTTTTTAAATTTATAAATTCAAATAATAGATCATATCACACCCCTTTTCCATCTTACTCAAAAGTTAGCTTAGGCACCTTTTTCACAAAATTGGTGATAAAGCTAGCAAGCTTTACATGCCAAATTCTTGTTCCCACCAGATCAATTCAGGAGTTTGCAAGTTTAATGGGGGCGGCATGTTGATATACTGAAAGATTCAATGTTTCAAATGAACAATAATCAAGTGGCCCAGTGAGTTTGAATTTTTGGTACTCAAATCAATGCATAAGCCATTTAAACATGTTTTGAAGTCCTGAAAGTAGTAACTTTCTTTAACATTTGAGCAAGAAAATGAAAACATACAGTCATCACTCCTGTTGCTGCGCTAACACCTGCCTCACCAAACATAGCAGTTGCTGCTTCAGTGACCAGAGCAGTTGCTCCAATATTGACAACCCTGCATACAACAAATAGCATGAGATACATTCCATACTCTAGTAAAAAAAAAAAAATTTTTGCAATAATAAGATCAAAGAAAGGAGAATACGTTGTGCCAATAAGTATTGTTGTAAGGAACCGAGTAACATCACTTCGGAGTAGTCTGAAAACGCCATTTTCAGACTCCTTTTCGGCCAACTCTCGAACCTTACACATTGTCATCAACAGATATTAGGATTTAAGGTTCAAACTTTAATCAACAAATATTAAGCGGAGGGAATAACAAATCTGATGTGCAAAATCTGCAAGCATGCTAAAGGACTCAAAAACATTTTTGAAAGGAAAAGGAAATATAGTAATTGATTTTTAAATCAGTAACATTAAATTTCCTTTGGTCATCTCGGCCATGTAACTATTTATAGGTCTAACTGAATAATGCTATAACAAGGGATACAGCAACGAATTCTTGTTTCCTAGGCATATCTTTCATAGAGCATAAAAAATATCATTCAGAAAAGAAGGATAAAATATACTACATACCTTCCAAGGCCAAAGTGTGGTGATTGAAGTTTCTGCCATAGAGAAAAAGGCTGAAAGGCCCAAAAGCACTGCCAACACCAAACCTTGCTCCTTAAATATACGAAGAACTTGCAACACTTTGGGCCAAGTATTCCTAAGCAAAAGTATGCTCTGTCCAATAACATCATATCCTGCATTCACAACACCTTCAACAGCAAAAACTCGTGGACATCCAAACACCAAAATACCACAAACAGTTGCAGCTAGGATTATTCCCGTCTTCAACAATTCATGTATAAGGTTCAAATTGGTTTCGGAAACAGCATTTCTCTCACTCAAACAATCACTGCCACCACCTAAACATCTCAACCGAGTTCTATCTAGTATCTTGGCATCTGCCCCAAAACTTGAAACCTGAAGGGTTGAAAAAGTGGATGGACCAAAACAATTGGAAACAAAGGGAAATGGATATGTAGTGTTTCTACCCAAAACTTTGATTGGTATGCTCTTTTGCCGATTTACATGCGCGGGGTAAAACAATCTGGAACTGGGGTTGAAGACTTGGTGACTCAGGGCCCAAGATTCGAGTGCCATCAGTCATAACAGAATAAAATCACTCACCAAATCAAGTTCAAAACTTCATGCACAGAACTATAAACAAACCAAATTATGCCAAGAAAGTAACTGTACTTCGCTTAGTAATGAAATGGATATCGTGGAGTGGTAAAAGAATTGTAGGTGTTATGCTGCAACACAGTACTGGAACAGCAGCGATTAATAAACTAATATACGCGAAATAATTATATTTTTGGGTGTCTTGAAAGATAAAAAATGGAAATTTGAAACGAGGAATCGGAGTAAATTTAGGGTTTGAAAGGGTGTAGTAAAAAGTGGCAGAAGTGGCGCGTGCATTGTCAGACCTTGCTACTTGCTTGATCCGAGGTTCTGTGTAACTAGTGGGATTAAATTACAGCTATTTCACTTTTTTTTAATTAATTGGCATTTCATTGTAACAACATATCCAAAATTACTTATTATTACAAAATTTTGGATTTAAAACCTTTATAATTTAGTTTATTAAGTAAATCATGCAAAAATAATGAAGAGAATAAGCTATTTAATTTTTTAAAATTTATTTATTAAAACAAGTAGAATATAAATTATTTAAAATTCATACTTTATATAAAAAATAATTTATATAAGTTACAGTTTAAATTACTATAGTTGATAATATAAAAACATTTACAAGCATTAATAAATAATCTCGGTCTTAAATCTAGTTGGCATTTTAGTGGAGATTTTACTTTTAATTAATTTTTATTTATTTACAAAACTATTAAAAAATTTATTGACAGTGATTACATGTTTTTTTTTCATCCTTAAAATTTATATGGAGGTCTTATTTAATATTTGTAATGTATTATTTATAAAACTACTTTTAGTAAATATCTTTAATTTTTATTTTATTTTTTATATATTTTTACTTTATCACATTAGTTTCATTCAATATATTTATTTACATTCTACCAAATAAATTGGTTTGATTACTTTTAGCTATTATCTACCAACCTTTAATTATTGGTTAGTTTATATTTTTCAACATAGTCAACCTAAGAATGTTATTATTATATCATATTTTTTAAAATACTTTATAATCAATATTTTATTTTTTGAAATGAATTTATAATATGGTAAAAATTAAAAAGGTTTAACAAATTAAAATATTTAATAAAAAAACAAAAGAATATATTTAGATAAAAAAGTTAAACAGATACAATTTTTTTTAATGTTTTAATACCTAATTGATTCTAATTTATCAATGTAAAAAAGTAATTATCTATATATTTTAAATATTTTTCTGTAAAATATCTTCATGTATTTATATATTATTGTGTTTTCTTTGCTTTCGATATAAATTTAAACTTAATATTTTTGTTATTTATTAATATTTAAAAAATGTGTCTATTAATTTAATTCAAGAGTGATCGCAAAACACATTTTTATCACATAATGAAATTATATTTTATTAAATAATGAAGTGTTATATTGTATATAGTATCTGCAAGAAAGATATAGAAAAAAATATGTCTAAGAATCATTAAGGAAAATAAACAATTGAGAGCCTAAAAAAATTCAAGAATTTAAATAATTCAACATTTGCATATTTAATATCGATATATTATAAATAATATAATATATTTTTTACAAAAAATTTAAAGGATTAAATACATAAGAGAATATTATTGAATTAAAATTATGAGTTTGTATTTTTTATTTTTAAAGAATTAAAATTAACGTTTATGTTAATTTTAATTTTAATTTTACATGTTTTTAAAATAAAATATATGTATTATTATTTAAAAAACAATTAATCAATGTCAAAGAATTTATGTATTTGTTAGATATTTATTTGAGTGATTATTAATTTATATATATTTTTATTAATAACTAATTATTTTTATTCAATAAAGAATAGAATAATGTTATAAAAAATGATAAAAAGTAATTATAAACAATATTTATATAATGGTAAATATAAAGAGATTAAAAAAAATGATTCTGTATTTTTTTAATAAAACAGATATCAATTAATTGAAGATATTACCCATCCAATTAGTGATAGATAAAAGATTACTATAAAAAGATAATTTAATTTTAAATTTCAAACTTGAACATACAGAGAACACAAACTTGCTAGATTCATACAAGTTTGAAACCCTCATGCAAATACACAAGTAATACATATTATTGTTTGAGGAGTCTAAAAAAAAGTGTTCCTTTTCAGAAGTTAACCCCAAACATTGTCACAAGCAAGCTAGGCTTTTTCATAAAAAATACACAACTTCCCTTTCCCATTCCAAATACTATTCCAGAGTCATATCCTATGGCCACTGGTTCCCAACCAAATCCAATTTTTTCTTCTCTCCAGAAGGTTTGTGAAGGTGGAGAATGTTGTTCAGGTTCCTGGCTGCATTTCATTGACAATGGAAATTCACATAACCCCAAGTTTCCCTCATAGGAATCATTCAAAAAAGAACCAAATTGTTTCCCTCGAGGTATTTCTCCAATAAGACGATTATAAGAAAGATTGAGGACTGCAATAAAGTTTATATTCACCAATTCTGTAGGAATCCTCCAGTGAGCATGTTTGAAGAGAGATCCAATGACTCTAAGTTTGCCAAATTTCCCATGGATTGGGGAATAGAACCACTGAGTCTGTTGTGGGAGAGGTTGAGTCCCCTGAGTTCATGAAGCTCTCCAATGACATTTGGAATCTCTCCTTCAAATTTGTTTCCTGATAAATCAATGCTAACAAAGTCTGTTGAATTTTTTTGAAATGCCACACTCGTGCCTTTTATTGTTACAGTAACAGATGAAGTGTATGTTCCAATACCAAATGACCATTGCATGTATTGCTGCTGTAAACTGCTAAAGACTTCATCTTGAACAACATTCTTCATGGCTTCAAAATTTTGAATGTAGTCTTTTGGAATTGGGCCGCTGAAGTTGTTGGATGAGATATAAAAAATATTTAACTGGAAAATCCATGCTAGGTGTTGAGTACGGCAATTGAACCATGGAACTTATTAGCCCGCAAAACCAACACTTTCAAATTTGGTAGAGTTCGAAGCCAATGGGGAAATGAATCTCTTATTTGATTGTTGCCAAGATTTAAAACCTCCAGTTGTATGCAGTTGGACAAAGATTCTGGCGAAGGACCTTCTAATAGGTTGTCATTGAGATTCAGAGTCAGGAGATTGTTCTTTGAAAAGGTACGTGGTAAAGTTCCATAGAGTCTGTTCATTTGTAGATCCAAAAAGGAAAGGGATGGTGAGCTCGCAAGGCATTCTGGAATGATGCCTGTAAACTTGTTGTGGGACAAGTTGAGAATCACAAGTGAACTTGCATTACAAATTGATGAAGAGATACCACCAGTGAGTAAGTTGAAACTTAGATCAAGAAATATTAGTTGGTGGTTCCTTGAGAACTGGTCCACTGGTGTTGTAAAAAAGTTTCGGGATAGGCTTACAGCTCGTAAAGAATCTATATCATGCAACCAATTGGGTACTCTTCCAGTCAATTTGTTGTTGGAAAGATCCAAAATCATCAACACTGGGGCTTTAGATAATTTTGGAAATTCGGTTAATCCCATAAAAGACACTTCCAACTGCTCTAAGCGGGGAAACTATAATTGACACTTGATTCAAAGTTTAGTGACAGTTGACTTAAATTTGAAAGGAAAAGACATTCCAAATTTTGAAACTTGGAGAAGAGTGAAATATTGACAGAACCACTAAAGTTGTTTGATGAAAGTAAGGTTGACAAGGTTGGAAATTGAGTCTGGAATATTGCCCTGTAGCTTGTTGTAACCCAAAAATAGACTCTTAAAGGAGTATGACGAGATTGCAGGTATATGCCCAGTGAACTGATTATTTGATAGATATAAATACACCAAAGATGGCAAAGAGAAACACCAAGAATGAATTGTACCATTTAGCAAGTTGTCATTGAGCAATAACCAAGTTAGGTAAGAAAACCCTGTTATATTGTTGGGCAGAGGTCCCTCTAATTTGTTGTATGAAATATCCAAGTAAATGAGAAATTGAGGATTTGAAAGTGTTGATGGCAGCTCACCTTGGATATAGTTAAAACTCAAATCCAATTATTCAAGTCTGTTTGACTGATGGAAGACATTTGGTATTGGACGACTAAGCTGATTATGATGGAGAGGCAGAAAATTTAGATTTGGAAGGGTTAAGAGTGAGGATGGAATTGAACCATTGAGGTAGTTGTATGAGAGTTCCAAGAAAGTTAGATGTGTGAGGTTAGAGAGAAGGAGGGATTGGCCCTTGTAATTCACATGTTGAGATTTGTAAGACATTCAGAGAAGCTCCACTACAACTAAAGTTCGGAAGGCTATGAAGGTCAAAATTACCTAATAGATATAGGTGCTGTAGATTTGGCGAACAAAGAGTCTCATCTGTCAACTTTCCCTTTAACCCAGTTCCTCAAAGACTCACAGTGATCAAAGTGGAAGACAAATTGAGTGACTCATTGAAGTTGATGACAAATCTATATGATTCAAAACAGCTCCCTTAAATCTGTTACATTTTTTAGCATCATCTTCCATGTGTCTTCTTTCCACTTATGCGAGAAATATAATTAAGTTAAAAGTATAAATAATTAAAAAATAATTAATATAATTTGATATTTTACGACAAATAATTAGAAATAATCTTTTGTCAAAAGGTCATTTATTAGTAAGAGATGTCTTAGTTGATCATATGACTCAGTTCTCAAAAAAAATCAACCAGAACAAAATTAATACTAATGACTGTATATTAAGATGTATGCGTGAACGTTTATTACATTTTTCATTTTCTTTAATTATCTTGATATCTAGTAAATCTACCCTTAAACTTATTCAGTGTTATGATATGCGACCAAGTAACCAAAAAACCTTTGTTCCACGTATGGTACTTACCGGACCAATAGTACCACGAAACTTATTCATATCAAAATTATTTACAATAATTTATATTCAAGCAACTCAACTAGACTCTCTTAATAAGTGCAAACCGTATACTAGGATAGCTATATAGATATTTTCATTCCCTCTACCAGCGACATTCACGAATAATAAAAGATGAATTTAGAGTAAATAACAGTTTCTGAAGTCTTCTCCCATGACTAATATCTTCAAGTTGAAACACAGCAAGTTTTATAAAATACATTTTTTCTGTAAAAAAAAGAACACAAAATCCATGAAACCTCGAGATTTTCATCATTGTCAAGAAAATGGTGCTGTATGTTTCAATTTCAATTAGTGACCATCAGATATCCCAAAACTGGAGTTGGACCTCACGGTATACTCAGCAACAAGTTGAGCAAAAGATGATGACTTGTTCTCTAGCAACCTTTTTGGGGAGTCATACTCCTCAATAAGTCCTGCACCAATGTCTAGCCAAATCAGAAAAAGAAAAATCAAGGTGCAAAGGATGTCAATGTTCTATAAAGAATGAAAACCTTCCCTAACCTTGACTAAGAAGCAGAACCATATCACTGTCAAGAACAGAAGTTATTCGATGTGCAATTGTAATAACTGTAGAGTCAGTGAAATGTTGCCTAAGAGTTTGCTGAATCAAATTATCCGTAGCTGTATCCACTGATGCAGTGGCTTCGTCAAGAACCAATACCTTGCTTTTCTTAAGCAGCACCCTGCCAAGGCAGACCAACTGTCTCTGACCCATACTCCAATTCTCACCATTCTCACTAACTACAACATCAACTTCAACGTTAACAATAAGTTCAAGATTAGATTTACCATACATTTCTGTTCAATAAGGTTCGAAATCAAACCTTTGGAGTCAAGCTTTCCTTCTTTCTTTCTAACTTCGTCTCCAAGTTGACACTTATCCAAGGCCTATTTAAAAAAGTGTTAGCGAGTGAGCGCAATACTATTTTTCAATAAATATTACAAGTATAATCTTCTGTACCAACCCACCTCCCAAATTTGTTCGTCAGTGTATTCTTCAAGGGGGTCCAGATTATTTCTTATTGTGCCTTCAAACATTGTTGGATCCTGAGGAATAATGCTAAGTCTAGACCTCAAATCATGAAGTCCAATTGAAGAGATGTTGATGTTGTCAATCATAACTTTCCCAACAGCAGGCTCAATAATTCGGAAAAGCGTTTGTATGAGAGTGGATTTACCACTTCCTGTTCTCCCAACAATGCCAGTTTTCAGTCCTCCATGAAATTTGCAGGTAAGACCACACAACACAAGTGGAAGATGTGGAGCATAACGAACCTTCAGAATGGGCAACAAATCATTATAAACATAGCACAAAACACCTTGTATAAATTATGTTACCAAATATGTTTGCATAAATTTCTTGTTTTGAAAGCTAACTTTTAACCATTTAGGAAAAGAAAACTTTGGCATGGGTATCCGAAACAAAATGACCTCATACTAAAAGAAATCGAAAGTACAAAACCAAGTAAGCAATAGCTTGAAGTACCTGCAAATCTTGTATATCAACCTCCCCAATAGAGGGCCAAGAAGGATCTGGCCGATTTTCATCTACAACAAGAGGAGGTTCACTGGGAATACAAGTATACTGAAGTATTCTTTCTACTGATATAATTTTGTTCTCCATATTGCAGAGATTCCATATCATCCAAGCTTGTATCATGTTCAAATTTAGTCCATATGTAACCGCTAAACCAGCAAGGCCTTCAAAATCACAAAAATCGTATAAAAGGGAACGATTATGTTCAATTTCATATTATATAAGTAGCGTAAATTTTATTTGTAGCAGTTACCAGGTAGCAATAACATACCTGGATCTATGAAACCCGGTGGAATAGATATTAAGAATATTAAGGAAAAGGCAAATGTGATAGAAGACAACATATCTAAGCGGAAGCACAACCATTCCATGGCACCAGCAATATTGAACTTTGGCCGAGAATACCCATCAGTCAGTTTCATATTTGTTTCCTGAAATCTTGATTGCTGATCAAAGCTTCTAATGGTTGAAGCACCAGAAATTGTTTCAGAGAAGTGTTGAATGATTGGGGCTTTGCACACTCCAACTAAACGAGATAGTTCTCGGGCTGATGGAATATAATATTGCTGCGGAATTATTACAAATTTATAAGATCTTAGCAATCATCACAAGATAATGTATAATGGAGTAAATTTTGCACAATAAAATTTGGAACATAATCTATGCAGATAAGCCATTACAAGAAGAAATACATGCCACCTTATTATCAAAGTATACATGGTCAGATAAAATACCTGATACCAGATGCTGACTATGATCACAGGTATGAAGACAACAAAAACTTGCCATGCAGCCTGAGACATCACTGCTATAATTGCAAAAAGTTGGATCATAATGAAGGCAAATGATGCAATTTGATAAGGAATGTCTGTATCCAAAGCACTTTGATCTGTTGAAGCCTGCGAGATAACAAAAAGAAGGACAGTAAAACAGTATTATATACACAAAATACGTATCTTTAAAAATCAAAAGGACAAAAATGAAAAAAGTAGTTAAACATACTCTATTTAGGATTCGCCCACTTGGAGTGGAATCGAAAAATGACATTGGAGCACGAAAAATACAAAAGTGCATTTTATTGAAGAGTATAGTAGCTGTCTTGTAACCAGCTGTGACAAGAAGCATTGCTCTGGCAAGGATGCATAAAGAACTTCCAATGGCCAAACTAACATAAACTACAATAAGAGTTGTTCCATTAACAGGTGGTTCCACATCAGTTGAGATAGGAGTCGCCCAAGCCATCCAATAATTACTTCCGATTTGAAGAGCTTGAAAAAGAATCTGAGCCAACAATATGAATGGTACAAGAGCTCCTCCATATGCTGTTGTGATACATTTCCAATACACTGAAAACCCAACTCTACCTTTCTCCCTTTCTTCTTCCTGAACAAGTTGGCCGTTGCGTTCACTTTTGTTGTCTGTTTTACCATTTTGTTCATCTTCAATTGCCTCCTCCTCTTTAAAACCTTGCGGGCCAGAGACATTTACATCATGTTCTAAGGTGCTTATTTCATTAGACATTGTTGATCCATCTAATGAATCCAGTGTCGACAAAGCTTTTTTGTGTGCGCCAACAAGTTCCATAAAATCAGCTCCACTCTCAAGCAGATCAGCATACTTTCCACTTTGAGTAATTTTCCCATCTTTCATGACCTAACAATAAGGATAACATCGTGGATTAAAGAAACAAATATATTTTTACTCTAATTACAGTTAAGTTATGAGAACTACTCACCAATATAAGATCAGCAGCAGGTAAGAACTCTACTTGATGAGTGACATAAACTACTGTCTTTGAACTTAAAAGGCCCAGCAAACATTCCTGCCGTACACAAAATAGAAAGGTCCACTTACATAGTATTACAATAGTCATATTGTTCCCAGAATAAAATTTCATAAGAGTTAAATCAAGGATTAATTGTATTTTTGCAGTGCGAATATAAATATAGTAGTTCAGGTTATATTACACATAAAAATAAAATGATGAAACCAAGTTACCTTAAAAAGGTGAGAGCCTGTGTGAGCATCCACAGCACTAAAAGGATCATCAAATAGATATATATCAGCATCTTGGTAAAGTGCACGTGCAATCTGTATTCTTTGTTTTTGTCCACCACTCAAATTTATTCCACGCTCTCCTATAATTGTCTGATCACCAAACGACAGAATCTCAAGATCTTTCTTCAGGGAACAGGCCTCAAGTACCTTCTCATACTTTTCCCTATCCATTTGTTTTCCAAACAATATATTCTCCTCTATCTTACCACTCTGTATCCATGGAGATTGAGTAACATAGGCCTTCGTTCCACAAAGCTTAAGGAGGCCTGATATCTTAGGTACTTCTCCCAATACACAAGAAAGTAAAGTAGATTTGCCTGATCCAACAGTACCACAAACTGCAACCCTCATCCCATGAAAAACTTTAAGATTTATGTTTTGCAATGTTGGGTTAGGGGAAGATAATTCCCAGGAAAAGTTTCCATCAACAACTTCAATTGCTGTATCAGAACTACCGCGGGGAAGCTTCTCTACAACATCAGAGGGTAAGTCATCCAGACGAAGGAATGATGCAATCCTATCAAGAGACACTTTAGTTTGTGCTATCATTGAAATTGTATCTGGAAGACTATAAATCGGCTCCTGAAGAATTCGGAATGTTGCAAGTGCAGACAGAATCTTCCCTGTTTCAAGGGGGATCCCTACAAGCATACAAGTACCAAAAGTAACCACAGATACAAATGTGGGGGCACCCCAAAACACAAACGTGGTCATGGCTGCAGTATAGACAAATTTTTTTAACCAGGCTTGCTCAGTTTTCCTGAGCTCAGTTATTTTTGACAGAAACTTCATTTCCCATCCTTGCAGTTTGAGAATCTTCATATTCCTTAAAATCTCAGATGTGGTCTTCATTCTTGTATCTTTCGACTCCATCAACTTCTTTTGATATTTCTCTTGCAATGAACCCAAGGGAACATTTGCCAGCATAACAACAATAGTTGCAACAAAAGCAGCAATTGAAGCGAGTCCAAGGTTTTTATACAGAATCAATAAGGCCAATGTAACTTGCAAAGCCACCATCCACAAATCATGCATATACCAACTGAACACACCAACTCTTTCAGCGTCAACAGTCATGAAATTAATTATTTCTCCAGATGTGTGACCCTGCTTTGACTGACAAGATAGGGTCAGAGCCTTGTTATAGATCATCGTGACAAGCAGTGCACGAATTCGAAGTCCAACTTGCTGCAACCTAAAGAACCAATGCCTTTGGGTCAGACACTCTACAAGCTTTGCAAAGAAAAACGCAGAAACCAAAACATAGCCCTGGTTTTCATACAGCCTTTGTCCATCAAGGTACTGAACAAAACCGTCAATAAGGTAAGGACCAACATAAGAAGCCAAAGTGTTTAACAATGCAAGAAAAGCCGTGAAAAGAATCTCCTTCCACGCTGACATCAGTAACGACTTCACCAACTTAAGTGTGGTGACACTATTTATTGTGCCACTATCAGCCTCAAGTTTACCTCTGAAACTTGGAAAAGCACCAACTACACTGTCTGCGCTTTCTAGTTGTGGAACATCCTCAAGGTCTAGCGTCTTCTTATTGCCAACAGCGATAAGAGGACCCACCCAAGAGAATGTAAGAAGGCTCAAAATGCCAGCATATGCGAACGGGGTAACAGTGTCCCCACCCTTGGTCTCTTCCGATATCAAGGCATCCCCATCATTTGTGGAGCCATTCAAAAGAGGTTCCTGAATACCATTATTTTCTTTTTCTCGAACATGGCCTTTGTTTTTCACAAAATACCCCACGTAACAGAATATCAAACCAACACAAGTGGAAACCACATCAGAAACCAAGTACTGAGTCGGCAAAGCAACGCGTCTCTCCGATATGACAACTATGTCAACCACGAAGCCATAGCAAGAGGCAATGAGGTAGAAGACGCACCAAGCTTGGAAGAGGAATGAAAACCTTCTTTCGCCAGAACTGAAGGACCCCTTGTGTAAGCAAACACAAATGACGCCCCACGCAACTGTTTTGAGCGCCAAATCTAAAAGGGTCACGAGCTTTTCCTCTGACCAGCCACTAGAGTACCAATAGAAGTAATTGAACAAACAGAGGAGAAAACTGAAAACAGAAGCAGCCAGAGAACAAAACACGGTCGTTTTGAAGAGGGTGTTGTCGTGTTTCTCCTTAGACCCATCGCTGACTCGTGTTGTTAATTTGTTCCAAACCCATGACAGTGAAACCGCGACGAGCAATAGTAGGTGGAGGAAGGCGGATAAGCCATGAAGGAAAACTGGGGTGAGGAGAACATCGTTGGAAATGTGTATGCGGGAAAAGGGTGAGAAAAGAGATAACATGATAGTTAACATGAACGATGAAAAACAAAATTTCCTGTATTTCCGGAACTTGAAAATGGGGTGTGTGCTTGGAAGAAATGTCAGAGTATAAGATGGAGTGGAAGATGAAATATTTTAGGATATAATATAAGGGGTAGAAATTGTGTGCACAGAGTGAAGTCAAGGAGAGAGAGTGAGTCAATAGAAACACAGTTCCTTGGGAAAATGGTAACTTGGTTGCCAAGACTCACGTTTGGTAGACGGAGGAATTGAAGTGAGAAAATAGTAGAAGAGACAAAAGGGTGGCGTTTTCCTGGAAAAAGGTTGGTGCTTGGAAAAAAATAAAAAGTGCTGAAAGAGACACCATAGAGAAAGTGAGACAAGATCTCTTGGAATTAATTGGAATTATTTGCTTCCTCTTATTGTGTCGTCTAGTTATTTATTTTTATTATTTTTATCTATTAAGTATTTGAATTTAATTTTAAAACATATAAAGCCAAAACTCTACACCACACAAAATAAAAATTCATTTTATACGATTAAATTATAAAGTAATGAATATTTTCAAATATTATAATAAACATATAATAAATTAATATTTAATCTATAAATTATATTTTAGATTTATGAAATCGTTAATTAATAATATATATATATATATATATATATATATAATATGTATATTTAAGTTCTTATCTTTGAAAGATGTTTAATCTATATATATTTTTTGAAGGATCTTAATTAAATAACACGATTGTGTCATATTACATACGAAAATCGTAAATATTTGTATTTCTGTAGAAATATATTTTAGAAAATGAATATTTTTATTAATATTTATTTTCAATTATAATTTCCTTTATATATATTTATATATGTATATTCACAAATCAAACTCTATATATTATATTAATATACGTTTAGTTTTTTTCCCTTTAAAACAAGTTTTATAAGCTAATTATTAACTAAATAACATAAATCGATATTAAACTATACTAGAAAAACTATTATCTATATATTTTTACATTGGATTAACACTTATTCTCAAATTTTATTTGCTTAGTTAAACATGAAGAGATAAACTCATTAAAATCCACGTAACCACGAAAGTTTGAATAATCTAATAAAAATCTATATTAAAAAATTTATATTGTTATTATTTGATGAAAGTGAAGCTCCTCTCTCGAGTAGAAATAGTTGCAAAGTTGACGATCTCGTAGGACGTTACGGAAATTACGACATAATATCAAATTTTTAATTTACCAATAAAATTTAACACAATATTTTATTAAGTTCTTAAATTCATAATTATAATTGGAAAAGTTCTTTAATTTTATTATTAAATGTAGATTCCATTACCGAAGTATATTCGCCGTGAGAAGAGTGTACGAACTATAAAGTCACATGCAGAGATTCGTGCCCACCATTTGTTTGTTATTGGTTGTTCGGATTTATAGTTATCTTCGATGCATTTAAGAATACTAATAAAAATAAATATTTTATTATAAATTCTGTATTTGTTTAAAATTGAAAAAATTATTTAAGATTAAAAAGCAATTATTTATATAAAGATCACAACACAACAGATAAAAATTTTGATTTTACTGAACCAAAACACTATTAAAAATTCAATGTTTTTGGACTAGTAATTCTTTTTTCAATTTAAACAATTATCTCCTCAATAATTTGTTATCATTTTGATTTTAATATCAATAACATTTATCAATCTTATCATTAGCAATAAAAGTTGGAAACAATAAATGTTCACTGTGTCTTCAAGGATCTTCCTTTCGATTTTGTCACGTGTTTTACACCTTCTTTAGTTTCAAGTCAGTCTTGGGACCACAACCAACTCTCGACTTTATATATTTATTTTATTTTGTTTTTTTTTTCCTCAAATTTAATTATAGTCAAAATATTAATTTAAAAACACCAAGAGCAAAGAAAAGTTAAAAAAAAAAAATGTAATAATAAAAAACGCATTTTTCCCATACAAAAATGTAGTCCTTCCTCAGCAACCCAATCAATTAAAACTATCGAAACAGCAAATTTTTGAATCACTCCGTCGTAAGGTGGTTTCGTTAAGAATCACGATAAAACATTTCCAAGTTCATTAAGCCATGTTTTATCACTCATGCGAGATTCTATCATAAAGAAGACGAAAAGGTTATTCATTTTATATAAAAAGAAAATACCTACAATTGAATTTGTCCATTAAGAATACAATGAACAACATTTTTCCTAAAGAGTGATTACTCCAGCCATGGTAAAAATATCTCTTCTTCCTTCACCTGTGTAAAGAGACTAGAGCATTACACAACACATTAAAACTCTTATTTTACATATTACATTGATCTTTTGTAAAAAAAAAAAACACAAAATACATTTTTGTTTCTGTATGCTTCAACTTGTATCAGTGATCATTAGATTTCTCAAAACTGGAGTTGGTCCTCAGGGTATACTCAGTAACAAGTTGAGCGAAAGATGATGACTTATTCTCTAGCAACCTTGTTGGGGTGTCATACTCCTCAATAAGTCCTGCACCAATATCTAAACAAATCAGAAAATTAAACATCCAGGTGCAAAGAATATCGATTTTCTATGAAGAACGAAAGCCTTTCCAAACCTTGACTAAGGAGCAGAACCATATCACTGTCAAGAATCACTGTCAAGAACTGAAGTTATACGATGTGCAATGGTAATAACTGTGGAATCAGAGAAATGCTGCCTAACAGTTTGCTGAATCAAATTATCCGTAGCTGTATCCACTGATGCAGTGGCTTCATCCAGAACCAATAACTTGCTTTTCTTAAGCAGCACCCTGCCAAGGCAAACCAACTGTCTCTGACCCATACTCCAATTCTCACCATTCTCACTAACTACAACATCAACTTCAACATTAGCAATAAGTTCAAGATTAGATTTACCATACATTTATGTTCAATAAGGTTTGAAGACAAACCTCTGGAGTCAAGCTTTCCTTCTTTCTTTCTAACTTCGTCTCCAAGTTGACACTTATCCAAGGCCTATTTAAAAAATGATAACGAGTCAGCGCAATACAATTTTTGGAGAACGATTATATGTATAATCTTTGATATCAACTCACCTCCCAAATTTGTTCATCAGTGTATTCCTCCAGTGGGTCCAGATTACTTCTTATTGTCCCTTCAAACATCGTTGGATCCTGAGGAATAATGCTTAGTGTAGACCTTAAATCATGAAGTCCAATTGAAGAGATGTTGATGTTGTCAATCATAACTTTCCCGACAGCAGGCTCAACAATTCGGAAAAGCGTTTGAATGAGAGTGGATTTACCACTTCCTGTTCTCCCAACAATGCCAGTTTTCAGTCCTCCGTGAAGTTTGCATGTAAGACCACGCAACACAAGTGGAAGATGTGGAGCATAACGAACCTTCAGAATGGGCAACACTTCATTATAAACATAAAACAAAACACCTTGTATAAATTATGTTAAGAACTATGTTGGCATAATTTTTTTGTTTTAGGAGCTAACTTCTAACCATAGGAAAAGAAAACCTTGGCTTGAATTTCATAAATCAACTGACTATAAAATGAAATAAACAGAAGTATAAAACCATAAACATGTAATAGCTCAAACTACCTGCAAATCTTGTATATCAACCTCGGCAATTGAGGGCCAAGAAGGATCTGGCCGGTTTTCATCTACAACAAGGGGAGGCTCACTAGGAATACAAGTATACTGAAGTATTCTTTCTACTGAGATAATTTTGTTCTCCATATTGCAGAGATTCCATATCATCCAAGCTTGTACTGTATTCAAATTTAGTCCATATGTAACCGCCAAACCAGCAAGGTCTTCAAACTCACAAAATCATATAAAAGGGAAACAATTATGTCCATTTCCATATTACATTAGCAGCGTAAATTTTGTTTGTAACAGTTACCAGATTGGAATAACACACCTGGATCTATGAATCCCGGTGGAATAGATATTAAGAATATTAAGGAAAAGGCAAATATGATAGAAGACAACATATCTAACCGGAAGCACAACCATTCCATGGCACCAGCAATATTGAATTTTGGCCGAGAATATGCGTCAGTAAGTTTCATATTTGTTTCCTGAAATCTTGTTTGCTGATCAAAGCTTCTAATGGTTGAGGTACCAGAAATAGTTTCAGAAAAGTGTTGGATGATTGGGGCTTTGCAGACTCCAACTAAACGTGATAGTTCTCGAGCTGATGCAGTATAAAATTGCTGCAGATATAAAAGTTTGTAAGAGATTAGCAATCATAAAATATGGTATAATAGAGTCAATTTTGAAAAATAAATTTGGTACGTAATTAGGCAAGCCATTACCAGAAAATAATGAAATCAATGTAAGAAATACATGCCACCTTGTTATTAATGTCTTTGGTCAGATAAAATACCTGATACCAGATGCTGACGATGATCACAGGTATAAAGACAACGAAAACTTGTCATGTAGCCTGAGACATCACAATTGAAAAACATAGAATTCGTTATATAAATTTTATTCATATTATTTTTTATATATATACTATGATCTTATAGTATTTTACTCTAACAAATCGAGACTAAATATAGGAAAATCTGATTATATAATATTTTGTACTACTATACAAATCTATAATTTAGCTAATCAAATATCTTTATCTCAACACTCCCCTCAAGTTGGTAAATGGATGTCATACATTTCTAACTTGTCCAATAATCTCCTAAAAATCTGACTTGTCACAGACTTTGGTAAGAATGTCCGCTAACTGATTTTCAGATCAAATATTTGGCAATTCCAAAATATTTTTATCAAGCTTTTCTTTGATGAAAAATCTATCAACCTCCACATACTTCATTCGATCATGTTGGACAGTGGTTGTGAGCAATGTCGCGCGTAACTTTATTATCACAATACAATCTGAATGGGACGCGTATGTGCATACCCTAAATCTTGGAGAAGTAGTCTCGAGTCACAAACTTTCACAAAGTCCAAGAACTATTCCTTTAAGTTCAAACTTCCTGCACTGGATCTAGCTACAACTTTCTGCTTCTTGCTTTTCCATGTGACAAGATTACCTCCTACAAATGTAAAGTATCCAGAGGTTGATCTTCTATCATCAAGAGCACCCGCCCAATCTGCATCAAGTATAAACCATCACATCCTTGTAGTTGGAGTTCTTCTTGAACATAACTCCTTTTCCAGGAGCAACTTTTATATACCTTAAAATCCGTATAACAAGCATCCATGTGTTTTTCACCTGGATTGTGCATGAACTGGATAACCACACTAAGAACATAAGCTAAATCGGCCTAGTGTATGAGAGATACATCAATCTCCCTACAAGTCTCTCGATATCTTCCCTTGTTAGTTGGAGTTTGATCTTCTTCAATGTACAACTTCAATCCCTTTTCAATTGGAGAATTTGTTGGTTTGCATGTTGTAATTTCAGTTTCTTTTAGTAAATCCAATGCATACTTTCGTTATGAGAGAAAAATACATGATTTTGATCTTGAGACCTCAATTCCAAGAAAATATTTCAAAGGACCAAGATCCTTCATCTCGAATCCCTTTGCCAAGTACTCTTTCAATGCCTTGCGTTCCTCTAGATCGTTTCCCATAACTATCATGTCTTCAACATAGACAATAAGAATTGTAATCTTTTCTTCCTTTTTCTTTAGAAATAAGGTATGATCTTGGTTGCTCTGTTGGTATCCAAAAACAAGCATTGACTTGGTGAATCTACCAAACCATGCTTGTGGCGATTGTTTTAGTCCATACAATGACTTCTTCAACTTGCATACCTTTTTACTATGTGTATTCGGGATCCCACATCTTTCCGGTAGCTCCATATAAACTTCTTCAGACAATTCCCCGTGTAAGAAGACATTTTTTGTAACACCCTACCTTATAAACCCTCTATCGGAAGAATTAATATTTTTTAGCGGAATTTTTTTAACCGATAATAATATTTCCCTCATACATAATATTAATATATTAAACCAATGCATTAATAGTAAAAATAAACTTTAACAATTTTCAATAACTCATTCTTGCATTTCATCATTTTAGAAAGTACTAAAAGTAAACATTCATAATTACATATAGATAAAATACTAGTACAATCCTTCATAATATTGAGGGCAACATTGGGGATAACTTCCTACATAGCGATAAACTACACAAAAGAGTGACTACTACCCAAGTACTCATGTAGGTCTATGTACTACAAAAGACTGCCTACAAAAGTTTAGATATGTTTATCCCAATACATGTTGCCATCATTGTGGCTCCCAACTAATGAGTATGAGTGTCATATTCATCGGGTGTGGAATCTGTGCCATCTCCCTCTCTTCAAACAATGATCGATCAGGTCCAACGAGTACCGCAAGTACAAAGAAAATAAAGAAAACAGAAAGACAAGAGGGTGAGCAACAGTTCATACATCATTTTAAAATCAACATCATAAATATTCACAAGTCAATCAAATTCCAAATAATTGATGTTAATGATGCATGATCCTAATATGTTTTCTAAAATGTTTATGCATGCGGACCCGAATAATTTCTCAAATCAATACTGGGGTAGCTAGGAGTTGACACTACTAGGCATGGAAAATCCACCCACGGGATTGTTGAGACCCATGCTCAAATATAAACTCAGAGCTCACGACCATTGATGTACGTAAGAGCACAATCAGGTACAGGAGAGTTTGTACAGTGGGATCCCCGACAACAGGTAGCGAGCCCGGGTCTTTTGGGGCCTCCAACCACTACCCTTCCTATCCTCGAGTCCTCCCTCGTGGTCTCCCTATCGTATTCTCGCAGTCCATAATCTCTGATTCCCTAGATTTCACAAATCACCATTTTCAGATGAGTAATGTATGAGTCCCTAAGTGGTTTTTCTTAGAAATTCACATTTTTCCAAAAATTTTGACAGAGTTTTCCTTGTAATACGGATTTTCCAAAAATTTTCAATCACCTGTTACAAGCATAAAACTTCCAATACAGCTTCAAAAAGGATTCACAACCCATCATCCAATTCTTTCAATTTAATTTTCAATGAATTTTCTCATGAAAAATCACCATGCATATAAATGCTCACTCAAAGACAATACATATCATAATAGAGTACCAAACATGTATTTTACACCATCATACACGTAAGCAATTCATAATCACTTTCACAACCAAGCATATAATGAAATCAAAATTATCAATCATAACAAATTTAGACAAATTCAACAAATAAGGTCAAACAAGTTTATGATGTAATCCTTACTATATAGCCCACCCCTTACCCGATACGTCCACACTTATTCCTTTCGAAGCTTGATGTTGTGTTTCAAAGAAAATCTATATACGTAATAAAATACTAGTTAGAATTTTATATTTCTATGTTTCTATCTCATGAGAATTTAAATTCACTTTGTGTTGTTAATCCATTTCTAATAATATTTTAAGCTCACATTCAACTTACAATTATCTTAGAAAATTATCCTATTTTGTATGCACTTAAAGTAGGAAGAATCCTAATAGCAAACATGGACAAGGTTCAAGTATTTTGAAATTTTCTAGAGTTATATAAGTTGTTTTGGCATGAGACTTGAGCCAAAATTTCAATAACTTAATTACCTAAAATATTGATGAAGGAAATAAATTCAAATACCCTATAGAATAGATGCTTAGTTTTCAGTGGTTGTTTCCATCTAGGCTCAACTACAATAACACTCTGAACATGCCTTGGTAATTGGATTATAACTCATGCTACACATAAGCTATTAACATGAAACAAATTTCTAAATTTCGGAAATGTAATTTCCTACAACTTTTATGAAGGAATCAAGTCCTAATTTCATACATATCAATCCCAGTAATTCAAAAACTGAGGCTGTTGAAACAGGGCTACCTCTTAACGTCACAGCTAGAACACTTGATATTAAAATGGGCATAACTTGAGCTACAAATATCTGTTTAATGTGAAACCAGTTTCTAAATTTCGACAACTTAAAGAGCTACAACTTTCATGCAGATACTAATTTCTAATTCTATTCACACAAGTCTCAGAAATTCAATGAACAGTACCTACGAATTAGGGTTCTTAAAGTTTTTAGCTTAACCACTTCTAATCCTCAATTTTAAGCATTATTCTAGTATTCTAGGTGTAAAATCTATAATAACATTCTTCCTACACCCATTCAAACTCAGCCAAGTGTGGAGAAAAATAGAAAATACACCGTTTTGAAAAATAAAACGGTAGAAATGTAGAGGAGATTGAGATGAACAAACTTACCTCTTGGAGCTCCTCAAGAAAATCAAAACTTTCGCGTAATGTCACTCTCTATTGCTCTTAAAAGTCAAATTTTGTACTCCTGATTACACCTAAATAAATTTGCGACTGAGCGGATTATAGGCCGCAAGTAATAGAGAGATTTCGAGCACAATCCGCTCGACGGATTCCTCGTGCGCTCAACGGATTATATTACAAAAATTTATCCATTATTCTCTCCTTTTTACTCTAGTCAAGATTTGAACCCACAATCCCTAAGATTCAAGTATTACTCCAACACAACCATATCAACCATCATATGTTTCTTGTCAACTCATACACATAATAAACATTTAATGTACCCTCACTCAATGCATACAAGAAAACAATAATTTCTAAATGTGACAATTAAAATTTGTTAAGTCCCAAGTATACTCAACGTTCGAGACACACACATGAGTATTTTCTAACAATTATAAAATAATAGAAAAATTATAATTATTTCAATGCACATACAAGAATCGAACTCATGACCCTCAAATCTTATGACAAGGGTCTAATCAAATGATATACTCCTCATCTCTACAATATTATTAAATTATTAATTTAATTACATCTCTTACTTTCAATTTCTACCTTAAATCATATAATTACTATCTGACGCCTAGTTGTCCGCAAAACGGATCAATTTTAAGTATTTTCTAAAAATTCCAGAAAATCATAAATAATCTAATAAACATAAAACTCTACATTCACTTTACCCTATTCCTTATAATTTAATTATTAAAATTTTGACAAAGATTTTGTCAAATTTTAACAAACCGGAGGTACTGAGAATTAGGATGTTACATTTTTTACGTCAAATTGTTGTAAGGACCAATCAAGGTTCACAACTAGAGTTAACAATAATGTACTAATTTTGGCTACGGAGCAAACGTTTCAGGTGTACTCTATTTCATATGCTTGTGTGTACCCCTTTGCCACTAATCTAGCTTTGAATCTCTCAATTGTGCCATCTCGCATTAAATTTCACAAGTATACACCCATCGACATCCTACTCGGTTTCTTTCCAACTGGACAATCTACTAATTTTCATGTTTTATTTCTTTGCAAGGATCTCATCTTCTCATTCATAGCATCCTCCCATCCGGAGTCGGCTAAAACTTCCTGCACACTCGTTAGAAATAGATACAGTAGATAATTGACTTATAAATGCGATATTTGAGTTAGACAAATTTTGGTTACAAACATAATTACTCATAGGGTATCTTCTCTTACTGGTGAGGTCAAGATCATAAGTAGGCTTAGGGATACCTCTAATGACATGATCTCGACGTAATTCTTTTTCTGTATTAGGTTCTTGAGGGGATGATTGGTGTGGTATATCATTAACATCAACGGACAAATTTTCGATCTCAACATGCTCAAAATCTTCCGCCAAAATCTTTCTCATTATGTGGTTGTTGATCATAACATTGTTGCATACTTTCATCATCTCTTGATACAACTTTGTAACTTTCTTTCTCCAATCTGATCTCAATATCAATTTCTTGAGGAACAAAAGTCTGAACTTCATCATAATTCTCCTCCTGAATTTCGGACTTGGGGAAAAATATATCAAGGTTTCATGAAAAACTACATCTATAGTAGTAAACATTTGCTTGATTTGTGGATTGTAGCACCGATATCCTTTCTGGTGATCCACATAGCCAAGGAACACACACCTTTCAGCTCTAGGAGACAACTTACTTCTCCGATGCTTGTGTAAGTGAACATAAGCAACACAACCAAAAACTCTATGTGTTAGTTCAGCAATTTTAGGACTTACTACTGCATCCGTAAGTAATTGAATAAGTGTTTTATACTCAAGATACCCGGACGGTGTTCGGTTGATAGTGTATACTGCATATGTGAGAGCTTTTCCCCAATATATTGCTGGCATGTGAGCTCCAATTAGTGCATCTCGGACCACCTCCAATAGATGACGGTTCTTTCGTTCTCGCTATTCCATTCTGTTGTGGAGTACTTGGACAAAATCTTTGATGAACAATTTCTTTGACTACTAAAAAATGTTGAAATTCGATTGCATATATTCTCCTCCGTTGTCACCGCACAAGTACTCGAATTTGTGCTTTGTACTAGGTCTCAATCATTTTGCGGAATTTCGAAATAGTTCTCCAACTTCACTTTTAGACTTCATCAAACATAACCAAGTCATTCGAGTACAATCATCAATAAACATTACAAACCACGTTGAGTCACCCAACGTTGTAACCTTAGATGGACCCCATACATCGAGTGAATGATCATAAAAGGAAGAGAACTTTTATTTAAAATTAAAGGAAAATTTGTTCTATGACTCTTTGCAAGCTCACAAACATCACAATAAAAAGTTGAAGTGTCTACTTGATCAAATACATTTGGAAATAATTTCTTTATGTAACCAAAAGATGCATGTCCTAGACGCTTATGTCATAACCAGATATCCTCGCCTTTTCTTACTTCTTGAGACCCTTTTGTTGCTAGCACTTGACCAAGTCTCTTTGAATATTTTTCTGTCAGGTCCAGGTAATACAATCTTCCTCGCCTAATACCACAACCAATCGTCTTCCTCGTTTGAATATCCTTAAAAACACAAGAGTCGAGACCTAAAAATTACAACACATAAAAGAGCTTTGATTATTTGCGAGACTGACAATAGGTTATATTTAAGATAAGGAACAACAAGGACAATATCAAGATTCAAATTGTTTGAAATAGAGACAGTTCATTCTCCAATAATAGTGGATTTACTACCATTGGTCGTGGATATACTTTTTTGTGAGGAAGGTTTAAGATTTTTAATTTGTCTAACATCAAAAGTCACATGATCGGAACATGCAGAGTCAATTATCCATGCATTATTCGAATCGGTAGATGTGCTTATTAAAATCTTACCATTAGAATCATCACTACCTGCGATTGTAGCAAGCATCATGCCTTTGTCGTCCTCTTTGTCAATGGCGATTACAGCAGCGATAGTTGAATTTCTTTTTGAATTCTTCTTCGATGTTCGATCGTGATCCCACCACTCGGGGTATCCTATGATTTCATAGCATCGTTCCTTGGTGTGTCCATCCTTATTACACCGAGTACACTTGTAGTTACCTTTTTCAAAATCTTTTGATTGCTTTGATTTGTTGTGGTGATTTGCTTGGTCGCTTCTTTGTCATCATAGCTGTGGAATCGAAATCATATCTTCTGTTTTCAACGTTGTTCACGGACTGTCTCTCTCCGGATCAATGCATAACATTCTTCTAAATCAGGTGTCACTTCTTTGCGCAAGATTTCTCCACGAACTTGCTCAAAATCATCATCTAGTCCAAGCAAGGAATATATGCACCCTTAATCTTTCAATGGACTTCGATATGACTTCACATCATCGTGGTCCTTCATGACTACTTTGTCACGATGGTCCAATTCCCTAAAAATCTCAACCAACTCCCCATAATATTCAGTTAAGGTTCTATTATTTTGTTTTGCAGTGAATGCCCTTTGATTCAGTGGCAAACACTCGTAGCTCATCACTTCCATCATAAAATATCTTTGACAAAACATTCCAAATATCGATGGCAGTGGGTAAGCTGAATATACCTTTTCATAATTTCTGACTTCATGGACATCAATAGCCATCTTTTCACTTTTTGGTTTTCAGCATACCATTTTTCATATCCCTCATCGTTCTCTCGTTGGAGGTTTCACCTTCCCATGGATATAGGACAATTTTTCCCTCTCTGTAATGTGCATCTCCATTAGTTGTGACCATACGTCATAATTGAATTCATTTAGGATGATGCCTGCGTTGAAGACACCTTCAGATTGAACAACCATTGGAATTAGTTTTTCTGTCATCTTTCCAGTTAAGATCTCCAAGAATTTTGAAAGAAAAAGAAAAAAGTTATAAGCTCCGATACCAAATTGAAAAACATAGAATTTATTCTATAATTTTTATTCATATTATTTTTGTATACATATACTATGATCTTATAGTATTTTACTCTAACAAATCAGGACTAAATATAGGAAGATCTAATTATACAATATTTTGTACCACTATACAAACCTATAATTTAACTAATCAAATATCTTTATCCCAATAATCACTACTATAATTCCTAGAAGTTGGATCGTAACGAAGGCAAATGATGCGATTTGATAACGAATGTCTGTATCCAATTCACTTTGATCTGTTGAAGCCTACAAGATAACAGTAAGTAGGACAAGTGACAGAATATTATATACACAAAATTCGTAACCTTAAAAATCAAAAGGACAAAAATGGAAAAAGTAGGTATACATACTCTGTTTAGGATTCGCCCACATGGAGTGGAATCGAAAAATGACATTGGAGCACGAAAAATACAAAAGTGCATTTTATTGAAGAGTACAGTAGCTGTCTTGTAACCAGCTGTGACAAGAAGCATTGCTCTGACAAGGATGCATAAAGAACTTCCAATGGCCAAACTAACATAAACTACAATAAGAGTTGTTCCATTAACAGGTGGTTCCACATCAGTTGAGATAGGAGTCGCCCAAGCCATCCAATAATTACTTCCGATTTGAAGAGCTTGAAAAAGAATCTGAGCCAACAATATGAATGGTACAAGAGCTCCTCCATATGCTGTTGTGATACATTTCCAATACACTGAAAACCCAACTCTACCTTTCTCCCTTTCTTCTTCCTGAACAAGTTGGCCGTTGCGTTCACTTTTGTTGTCTGTTTTACCATTTTGTTCATCTTCAATTGCCTCCTCCTCTTTAAAACCTTGCGGGCCAGAGACATTTACATCATGTTCTAAGGTGCTTATTTCATTAGACATTGTTGATCCATCTAATGAATCCAGTGTCGACAAAGCTTTTTTGTGTGCCCCAACAAGTTCCATAAAATCAGCTCCACTCTCAAGCAGATCAGCATACTTTCCACTTTGAGTAATTTTCCCATCTTTCATGACCTAACAATAAGGATAACATCGTGGATTAAAGAAACAAATATATTTTTACTCTAATTACAGTTAAATTATGAGAACTACTCACCAATATAAGATCAGCAGCAGGTAAGAACTCTACTTGATGAGTGACATAAACTACTGTCTTTGAACTTAAAAGGCCCAGCAAACATTCCTGCCGTACACAAAATAGAAAGGTCCACTTACATAGTATTACAATAGTCATATTGTTCCCAGAATAAAATTTCATAAGAGTTAAATCAAGGATTAATTGTATTTTTTGCAGTGCGAATATAAATATAGTAGTTCAGGTTATATTACACATAAAAATAAAATGATGAAACCAAGTTACCTTAAAAAGGTGAGAGCCTGTGTGAGCATCCACAGCACTAAAAGGATCATCAAATAGATATATATCAGCATCTTGGTAAAGTGCACGTGCAATCTGTATTCTTTGTTTTTGTCCACCACTCAAATTTATTCCACGCTCTCCTATAATTGTCTGATCACCAAACGACAGAATCTCAAGATCTTTCTTCAGGGAACAGGCCTCAAGTACCTTCTCATACTTTTCCCTATCCATTTGTTTTCCAAACAATATATTCTCCTCTATCTTACCACTCTGTATCCATGGAGATTGAGTAACATAGGCCTTCGTTCCACAAAGCTTAAGGAGGCCTGATATCTTAGGTACTTCTCCCAATACACAAGAAAGTAAAGTAGATTTGCCTGATCCAACAGTACCACAAACTGCAACCCTCATCCCATGAAAAACTTTAAGATTTATGTTTTGCAATGTTGGGTTAGGGGAAGACTGATAGGTGTTGTAATTTTGTTCCAAACCCATGACAGTGACACCACGACGAGCAACAAAAGGTAGAGGAAGCCGGATAAGCCATGAAGGAAAACGGGTTGGAGGAAGACATCGTTGGAAAGGTGTACGTGAGAAAGGGGTGATAAAAGAGAGTACATGTAGTTAAAATGAAGATGAAAAACAAAATTTGCTGAACTTGAAAATGGGTTGTGTTTAGAAGAAATGGGACAGTATAAGGTGGTGCGGAAGATGAACTTTTTCAAGTTATGAAGACTGAAAACTATGTGCTGAATTGAAGTAAAAAAGGGAAGAGAGAACTGACTGAGTAAAAAGAAAAGGACGGGGTTAGTTGGGAAAAGGTTACTTGGTGAGGATGCGTGGAGTGTAGTTGAATTGAAGGAATAAAATAGCGACAGAAGGGTGGGAATTTTGAGGAAAAAGAAATGAACTTGGAAAAGTTTGACCATTAAGAAAATGAAAAAAATCACTCATTGTTTTTTTATTTATTGTGGTTGACCTAGTATAAGGCACGCTAGGAGAAATTAAGTGCAGAGAATTGAAGTAAATTAGGAGAAGAGAATGAGTTAAAATAAAAATGGACGGCGGCGTTCTTCTGGCCAAGACAAAATAGTAGAAGAGGCAAAAGGGTGGCGTTCTTCTGGAAGAACGACATATGATTTTTAATATATAGATGATATTTTAGATTTATGATAAATTATTTATATTATAATATATTATTTAAATTTAAATTAATAATTATAGAATATTATATATATATATTCATAACTTGGCCCTGTTCATCTGACAGTAAGATAAAGCTTTAATTTATCAGAGTCTCGTTGTAGAACTTTAATTTATTTGACTGTGTTATTGCCATTTTCTTTTTAACAAGAACAAGTTTAAAAAATTAATGTTTTTATTAATACTTATTTCCAATTCTAATTTACTCTACATGCATTCATATCAAATTCTATATGTTATATTAATATACATTTATTTGTCTTTTTTTTTTTGAAGTTTTATAACCTAATTATCAACTAAATAACATATATATATATATATATATATATATATTGGTTTAGTATTTATTTCAAATTTAATTTACTTAGCTATATATGAAGAGATAAAGTGGTTAAAATCCAATTAATCATGAAAGTTTGAATAATCTTATAAAATTGTAGATTCAAAAATTTATATTGTGGTTATTTTAAAGAAATGGATAGCCCCTTTCCCAGGTAGATATAGAGGCAAAGTAGCGTACAATTTATTTTATTAGGAGGTGACGGGATAATGTGATAGAATATTAAATTTTCAACTTTATAATAAACCTCTTCTTTTCGGTAGTTGCGACCTACCTATAAAAAATATCATATTAAAATACATTTATATTTAAGAAAAACACAAAATCTATGTAATCCCCCAGATTTTTGTATGCTTCAATTAAAATCAGTGATCATCAGATTTCTAAAAGCTGGAGTTGGACCTCCTTGTATACTCAGTAACAAGTTCAGCAAATGATGATGACTTATTCTCTAGCAACTTTGTTGGGGTGTCGTACTCTTCAACAAGTCCTGCAACAATGTCAGGCAAAATCAGAAAATTAAATATCGATGTTCTATGAAGAATGAAAGCCTTTCCAAACCTTGACTAAGAAGAAGAACCATATCACTGTCAAGCACAGAAGTTATTCGGTGTGCAATGGTAATAATTGTGGAGCCAGAGAAATGTTGCCTAAGAGTTTGCTGAATCAAATTATCCGTAGCTGTATCCACTGATGCAGTGGCTTCATCAAGAACCACAACCTTGCTTTTCTTAAGCAACACCCTGCCAAGGCAGACCAACTGTCTCTGACCCATACTCCAATTCTCACCATTCTCACTAACTACAACATCAACTTCAACATTAGCAATGAGTTCAATTAGATTTACTATACATTTATATGTCGATGAGGTTCGAAGACAAACCTTTGCAGTCAAGCTTTCCTTCTTTCTTTCTAACTTCGTCTCCAAGTTGACACTTATCCAAGGCCTATTTAAAAGAATTTTAACGAGTGAGCGCAATAATATTTGTCAAGAAAGATTAAAAGTCTATTATTTTGGACAAAAACCCACCCTCCCAAATTTGTTCATCAGAGTGTTCTTCCAGGGGATCCAGATTATCTCTCACTGTCCCTTCAAACATTGTTGGATCCTGAGGAATAATGCTCAGTCTTGACCTCAAATCATGAAGTCCAATTAAAGAGATGTTGATGTTGTCAATCATAACTTTCCCGACAGCAGGCTCAACAATTCGAAAAAGTGTTTGTATGAGAGTGGATTTACCACTTCCTGTCCTCCCAACAATGCTAGTTTTCAGTCCTCCGCTAAATTTGCATGTAAGACCACGCAACACGACAGGAAGATGTGGAGCATAACGAACCTTCAGAATGGGCAACATATCATTATGAACATAGCACAAAACAACTTGTATAATTGTTTTATGTTGGCGTGATTTTTTTGTTTTAGAAGCTAACTTCTAACCATTTAGGAAAAGATAACTATGGCATGAATATCATAAATTAAACGACCTCAGAATAAAAGAAATTATAAGTACAAAACGGAGAATGTAATAGCTTGAAGTACCTGCAAATCTTGTATATCAACCTCGCCATTAGAGGGCCAAGAAGAATCTGGCTGGTTTTCATCTATAACAAGGGGAGGGTCACTAGGAATACTAGTATACTGAAGTATTCTTTCTACTGATATAATTTTGTTCTCCATTTTGCAGAGATTCCATATCATCCAAGCTTGTATCGTGTTCAAATTTAGCCCGTATGTAACCGCCAAGCCAGCAAGGCCTTCAAAATCACAAAATTTATAAAAATGGAAAATAATTGTGTTCAATTCCACATTACGTCGGCTGACTAAATTTTGATTTGTAACAGATACCAGATTGGAATAACACACCTGGATCTATGAATCCCGGTGGAATAGATATCAAGAATAATAATAAAAAGGCAAATATGATAGAAGACAACATATCTAAGCGGAAGCACAACCATTCCATGGCAGCAGCAACGTTGAACTTTGGCCGTGAATACCCATCAGTCAGTTTCATATTTGTTTCCTGAAATCTTGATTGCTGTTCAAAGCTTCTAATGGTTGAAGCTCCCGAAATTGTTTCAGAAAAGTGTTGAATGATTGGGGCTTTGCAGATACCAACTAAACGTGATAGTTCTCGAGCTGATGGAATATAATATTGCTGCAGAAAATTACAAGTTTGTCGGATCTTAGCAATCATCATAACATATTGTATAATGAAGTCAATTTTGTAAAATATATTTGGTACATAATCTGTGCAGGTAAAGCCATTCCCAGTCAAGGATGGAAGTAATGCAAGAAATATGTCACCTAATTATGAAAGTCTACGTTATAATACCTGATAGCAAATGCTGACTATGATCACAGGTATAAAGACAACGAAAATTTGCCATGCAGCCTGAGACATCACTGCAATAATTCCCAGAAGTTGGATCATAATGAAGGCAGATGATGCAATTTGATAAGGAATGTTTGTATCCAGTGCACTTTGATCCGTTGAAACCTTGAAGAGAACAAAAATAAGGTAAGCATACAGTATTATACAATCTATAGTTGTTGAAAACAAATAACAAAAAAGGGTAATATTAATCTTAAGCAAGAATGCTATTTAAGACACATAAATTTAAAATTTAGAAGGACAAATACGGAAAGAATGAGGTATAAATACTCTGTTAAGAATTCGCCCGCTTGGAGTGGAATCGAAAAAAGCCATTGGAGCACGAAAAATGCAATAGTGCATTTTATTGAAGAGTATAGTAGCTGTTTTATAACCAGTTGTGACAAGAAGCATTGCTCTGGCAAGGATGCATAAAGAACTTCCAATGGCCAAACTAACATAGACTACAATAAGAGTTGTTCCATCAACAGGTGCTTCCACATCAGTTGAGATAGGAGTCGCCCAAGCCATCCAGTAATTACCTCCGATTTGAAGAGCTTGAAAAAGAATATGAGCCAACAATATGAATGGGACAAGAGCTCCTCCATATGCTGCTGTGATACATTTCCAATACACTGAAAACCCAACTTTACCTTTCTCCCTTTCTTCTTCCTGAACAAGTTGGCCTTTAGGTTCACTTTTGTTGTCTGTTATACCATTTTGTTCATCTTTGCTTGCCTCCTCTTCTTTAAAACCTTGCGTGCTAGAGACATTTGCATCTTCTTCCAAGGTGCTTATTTCATTAGATACTGCTGCTCCATCTAATGAATCTAGTGTAGACAAAGCTTTTTTGTGTGCACCAACAAGTTCCACAAAATCAGCTCCACTGTCAAGTAGATCAGAATAATTTCCACATTGAGTAATTTTCCCATCTTTCATAACCTAAGAACAAGAATAACATGACGGATTAAAAAACAAATCTATTTGTACACTAATAACAGTTAAATTAAGAGAATTACTCACCAATATAAGATCAGCAGCAGGTAAGAACTCTACTTGATGAGTGACATAAACTACTGTCTTTGTACTTAAAAGGCCCAACAAGCATTCCTACCATAAACAAAATAGCAAGGTTTACTTACACAATGCAAGAGTCGTGAAGTTGGAAAAACAAAATTTCAGAATTGTTAAATAAATTATTATTTGTATTCTGCAGTGCGCATATAATTATAGTAGATCAGATTATATTGCACATATTGAATGAAACCAAGTTACCTTGAAGAGGTGAGAGCCTGTGTGAGCATCCACAGCACTAACGGGATCATCAAATAGATATATATCAGCATCTTGGTAGAGCGCACGTGCAATCTGTATTCTTTGTTTTTGTCCACCACTCAAATTTATTCCACGCTCTCCTACAATTGTCTGATCACCAAATGACAAAATCTCCAGATCCTTATTCAGGGAACACGCTTGAAGTACCTTCTCATACTTTTCCCTATCCATTTGTTTCCCAAACAATATATTATCCTCTATCTTACCACTTTGTATCCATGGAGATTGAGTGACATAGGCCTTTGTTCCACAAACCCTAACGATACCCGATATCTTTGGTACTTCTCCCAAGAAACAAGAAAGTAAAGTAGACTTGCCCGATCCAACAGTACCACAAACAGCAACCCTCATCCCTGTAAAAACTTTAAGGTTTATATTTTTCAATGTTGGGTTAGGGGAAGATAATTCCCAAGAAAAGTTTCCATCAACTACTTCAATTGTTGTATCAGAACTACCCCGGGGAAGCTTCTCTACAGCATCAGCGGGTAACTCATCCAGACGAAGGAATGATGTAATCCTATCAAGAGACACTTTAGTTCGTGCTATCGTCGAAATTGTACCCGGAAGGCTATAAATGGGCTCTTGAAGAATCCCGAATGTTGCGAGTGCAGACAAGATCTTCCCCGATTCAAGGGGGACCCCTATAAGCATACAAGTACCAAAAGTAACCACGGCAACAAATGTGGGGGCACCCCGAAATAGAAACGTTGTCATGGATGAAGTATAAGCACATTTTTTTAACCAACCTTGCTCAGTTTTCCTGAGCTCAGTTATTTTTGATAAAAACTTCATTTCCCATCCTTGTAGTTTTAAAATCTTCATATGCCTTAAAATCTCGGATGTGGCTTTCATTCTTTTATCTTTCGACACCATCAACTTCTTTTGAAACTTCTGTTGCAATGATCCCAAGGGAACATTTGTCATCATAACAACAATAGTTGCAACAAAAGCAGCAATTGAAGCCAGCCCAATGTTTTTGTACAAAATCAATAATGCCAATGTAGCTTGCAAAGCCACCATCCACAAATCATGTATATGCCAACTAAAGACACCCACTCTTTCTGCATCAACAGCCATGAAATTGACTATTTCTCCAGAAGTGTGGCCCTGCTTTGACTGACAAGAAAGAGTCAGAGCCTTGCTATAAATCATAGTGACAAGCAGTGCTCGAATTCCAAGTCCAACTTGCTGCAACCTAAAGCACCGATGCAATTGAGACAGACACTCTACCATCTTTGCACAGAAAAACGCTGAAATCAAAACAAAGCCCTGGTTTTCATAAAGTCGTTGTCCATGAAGGTACTGAACAAAATCATCAAGAAGATAAGGACCAACATAAGAAGCCAAAGTGTATAACAACGCAAGAAAAGCTGTGAAAAGAATCTCCTTCCATGCTGACACTACTAACGACTTCACCAACTTTAGTGTGGTGACATTTTTAATTGCCCCACAATCAGTCTCAAGTTTATCTCTGAACCCAGGAAAAGTTTCAAGTACACTGTCTCTGCTGCCTAGTCGAGGAACATCCTCCAGGTCCAAGGTCTTCTTATTGCCAACAGCTATAAGAGGACCCACCCAAGAGAAGGAAAGATGGCTCAAAATGCCAGCATATGAGAAAGGGGTAACAGTATCCCCACCCTTGGTCTCTTATGACTCCAAGGCATCATCAATCTTTGTCTCACTATCCAAAAGAGGTTCCTGAGTGCTGTTATTTTCTTTTTCTCGCACGGGACCTTTGTTTTTCACAAAATACCCCACGTAACAGAATAACAAACCAAAACAAGTGGAAACCACATCAGAAACCAAGTACTGAGTTGGCAAAGCAACGCCTCTCTCTGATACAATAATGTCCACCACGAAGCAATAACAAGAAACAAGGAGGTAGAAGATGCACCAAGCTTTGAAGAGGAATGAGAACCTTTTTTCGCCAGAACTGAAGAATTCCTTTTGCAAGCAAACACAAACAACGCCCCATGCAACTGTTTTTAGCGCCAAATCCATAAGGGTCACGAGCTTTTCTTCTGACCAGCCACTAGAGTACCAACAAGAGTAATTGAACAAACAGAGGAGAAAACTGAAAGCAGAAACACCCAGAGAACAACATACGGTCGTTTTGAAGAGGGAGTTGTCGTGTTTCTCCTCAGACTCAACCCTGACACGCATTCTGAATTTGATCCTAACCCATGACAGTGAAACCGCGATGAGCAGCAAAAGGTGGAGGAAGCCGGATAAACCATGAAGGAAAACGGGTTGGAGGAGAACATCGTAGGAAAAGTGTACGTGGGAAAGGGGTGAGAAAAGAGACAGCATGGCAGTCAAAATGATGATGAAAAACAAAAATTTGCTGTATTAGCTGAACTTGAAAATGGGGTGTGTGCATGGAAGTAGTGGGATGGTATGAGACAGTGTGGAAGATGAAGTACTTGAGGTTATAAAAGTGGTAACTTGGTGGGCAAGACTCGAGTTTAGTTGAAGTAAGAAAATAGTACAAGAGACAAAAGGATGAAATTTTTCATGAAAAAGGAACGAGCTTGGAAAAAATTGACGATTAAAAAAAGAAACACAATCACTCATTCTTTTTTTATTTTATCCTTGTCGGCCTAGTAGAAGGTGACCTGAAATTGCGATGGAATACTATAAAAACTTTCTAATAAAACCACTTCGTCTAGATTACATATTGTTTAATTACAGAATGCTCAATTAGTAAGATAACTTAGATATAGAGTTTAAGACCTTATTCATTTAGCAAAACATTTTAAGGTCAACGAGTAATGGGAGGTCTTACAGTCATGTCAAGGTCTTCATTCTTCATGTTGTTGGGAGGCTTCCAATAAAAATGGTGAAGCAATTGCTCAATGTTGTGTATGGCAATGACCCTGCTCTTAGATGGTATCATATCCATTGATTTGGCACATCTCTCTAACAGCAGATGATGTTTCACCACCGCCGACGAACATGTCCTGCAATGGATTAATGTTGTTTATCCAAGTGATGTGTATTTACATTTTCTTGCATTCAAGGCCAAAAATAATCTTAGTAGTTGGAATTCAAAAACAATGATTATAATCCCTGTTTTGTTTTATTATTAGTAAATTTTGTCTCCCTTTATCAAACTTGCAGCACAAGTAAGAAAAGAAATTCTGAAATTATAAAAATACAAACTCCGAAATCAGTCAATGGGCATTCCATTTCGTTTGCAGGTTGAAACTTGAGAAGAAGATCAGCAAGAGAAAAAGCTTCTATCAGCTTCAATTGTTCCTCAATCTCTGATATGTTGGTATCTACGTTGTAAGAAACCATTTTAGACGATGGAAGGTATGCATGTGTTCCTCAATCTCTTTGGTCATTTCTGGCGAAGTGTGACTATGATATATGGACCGATTTCGACAGATGACGAGAATATGTTAAATTTCATAAACAAAAAATGATATGGATTAAGAAATAAAACATAAAAACATTTTAAAATATTATTGCTGTATTTATTTTATTGTAAATTTTAATAGGTTTAAGTAATATCATAGATCATTAACTAACTATTAACACTTTTAAATCTTGTGGGCTCTATTTGGTTGAAAAGAAAGGAGACATGGAAGGATTCAATTATAATGAAGAAAAATATATATTTTTTTATTAATCTTTTTATTGATTAAGAGAAAATGAGGGAGAAATTTTAACTAAGATAAGAAAAAAATAACCTCCTTTAGGTTCGTAAGGAGAAATAAAACAGATATTATGTTAGTTATTTTTTCATTTTTAATATTTTCTTATCAGTTTTAGTAAAATTGCTCATAATTCTATTTATTTGTATTATTAATTATTTGGCATTTTATAAATTGTTGTCTTTCGTCTATAAATAATCAAGAAAATAAGAATTGATGGCATCTTCGAATCTTCAAAGATAAGTAAAAATAAAAAATCTGTAAAAATTTCAAATAAAATAAGTGAAGGTAATATTTTTTATATAAATATTATTGAATATGGATACGAATCTCCCTCTGACTGTATAAAGTATGAAAATAAAACAAAATAATGACTAAAACTAAAACACTTTATATTAGTGGAACTAAAAATTTAGGTAAATATTTTTTAATATTAATATTAATATTTATGTGTTTATCTATATCCTCTTTTCGTCTTGGCATCTTTTTAGACTTCTTTTAGAAAACATTCCATTCAATAATAATTGAGAAAAAGAATGAAAGAAGAGTGCACAACCATTTTTCTTTTTCAGAGATTAATGGAACCATCCATTAGTGGAGAATTTAAAATGAACTCGTGAAATTGAAGGCTACATTCAAAATATCAAGGTTTTGTCCAATTAATCAAAAACTCAAATATTTTGTTCTTAATCTTATAAATTCCCATACAAGAACTCAATCTTTCTTCGTAGAGATTTTGATTCTCCTTCTTGTTCAAGATCTTATTTCAAGATCTAGTAATAAAGACACTCATCACTTATCACTGGCCTATTGGTTAAAGTAAATCTGTATTCAGAACCCCACAAAAAGGGTTTCCAGGTTCAAACCTTTCATCTACCACTTTCAACACTGATCAGTCGAAATCATTGAAAGTTAAAACACATTAGAAATTTATTATAATAAGAAAGTATGCAACTTTCTCTATACATGTAATGTATAGTAAAGCATCCCTCAATAATTGAACAGATAAAGTGGATAGTTTAGAATTTCAGTTAATAAATACAAACTTGTTGACCAACATGATTGTCTAAATGGCACTAAACTCATATCCTTTAAACAGAGCTTTAAAAAAAAAAAGTTGATTGTGGAAGGAAATTCTACAAAATTCGATTTTTCAATAAATATCAATCATTCAAATATCAATACCGGGTACCAATGTTATTGTTGAAAGTCCCATATCGCCTACTTCATGTTATTTGGTATAGTTTAAATATATGTTAAGTTATTTACTACTTATTAGTTTTATGTTGGATCCTTAACAGTTATAATCACTCAAAAGATACAAAAAGTGACTACCATAGCTATATATACATTTCCAACATGCCTATATTCTTAAACTAAGTAAGAACCAATCCAAACTTTCACATAAAAGATTGGCCATAGAAGCACCTGCTCTAGATTCTGCGAGTGAGGAAGTATCTGGACAAACAAAAGACCGTGTTAGGTGTTTTCAATATAACCAAACAAATGGGTATTGACTAGTAAGGATATTTAATGCAGGTCATTGTCCAATTTACCCTGGCAAAGAGTATACATCAGAACTGGCGATGGAAGTTTTACTTCTCTTTATAGGGAGTCTATCTATTTCAAATAAATCAGCAGAGGATGCAGATGTGGAAGTACATGTCTGAGTATCAAAAGCCCGTTTTCTTTTGATAGTTTCAACCCTTTGTGAACGTTCATTTTCTGCAATAATTTGAGAAATAGCTTTCTCACTATGCAATCCTTGTGATGTACACACAACATCATCATCATCATCATCAACTAGGTCTATGACCTCCTTTTCCAATTTGAATTTTACTCCTGCAGGCACAGAATTGACATGTTAGAACTTACTTTACATTATTTTGTTAACATTTTACTTCAGGCAAAAGCTAGGAGCATAAAGAGTAGTAGAGTCCGTAATGCAAGTGAAAAAATTGGTTGGGTTGCCTCAGCATTTCTTGAAAAATACAACCTCAGCCTCTTCAAGTAATTAACAATGTATACTTGTATCAATTTCAGACCAGGTACATATAATCTTGTTTGTATGGGAAAAACAGAATGAGTTACCTTGCCTGCTTCTGTTTGCTCTTATTGAAAGAAAATTTATCAGGAGGGAAAGAAGAAATCACCAAAGAAATTATTTGCAGTTTTCTAGAACATAAAGCAGAAGAAAACCTCAACGTTATTAAAATTAGGACCCTCAAATCATATAGAACAACCAGGATCTACAAATCGAACCATGAGTTGAAGATCTAAGGAAGACAACAGGAACAATGTTGTGTTTGGCTTGAGATAAGAATGGAAAATCGACCTTAGGCTTCCTTGCATGCAGACACCTTAAGCTGAAAACAGAGGTATTTTGATGCTATAAAACTCCGTCTATAGGTGTCCAAGGAATGTTCTGAGCTACTATGTGGATCAATTGTGGGCTGCCTTACCTTGCATTTGCAAGTAGACATCTTAAGCTTTCCTCCAAAATTACCAAAATTTTTTGTGTAAACTTGGGCCATCAAGCCTCAAACTTGAGGTGAACTTAATTATGACATTGCTACTTCAAGTAAGATTGGATGATGTGAGGAGTATACGCTCTTAACTTGTGTATAGTAATAGTTGCAGACTACGATAAGTTTTTGAGCAATTTTAATTTGATCTGGTTCAGTCACCAAATAATCCAGTTTGAGCAAGGATTACTAGCCTCACCACACCATTTCAATTAATCTACTAAAACATGTCTCTCGCCAATAGCCATTACCTTCTCTCATAAGATCATTATGGTTCAAGCTACCAAGATATATGACCAAACCGCAATAATCTATTCAGTTTGATCCAATTCAATATTTTTAAAGGAAACTATATACATTAGAATCTGTATTAAAAATATACGAGATACAAAAAGAACAGTATTTTCATTTCCACACCTGATGCACGTAGAGCATCATCCTTGTTCCTTTTGTAGGGGGGAGCCTGAGCAATGCCGGTATCAGGAGAGTGGCGAGTATCTTCATTCCTTTGGAAAGGAACAGGTTCCCCAGTGTCATTTTCAAGCTCGTAGTCACCAACATCCTCTTCATCTTTGACAACATAAGAAACTCCAGGATTAGGCTCCACTTCAGTGTTCCCACAATTAGAGGCTCCTTCACTCATCAAAAGTTTTATATCATCTTCCAACTTCGCAACACTGACACTTAGTTCACTATATTTCCTCTCCAAAGACTCAAATAATGTCTTACGTTCGTGCATCTCGTCCTTCAATTTATCATTTTCAGTCCTCAACGCTTCTATGACATTCAAATTCTTCTTAACTGTTTCCTCCAGTCCAATGTTCTTCATGTTAAGGACATCAAGACCACTCTTGTCCCCAACCTTCTGCTCCTCCAATGCACGGATCTTGGTCCTTAGTTCAGCCACAGAAATGCCATCATCTAGCCTTTTCTTCTTGAACTCCTTCAGCTCACAAACTTCACGTTCTAAAGCACCGTTTTTTTCCTTAACTCCCCAATAGTATTTTTTTCAACCAAGCCATTTTTTTTCACATCCTTCAACAACTGCTCATAATTCTCCTGGGCTCTCTTCCCCTTTTCATATTGTTCCTCTCTGATTTTCAGTCTTTCTTCGGTTTCAATACCCTTGAGCCTCTCCACCTCAATCTTCTCCCGGAGTGACCCAATCTCTGCCCTAAACTTGACTTCCCTGTTCACCAACTCTTCTTCAACTTTATCAAAATCCTTCATTTGATACGCAACACGTAGAACTGAAACAAGCTCAGAAATGCTCATCTCACTGTAGTTTTTTTTATGGGTGGTAGAAAAGGACCTAAGCGGGGACCCAGGTTCGGTTTTGGGTTGAAAGGCCATGAGAAGTCCTAAAGACGCAAACTTTTGTTTTTTTTTGAGGGTTAAACGAGCGAAGGAAGAAGAGGATACTACTTTACCCCTGAGAGAATTTGTTTTCAGTATCAGAGAATGGAGGAACATAGGAAGTGTGATTTGAAACGTACCTGGCTATCTATGCTTTGTTGTTGCTGCTGCTTTTAATAGAAGCAGAAAATCCGTGTGACTAGCAATCGATAAATAAAAAGATGAAGTGAAAGAAGAGGTTCATGAAACGACGTATTGAAGAAAATTTGAAGCTTATTTTGGATTTGAATCAGTAAATTTTGCTGTGTTGTACGTGAAACGAAAGTGATACACCATTTTTGTTTCTCTAACCTTTAACGGTAAACAAAAAGGACCAAGTAAACCATTTTTCTTTCTTCATACCCAACTCATGCATTTCTTTAGGAACCTCGCAATTTCACTAATTTATTTATTCTCGTTAAAGTGATTTATTTGTGTTTATTATTATTTTTTTATGTATTTTCTTTAAAAATAAGTCTTTTTTTTGGTTTTTTTAACAAGTTAAATATATCCATTTTTTAAAATAAGTTATTACTTTAAAAAGTATTTATTTCTGGCTCAATGTGTATTGAAAAGTTTCATCGATTTCATGATAATTTCTAAATTTAAATAAATTAAAAAATAAATTAAATTTTATGTTTTTATTTATCTTTTATTTTATATAATATAGATATGTTTTTATTGAAATTATATAATATAAAGTTACTTCTTCCCTATTTAATTATAAGCAACAACAACAAGATGTCATGAACTTAAATATAAAGCATACTTTATATAATAATATCATATAAAAAATACACTTAATTAATTGAAAATTCTAAAGTATTATAAATATAATTAATAAAATTAAATTGTATCAATTAACTTCTTTAATTAGAGTAAAAAATTAGTTAATTATATATATATATATATATATATATATATAAATTTTGTGATAATTTGTTTAATAGCATAATGGGTATAACATAATGTTGAGGTGTATTCATATACAATCTATAAAACGATTACAATGATATTATAAATCAGACATTACACATGCTTATAAATTCCAAGTAGGAAGAAGTTATTACATGGTTTTGGAACATTAGATATACAATATAAAACTGAAATTTTCAATCTGCCATAAACTGAATAACGTGGAAATGAGTTGAGACTAAAATGAACTATGTAGATGAGTGGTAAGTGATAGGAATCAACACCAAATCATGTTTCCTTTTTACTACCAAGCCAAAGGATTCAGTCATGTCAAGTTCTTGAGGCATACTCCCTTTAGGCAACTTCCAATCAAAATGGAAAAGCAAATTTGCAAGCGAGAATTCAATATTCACAATGCCAAGATTGATGCCAGGGCATATCCTCCTTCCAGCTCCAAATGGGATTAACTCAAACTCACCACCTTTGTAATCAATTGAGCTGTCAAGGAACCTTTCAGGATAAAATTTCTCAGGTTCAATCCAGTGATTAGGATCCCTCCCAATTGCCCATGCATTAACAATTACTTTGCTTTTGGCTGGTATCTCATACCCATTAATCTCACATGTCTCACCGCATTCCCTTGGAAGCAGCAATGGAGCAGGTGGGTGCATACGCAAGGTTTCTTTGATAACGGATCTCAAGTATTTCAACTCATGAATACTTGTTTCATCCACATATCCTTTTCCATCAAAGACCCTTCTTACCTCAGTTTGCACTTGCTCCATCACCCTAGGGTTCTTCACAAGTTCTGACATTACCCAATCCATAATTATTGATGAACTATCGCTTCCAGCACTGAATATGTCCTGACAGAAATATCAGAGTGTTACATTTCTAACAAGTTTTATAATCACCAAAAGTTTACCACTACCATTTCTAAATAACTTAAAAGCGGCTAACAACACACTATTACTAATATTTGAGTGATTTTCATGCAGTTTCATCTAATGAATATTTTTTATTTCCAATAAATTTCAAACAACAATAAAAAATGTGTTGCTGTCATATCCAGAAAATGCTCAAGACCCGTATGATCAATCCTACTTTGACAGCATCAAACAATCATCAACCAAATAATGAGAAAAAAAAATCATATGTACACAATATTTGATTCGCAATTTTGCATAGATTGTTAACAGACACATACCAAAAGGGTTGCTTTGATAACATCGTCAGATTGGGGGTGTTCGAGATCACCATTTTTCTGAAGCCTTAAAAGAACATCAACTAGATCTTCCCTATCTTCTTCACCAACAGCCATTGTGTCCAAAGTTTTCTCTCTGTGATCCCTAACAATGTTCTCAAGCACCCTATCCATTCCTTGATGGATCTTCTCAACACTAGTCCTAATCCTAGTAATAACTTGAAGAAGTCTAATAGAAGGATACAGATCAGCAACAGAGAACCCTGCAACTGTCTCAGAAACACCCTTCATATGTTCCACATAAGCCTCTTGGTCTTCGGATTTTTTACCAAAAGCAATCCGTGACATAAGCCCATATGATAAAGAACAAATCTTCTCGGTGAGATTAATAGGTGACCCTTCACTCAAAGATATCTCCTTGACAAAATTTGACAACTCTTGTTCCCTGATTGGTCTGAAGGAGTTAACACGCTTTGGTGCTAGTAGTTCGATGGTACAAATCTTTCTCATCTGCCTCCAGTAAGTTCCATACGGGCTGAAGGTCATGCCCTTAGAGCCATAAGTGATAATATCAGCAGCAAGCACATGAGGCCTATTAGCAAAGATGATATCATGCGTGTTCATCACTTCTTTGGCCATTTCGGGTGAAGATACCACTATGCAGCAAAGCTCACCAAGCTGCATATACATGAGTGGACCATATTGAAGTGCCAATCCTGCTAGAGACCTATGAATCTGAGTTCCAAGGTGGTGTATGTTCCCTATGAGGGGTAGCTTCCGTGGTCCTGGCGGCAACTTGGAGTTTGAATTCTTGGTTTTTGATCTCCAAAGTATGTTGATTAGCATGAACACTAAGATGAAGAAAGGAAGGATTGTGGATAAAGAATTGTGAAGCTCAAACCCCATGCTTGCGAGTCTGAGATTAGTCAACCAATGGCTTTTCAAATCAAGACTATGATCAGGAGAATACAAGCAAAAGCTTGGAGAATTATGGATTGCTGTGAACTTATGCTTGGTTGGGGTACATTCTATGTTGCTTCCATGGCTACTGAGGAAATGAACATAAAAGATTGTTGACAAACAGAGAGAAAAGTCCACCACAAAATTACACCAACTGTTGCGAGCACGACTTTTCGTCATTTGTCACATTTTCAAATGATGAGGTTTGTCTGCATCAGTTATAGGATAAACATTGAATTATGTCAACAAGATACGCAGATACATGAATGTCCATTACACATTTAAGAACTATCTTACAATTTACTATTTTCAGAAATATAAATAACTATAAATTATTTTTTTAACTTACCATATTATAAGCTAATACTTTCTAGCAGAGATTATAATTTGATGGTACAGTCGAAGTAACTTTTTGGTAGTTAGGTGTTAAAGTAAATTAAGAGTAAGCGTTTGTGACATATCTTTTTAACCATCCTTGCATTCGCATGCTGATTCAGTTGGAATTAAGAATTAAGTCTCCATCCCCTCCTTCTTTGGGTTTTGGGTTCTCCACTTTGCATCGTCACGATTTATATTATTTTTAAAAAGATAATTATATTTATAATAAATTAATTTTACTATGTATTTTTATATATAAATAAATATTTATAATTTATAGTTATTATTAATTAAATATACATTTTAATTTATTATATTTATATTAAAATATATATGTAAAAGAAATATTTAATTATTTTTTATTTATATATATATATATATCAAATATTTATAACATTATTATTATTAGTATAACATTTGTATTCAAATATTTAAATATTTATAACATTATTATTATAATATTGTATTCAAATATTTAATTATACATATAAGTTAATTCATTTTTAAGTTGTCAATATATAGTTTATAAGAAAATATTTAATAAGTTAATTCTTATTTAATTAGTTTGAAGTAATAAAAGTTTAAATTATTAATTTCTTTTAATCCTTTAAAATGCAATTATTTTATTAAGATAAAATTTGATATATGATAAATAAGCATAATAAGATAAAAAAATATGACATAATAAATATAAATTATAAATAAATTAATATTAGTTACTACTAAGATTGATGTAAAATATTTAGAAAAAGATAAAAAAAGATAAACTTTGTGTTCATCAAATTGATTGAAAAGATTGAAAAAAAAAACAAATTGATGGGAGAGACTAAGAAAATGTGAAAAACTCGAAAGATAAGGGAGAGAATAATATAATAAATTAATTGATATAAAAGATAAAAAAAATTAAAAAGTGGGTAGAAGAAAAATAAAAATTGGTGAAATATAAAAAAATAACCTTATATGTAATAGAAAAAGAAAATGAAATACTTTTAAAATATTAATATTTTAAAATTTAAATTTAAATATAAAGTCGGGGCGGGGACAGGGGCGGGGTCGGGGTGGAGATTCATTACCCATCCACGCCTTGCCAGACTTTTAAAGCGGGAAAACCCGAGCAGGCCCGCCCCGGTCGACTCGGGTTTTCCCAGTCAAAGTCGGGGCGGGGACGAGTCGTTCACCACGAGTGCGAATTTAATTGTCATCCACTAATTTACGAGTTTATAAGTAAGATAAATGATGTTTTCTAATATAGTAAGTCGAAAGATATTTAATTACTTCATGAATGAGTAGTGTACGAGTCCTTACACAACCTAGGAAGACACGGTAACCACGTGTGTGCGTATGCACACGGCCTACAAAACCACTAACGGACCTATCTATTGGAGCCTCGCGGTTAGACCCCCTCGTTAGGGTGGTGTAGCGATGACAATTAAACCCGTCCCCGCCCGAGTTGGCCGGGGACGGGGGCGAGTTCGAGTTTTTCCAGCTTTAAAAAGTCGAGCTGGCGGGGATGGGTATCTGATCCCACCCAGACTTCGTCCCGTCCGCCCAGACTTTATATTTAAATTTAAAATATTAATATTCTAAAAGTATTTCCTTTTCTTTTTTACATATAAGGTCATTTTTATATTTCATCAAAATTTTTCTTACTACCCACTTTTTATTTTTTTATCTTTTTTAATCTTTTATATCAATTAATTTATTACATTATTTTTCTCTTACCTTTCAGCTTTTCACATCTCCTTAATCTCTTCTATCAATTTGTTTTTTTTCAATCTTTTCAACCAATTGATGAACACAAAGTTAATTTTTTTCTTTATCTTTTTCTAAATATTTTACATAAAGTAATAACTAATATTATTTTATTTATAATTTATATTTATTAGGTTTTATTATGTCATATTTTTTTATCTTATTATTCTTATTTATCATATATCAAATTTTATCTTAATAAAATAATTGTATTTTAAAGGATTAAAGAAATTGATAATTTAAATTTTTATTACTTGAACTAATTGAATAAGAATTAACTTATTAAATATTTCCTTATAAACAATATATTTCATATTTTTAAATGACAACTTAAAAATGAATTAACTTATATATATAATCAAATGTTTGAATAGAGTATTATAATAATAGTGTTATAAATATTCAAATATTTGAATCTGATATTATAATAATAATAATAATAATAATAATAATATAAATAAAAAATGATAAAATATTTCTTTTACATACACATTTTAATATAAATATAATAAATTAAAATGTATATTTAATTAATAATAATTATAAATTATAAATATTTATTTATATATAAAAAATAGATAGTAAAATTAATTAAATTATAAATGTAATTATCTTTTTAAAAATAATATAAATCG